CCATGTTCAGTACCATGGTTAGTATCATGTCATTATCATGGTTTGTATCATGTTAGTTTTATGGTCAGTAACATGTCAGTATCATGGCCAGTATCATGGTTAGTATCATGTCAGTGTCGTGGTCAGGATCATTGTCAGGATTATGTAAGTATCACTGTAAGTATCATGTTAGTAACATGTCACTATCATGGTCAGTATCATGGATAGTATCATGTTCACCATCATGGTTAGTATCATGTCATTATCATGGTTTGTATCATGTTAGTTTCATGGTCAGTTACATGTTACTATCAAATCAGTATGACGGTAAGCATCATGTTAGTATCATGGTCAGTAACATGTCAGTATCATGGCCAGTATCATGTTTGTATCATGGTCAGAAACATGTCAGTATAATGGTCAGTATCATGGTTTTAATCATGTCAGTACCATGGTCAGCATCATGTTAGTATCATGGTCAGTAACATGTCAGTATCATCTCAGTATTATGGTTAGTATCATGTTAGTAACATGTCACTATCATGGTCAGAATCATGAAAAGTATCATGTTAGTAACATGGTCAGTTACATGTCAGTATCATGGTCAGTATCATGGTCAGTATCATGTTAGTATCATGGTCAGAAATATGTCAGTATTATGGACAGTATCATGGTTTTTATCATGTCAGTATCATGTTCGTATCATGGTCAGGAACATGTCAGTATCATGGTCAGTATCATGATTAGTATTATGTCAGTTTCTTGGTCAGTATCATGTCCTTATCGCGGTCAGTATCATGTCAGTGTCATGGTCAGGTACATGTCAGTATTATATTAGTTTTATGGTTAGTATCATGGTCAGTAACATGTCAGTATCATGGTCAGTATCATGGTCAGTATCATGGTTAGTATCATGTTAGTATCATGTTCAGTATCATGGTTAGTATCATGTAATTATCATGGTTTGTATCATGTTAGTTTCATGGTCAGTTACGTGTTAGCATCAAATCATTATTATGGTAAGCATCATGTTAGTATCATGGTCAGTAACATTTTAGTATCATGGCCAGTATCATGTTAGTATCATGGTCAGTAACATGTCAGTTACATGTTAGTATCAAATCAGTATGATGGTAAGCATCATGTTAGTATCATGGTCAGTAACATGTCAGTATCATGGTCAGTATCATGGTTAGTATCATGGTTAGTATCATGTCAGTGTCGTGGTCAGTATCATGTCCTTATCGTGGTCAGTATCATGTCAGTGTCATGGTCAGTAACATGTCAGTATCATATCAGTATTATGGTTAGTATTATGTTAGTATCATGGTCAGTAACATGTCAGTATCATGGTGAGTATCATGTCATTACCATGGTTTGTATCATGTTAGTTTAATGGTCAGTTACATGTTAGTATCAAATCATTATTATGGTTTGCATTATGTCAGTGTCATGGTCGGTAACATGTCAGTATTATATCAGTATTATGGTCAGTATCATGTTAGTATCATGGTCAGTAACATGTCAGTATCATGGTCAGTATCATGCCAGTTTCATGGTCAGTAACATGTCATTATGATATCAGTATTATGGTTAGTATCATGTTAGTATCATGGTCAGTAACATGTCAGTATCATGTAAGTATCATGGTTAGTATCATGTTAGAAATATGTCACTATCATGGTCTGTATCATGTTAGTATCATGTTCAGTATCATGGTTAGTATCATGTCATTATCATGTTAGTATCATGGTCAGAAACATGTCAGTATCGTATCAGTATTATGGTTAGTATCATGTAAGTATCATGGTCAGTAACATGTCAGTATCATGGTTAGTATCATGTCAGTGTCGTGGTCTGTATCATTGTCCTTATCATGGTCAGTATCATGTCAGTGTCATTGTCAGTAACACGTCAGTAACATGTCAGTATCATGGTTAGTATCATGCCAGTGTCGTGGTCTGTATCATTGTCCTTATCATGGTAAGTATCATGTCAGTATCATGGTTAGTATCATGTTAGTATCATGGTCAGTTACATGTCAGTATCATGTAAGTATCATGGTTAGTATCATGTTAGAAACATGTCACTATGATGGTCTGTATCATGTTAGTATCATGTTCAGTATCATGGTTAGTATCATGTCATTATCATGTTAGTATCATGGTCAGAAACATGTCAGTATCATATCAGTATTATGGTTAGCATCATGTTAGTATCATGGTCAGTTACATGTCAGTATCATGGTTAGTATCATGTCAGTATCATGGTCAGTATCATGTTTGTATCATGGTCAGTAACATGTCAGTATCATGGTTAGTGTCATGCCACTTTCATAGTCAGTATCATGGTTAGTATCATGTAAGTGTCTTTGCCAGTATCATGGTCAGTATCTTGGTCAGTAACATGTCAGTGTCATGGTTAGTAACATGTTAGTATCATATCAGTATTATGGTAAGTATCATGTTAGTATCATGGTCAGTTACATGTTAGTATCATATCAGTATTATGGTTAGTATTATGTGTTTTTTCATCACGTTGTGAGATTATTATTACATTATGAGTTTTTATTACATTTTTTATCACATTATGGGCCTTTATTACATTATGAACCATTATTGGTATCTAGTTAGGTTTTTTTTTTGTAGTGTGTTGTTAAGCGCTTTGGGTATCTTGAAAGGCGCTATACAAATGTAAGATATTATTATTATTATTATTATTATTATTATTGGGTCAATGACGTATAAGGTTTTTCTTCGTGCCAATTTTAAAATACCAAAAATAAGAATATCTTTTGCAACAGTTCAAACACTAAGGATGTTATGTATACAAAAATTAAAGTTTAATTTTTAAATTCGGCAATTTTAGGGTTTTTTCATATAGATGAATTGCCTGTGGCCTTAAAAAATGTCATGTGGTGGGACCATCATTAATCTCAAAAGTATTACATTTTGTCAACATACTCTGTAGTTTTTTACAAATTGACGCTAATATCAAGTACACAGGAACAAAGCGTTTGCATTTTATTTGAGTTTTTGTTAATAATGATCTCATATATTAGCTCTATAATGTCACAGTCGCTATATCAAATGTAGTTCACTTACTATTTTTTTCTTTAAATTGCATTATACTGATAAAAATGTTTTAAAACTACCTTTCATTTAAGTATATTGTATCAGGTATTAATGTCTCAGTTACAGAAATTAGATATTTTAGTTTGTATTTGATACAATTAATGTTATTATTGGTCACACCACATGATTGGTGGTCGCGCAAAATGACCTGAAGACCTTGTATCATTAAAAATCAATTTAAAGAGACCTATGAACAATTAATTTCATGCAAATTTCATATTCAAACCAAATTTTATTAACATTTCAAACATGAACACAAACATTTTATTTCCCTTTTTGACAAAAATGTAACTCTGTGTGTTTGTGCATGTGGCCCAGAGGCCTGAACTACGAAGCTGGATTAACACACCCAGGATGACTCTGCCACAATGCATAAATACCCAAAGTGAAATGGCATGCTTTTAATATTTTTTTTCTTATTTTGCACAGAGATGAACTAACCATTATTTCAGATATATTAGCAAAGTGACTCATCAAATAACAAAAGAAATTCAAAATAATACTAAAAATTAAGTACTTAGTGTTTATCAATCATCAATTGAATATAAAAAGCGTAAATACTGCCAATCTAGGGCGTATATTTATGATGGAAAACAATCTGCAGTGGTCGCACCACATGATAATTGGTCGCACCGCATGACATTTTCAAATTCAGTCAAATCTTACTGATACATGATTAGTCACATAAACAAAGCTCACTAGCTTCCAACAAAAAGGTCACTATGAAATTTACAATTAAAATACATATTTGTGGAACTAAATTAATTGTTTTTTTTTTGAGGTCATACCACATGACATCCAAAAATGGCAACGCCATTACAGCAGTTGAAAAGGTCTTTTTTTTTAAGAAATGAGAGAACCACCAACCTCTTTCTGCTTCCATAGCGCTACGACAAAATGGTGAATGATCCAACATCCTGTCCTTGAGTAGATTTCAGCATAAAAGTGTCAAAAATTGTCATTTCTTGATGGTCGCACCACATGATATTTAATGAAATGGACACGATCGGACAAAATTCGTTTGTATATTATGAAAAAAATATAACTGCAAAAGCTTTGCAATTTTGTACAGGAATAAAAAAACACTTTGAAAATTATGCCAAATATTGCAGAAACTAAATTGTTATAGATTTAGAGTAATTTCAAAGAAGTTTTCAAAACAGAAGTCATGGCTGGACGGTCGCACCACATGATATTTTGGCACTTTGAAGTTCAGAAAAACTACAAAAAACTCCTGATTTTTGAAGTTGAAGTGGCTCCATATATTAGAGAGATACTACACATAGTATATTTTTTTACATTTAAAACTCTTTGTAACATAAAGAAAATACAGCCGGACAGAATATTGAGGCGTCACGTCATTGACCCTAAAGTATCATATCAGTATTATGGTTAGTATCATGTTAGTATCATGGTCAGTAACATGTTAGTATCATATTAGTATTATGGTTAATATTATGTGTTTTTTTATTACGTTGTGAGCTGATTATTACATTGAGTTTTTATTACATTTTTTTATTACATTATGAGCCCTTATTACATTATGAACCATTATTACATCATGAGTTGCTACAAGGACTCTTACTTGGACAGTTGTTTTCCATCCATCCAGAAGTCCTCTTGTGAGTCACCTTAGACCGCTTACACCTTAGCTTCAGGAGGCCTCGTAGGTTCCTCGTCCACCTGGTCTCAGGAGCAGCGGAGATGAGCCGGGTGGATGGAGGGGGTGTAGGGGTCCTCAGTGGGGCCGTCCACCGCTCCTTCCTCCTGGAGAGCTCCTCCGGGTCCTTGGGCTGCAGACCTGGCCACTGGTCCTCCTCTGTCATCAGTTAGGGCAGGCAGGGGGAGTGGCTGCAGGAAGGTCCTGCAGGGCTCCTCGGTGACCTGGCAGGAGAGGAGCAAAGAGAAGGGCAACACAAGACCCGACGAGGCTGTACTGCACCACCTGAGACAGAAAAAAACGACAAGTTAAAAAATCTGAACTCTGCAGAACTGGTTTTCTGGTTTTCACATCTTTGAAATAAATTCATGAACACAAGTCAGTTCAAGAAAATTAAAATAAAAGACAAATTCATAAACACATTTCTGTAGTCAAAATTATTCAGACTATAAAAGTTTTGTATGTTGTTTTGAAGGCATGCTAACAGCCTCTCTATGTTGTCAGTGTCATTTCCTACTTACACCACGAGGCCTGGAAGGGGACATGGGTGTTGCGGCGACCCTCCTGAGCATCAGCCTGGGACAGGACCAGTCAGAGCTGTGCACAAGGACCGAGGTCCTTAAACAAGCTGTAACATTTGACTGTGTGGTCAAGGTCATGAAGGAAGCATCTGTAACATCAGTATCATCAAGAGGGGTCAATACATTTGAATTTGTATTTAGTCTGTAATCAGCAGGTTAGTTGTGCAATAGAAATAATTAACATCAATAGAACACCCCTGTTAAGAATTGATATTTTGGTATGTCTGCATATTCTCAGGATTTAATAATAAGAAAATCTTCAGTTTTCAGTTTGATAAAAACTGATTTCTACAATAGGACAGTGTTTCGATTACACTTAAGGTGGATTTTTCCCTGTTAAAACATAATGAAGTTTTAAATATTGTGGTAGAAAACACACACTTGATTCATGAAAACATAAAAACATATTTGAGTTGAACTTTATCAAACTCTTAATTTTAAAGGCTGTACATAATAAATGTCTTTCAACTTAATTTTTTCTGTTTTTGTAACTTTTTAAATGTAATTCATATGATTTTTTTGTAATTTAGGCCTATTGGAGCACTTTAAAATAATTTAAAAAAAAGGTCTAACTATGATGTATTTTGAGTTCATTTTGTTGAATTTTATGATGACTGACAAATCTTTAAACTTATGAAGGTGTCCCTTATTTTAACACTACATTTGACTACTTTAATACGCCTCTTTCGCTGTAATTACAGTGAAAATAGCTTGAGTTCAATGTTAGTTTTCACCTGATATCATTGGTTAGTATAAAAGAAACTGTCAAATAAGTTTCAGACTGACGTCTTTAAAAAGCCAAGAAGACAAAAACATCTTTTACTAAAACTAAACGCAGAGATTTCTCACAATAACATGAACTTTTCTGCTCTTAAACATGCAGGACAGGACCACAGCAGGACTTTGGGCTCATCATACAGTGTCAATGCATCACTTTTAAGCTAACTATTCCCAAAGTCTCGACGATAACACAAGTTTTCATGAGGATATTGTCATTCAATCTTACGGTCTCCATGTCGTCGGTGTTTCCTCTCTGTTCAGGTGTTTATCAGTCGTCTGGGGGAGGTTTTATTCACGATGGAGCTGTCGAAGAGCTGTCAAGCTGAAAGTTTGTGAGCCACAGAAGTTTTTCGTGTCGATCTTCAGGTTGAATCTTCAGAAATGACCGTTGTTTATCGACTTGTGATGATTTAAATTTTTTACATCGTCACAGGTTACCATGGAGATTTAAAATGCTGTTTACTTTAGAAAAAACACTGCACTGGTAGGTTATGTCTAGCTTAGCTGGGCCATCCAGTTGCGTGAATCACAGTCTATCAAGGAAAGTACTTCCGCCCACTTTTAGGGCTCCCAATTGGCCGAAGTACAGACTGTTGTGGGAAGTAACGGTGTTATGCCGTAAAATGCACCCCTGCCGTAGGATGCACCCCTAACGGTAGCTCGGTTGAAAGAACCTAAAAATGCGAAATAATTCAAGTTTTCCTTACCGTTGGACGCATAATTCAGGCTATTCAGATAAGTTGAAAACAATCGCCCTCTGATTCGTAATATTTGCTGTCCCCAAAATATAATGTTCGCTAGCTTGACAGCTAACTGTACAGTTTGTACACCGAAGTACACCTCTGTATGTGCATTTTTGAGACACATAAAAACAAAACGAAAGTTTGCTGCTCCATTTGACATGTTATCATGATCCAATACTCGTGTTTTTGTTGAAATATGAGATAATTTTCTTCCTCTTTAAGAAGCTAATGAGTGGAGGGGGTGCGTTCAACGGCAGGGGTGCATTCTACGGCACAACACCGGTTGGAAGTGCAAGAAAGTGCAGAAAACAATAGCCCTCTGATTCAGAATATTTTCTGTCCCGAAAATATAATGTTCTGTACCGCGACAGATTGCTGTACAGTTTCTATACCCAAGTACTCTTATATGTGTACATTTTTGAGAGACATAAAAACTGAAAGACTATTTGACATGTTGTCATGATCCAATACTCGTGTTTTATGTAATATAAGATCATTTTCTTCCACTTAAAGAGGCTCATGAGTGGATGGATAAATTAATAAATGGATGAGTCAGAAGTCGACAGATGACAATTCGGTTTTCAGACGCGTCATATTTGTACACAAAACTTCGGCACCAAGAGTATCCAATTAAATGTGCCTGATGCTGAGGTACAATGTATGGAGAATACATTTCATGGCAGGCTGTTGAGACCATTGCTCAGAGATGCAGCCCCTGTCTATCTCTGGCTAGGAAAGTCAGAGGGCCATGAAACTCACCCTACTTACTCATACTTATCCCCTTTTTATACTGTAAAAATCATGTGGTGCAGGGTCCAACAGAAATGCATTTATGGTGGGGGTGCATTTTCAGGCAGCATGTCTGTGCCTACTGTCTGAGATTGCACCCCCCGTCTATCTCTGGCTAGGAAGGTCAGAGGGCCATGAAACTCACCCTAGTTACTCATACTTATCCACTTTTTGTACTGTAAAAATCATGAGGTGCAGGGTCCAACAGAAAAGCATTTATGGTGGGGGTGCATTTTCCAGCAGCATGTCTTTGCTATCTACCTGAGACTGCACCCCGTGTCTATCTCTGGCCAGGAAGGTCAGAGGGCCATGAAACTCACCCTAGTTATTCATATTTATCCCCTCTTTATACTATAAAAATCATGAGGTGCAGGGTCCAACAGAAAAGCATTTATGGTGGGGGTGCACTTTCCGGCAGCATGTCTTTGCTATCTACCTGAGACTGCACCCCGTGTCTATCTCTGGCCAGGAAGGTCAGAGGGCCTTGAAACTCACCCTAGTTACTCATACTTATCCCCTTTTTATACTGTAAAAATCATGTTAGTTAGGAAATTTTGGAAAAAAGAAAAAGGGGCTAATAATTTTGACCACTAGTGTGTGTGTGTGTGTGTGTGTGTGCGCGCGTGTGTGTGTGTATATATATATATTCTTTTAAGCTTATTCCTGTCATTTTTACATGAATATTATCTGTGGCCTGTGTAGTTTTTATGGTGCCACAAAGTTTTTTAGGTAAAGGAAAAATTCAAAATATTGATCACACTGACAAAGCATGGGGATATGGCAACACTTTACTGAACATCTACAATGAAAAGACAAGCCAAGTGAAATTATTACCAATATTTGACAATAATTTCCACAAATAGAGTATTTATATTGCAGACTTATTCATTCCTCCAATACTTGATATAACAGTGTTTTAAGGGATGTAACATCTTTGCCCCACAGATTCTGGGTTGGCTCCTCATCACCTCCATCATGTTGACTAACCTGCTGCTGACCTGCCTGGGCCGTTGCACCTCTCCAATCAGCTACCTGCAGCTCAAGTTCTGGAGGGCGTACACTCAAGCGGAGAACAGCCTAATCGATTCTCATGCCACCAAACATGCCAAAGAGCTTGCTGAGAGGAACGTGACGAGCTTCTTCACCATGACATCACCTGATGACGTCCAAACTCCGTCTAACGGAGACTGGGAGAAGATCTCCTCCCTGTTCAAGTTCAGCTCCAGAAAGCAGTACTACAGCACCCTGCACCGCTATGTGGAGAGCTGCCAGAACGAGGAGAGTGGGGTCAGGAAGATGGCGTCAGTCAAGTCGATCGACTCAGAGACAGTCAACCCGGCTGTCCTGGGTTTTGTAGATGATGGCAAAATGTAGGTGTGAAGGATATCTCTAAGTCCTGATGGTCACTTTCTTCATCTCCCTTTTTAAAATCACCTATAACACACATATATCATTGTTGTAGCCCCCTCCCCTAAAGTGTAAGGGCATATTTACATTGTTTTATGCTTAATTTGCATCTGGGGACCTATCAGCTATCATCTGGAGGTCAGCCTGAAACAAGTATACAAAGTGCTTTGACAAGATAAAGCTTCCTTCTCTATGCGCTGTGTTATTTACTGTCTGAAAAAAATGACTGTGTATCCAGATCTTAAGTGAAGAGAAATTCACCCCTCCACACATGTCTGTGCTGCAGCCAGAAACCCAAGAGGGCACTGGAGGATCTGAGCTTTTTGTACTTTTAAAAGATAAAATTGTGCCTTTTCCAAAAGAAAAAAAAAAGGCTCTCGACTACAATTAACACTTCCCTGTGTTACCTTGTCCTAACTAACCAGCACCACCCTGTGGTGGAAATTAAACAGTGCATCTAATCTTCACGTGTTATCATGACTGTTCTAATCTGCCACATCTGCCTAATGAAATCACTGTCATTCCTTGGCTCATTGCTTTCTTTAATAAAACAACTATTCACCTGTTTGTGGTAAGTCTCAGTTTCTCTGTAAATAGTCTCTCAGGGTCTTCACTCTGGCTTTCTTCAGCAGTATGAACCTGAAACACAAACTGATTTTCTTGAGATGTTCTCCTCGTTAAAGGGTCTCCAGTTTCCTGAAATGACTTCATGATGCAGATTAGTCAAAAGAAAAAAGTCCAGCTTTGTCAGGTCTGCCCTCAAGAGGAGAAGAAAACAACTTTTAAAATGTTTGTTTGTTGAACGGAGGTCAGATCCATCATTTTTGATGCATTCAGAGAAGTCAGGAAATCTAAAGTCAGTTTGTTTTTAGCAACTCAACATCAATTAGATTAGAGTCTCAGTGTAAATCTTTGATCTGGATCAGGTTGTTAGCTGGCCTTTATGCAGATATCCGTTTATACAGAAAAATAAATCCTCATCAGATTTAACACTGCAGGGAGCTGGGATGTCATTACTCCTGCTTTTGCGCTCTCCTTAAAGATCTCTTTTCTTGCAGACACCTAATTAGAGAACTGAAGATCATTTAAATCAATTCGTATTAGATTACATTACATTACATTGAAGTAGATTATATCAGATTAGAGTAGATTAGACAGAACTTCATTGATCCTCTTGGGAAGGTTCCCTCGGCGGAATTTAAATTCCAGCAGCATCAGTATATGTACAGAAAAAACAAAACAGAACAATTAAGTAAGTAAGAAATAGAGATGCAATAAAGAATAAGGTTATTTAAAAAAAAAAAAAAAAACTTTGATTAAGTATTGACACATTCTTAATATATCTCATATACAAGTGAGATATAACGCTACACTGAAAAAATAACTCATAAGATTTAGTTAAAAAATATATTTTAAGTATTTGCATGCAAATAATTTAAGTAAAATGTAATGCTGTTATATCAAGCAACACTCACTTGCCAGTATCAAGTTTGATCTACATATATATATATATATATGACTGTTTTGACAACACAGAGAATATTTTCAGGTCATATCCCACCTCTGTTTTGAGTCCTGTATTGACAAAGCAGGGGCAAGTTTTGCTGGCTTGGCATAAAGTATGTGCACACTTTCACAAATGAACAGTGGCCAACATAATGACCCTTTCTATCTAGGATAAGGGATGCACAATGTTGGATATATTGATACACAAAGTCATGTTGGCTGATACAGATATCAATACTGATATAAGAACCCAAGGTTTTTCCTGTAATAGAATTTATCTCTTACTGTGACATAAATCAAGACAGTTGATTCAAACAGATATGATAAATGTATTCTGTTTTAATTATAACCATTCAGTTGTATGTCTATTGATTCAGACAGCACTGTGCATCGCTAGTTATCATCTATAGCTCAAGGCTAAAGCCTTAACTTAAAGTATGTGACCTGCAGACTAACACAGTATTTTGGTTCATTTTGTAATGTATACTTATTTTCAGAAATCATCAACATTTCTTCTCTGAAAACATATAGAGGCCATATCAGTACTCCTCCAAATGGGTAAAATACAGTATATGAATTGATTAACCATCCATAAAAGGTATGAGTTGAAGCTAATGCCTAATGCACCCACAATTTTTATAACATTTGATGACTTTGTAACTGTTAAAATTACACAAGCTCACATTTTAAATGAATAAAATTGTTGTGAATCCAAGTTAATACATTTCAACATTACCCAAATGTGTTAAATATTTGATTCTGATTGGTCAAAACTCTGTAAGTCTTTTTTTTTTTCCAGCAAAAGTGACTTTAAGGAAAACCTGATCATATTCAATCAATCCATGAGAAGGAGTCCAGCACATTTCTCCTCTGCTGTGACAAAGATTGTCGTCTCCATCTCTTCTTAGTCCTTGGTAAATATGAAAGTGACTCAACATGGATATGAAAGCTGTCTGATGATATATCAGGTCTGTGATTGAATTGAAAAAGTCATGTATGGACATAGTTTTACTGTTGCTATAATATTGAGCTATGTAGGATATTAACCAGAATTTCTCTTCCTTCCTCTGTGTGCGTCTGTGTTATGAGTATTTTACATATAAATTAATCTGTGATTGTTACATAAATTAAAACATCAGGACCTGCTTCCAAAAGTTCCTGGGCCTCTGGAAAGTACTACTCCCTAAAAACGGGCTATATAAGGGGTAGCTCCTTCACCCCTGGGGAAGGTTCCTGCGGTCGAAATGCATCTTCTGATGGAGAGGTGGAGCAAGATGTTGTCCTGCAATCCATGCTGAGATCTTTAAGGTGATAGTGAAGACAGCGACAATATCAAGATTTATGAGATATCCATGTTTTGTGTATTTTATCATATATTATTTTATGACATAATGGGTCGGGGTTAAAGGGATATGAATTGAATAGGCTAAAAACTAGGTAAAAATAATTACAGATGGATGAGTACCAGGTTGCAACACTGTTTTTGGGAACAACTTAAGTGAAGAACAGACTAGTGTTGGGTGAGCTTGAACAGCAGTTGGAGTTGTCATAACAATCATTTTTCCCACTATTTCCAGTTGTTGTTTTCTTTTGACAAATAAAATATTGGGCATTACATTCTTCTGCTGCATCCAAATTAAACGGAGAACCCAGCGACACATTAACTGCACTTTTAAATTTAGATTTTTTTAAGTTGGACAATGGGGTTGCAACTAAAATAATGCAAAATTGATCAAAGTCTGATTTTATGAAAATCCTGCTTTACTTTGCAATGATGAATAATTCGTTTTTCAGATAATTTTGATGGATGATTCATAAAAGTTGGCTTCATAAATTACCATCCAGACCTGTCTTCAGATTATGGACCTCAGCTGTAAAAGCAGTTTTAATGGGATATTAATCAAATACCGCACAACTGAGCACAGTCCTTTAGCATGTATCCAAACCCAAAAAATAGAAATACAGATGCATTTGTTATTTTTTACCTCTTTTTTTTCTACCTCAGAATCAAAATATGTTGAAAGCATGGACTGTGTGAAACAAGGATGTATCTTGTCACCCTCTGGTTCCATTTAAGTATTTTTAGATTATATTTCATATTTTGTTAAATCTCTTTTTCAGACAGATATCTTTTATCTTTTATGCTGATTTAGAAAGAATTTTGAAATTAATAAAAGCATGTAATGTCTTCACCGTGTTAATTAATTTAAAGTACCATCACAGGAAAATAGTCCTCCTTCTACTAAAGTGAAGAAGATACTTTGGCTCAGAGCTAATGTGATATTTTTATTTTTTAAAGTTCAAAATTAGACATCTTTATGGCCTTTTTGATGCATTATAATAGGCTATGTAAAATAGCAATTATCAACTTATAGTGTTTTTCAAAACAGAGTTACAGAGTGCTTTACAGATGTAGCTACTGCTCTAAAATATTGATATGACAGGAATATATAGTCTATTTTTAGTAGCCTATATTTTTAAAGAAAACTTACTGACCTCAGATGTTGTAAAAAAACATATTTAAAGGTATGAAAAGTTAATTTAAGTAAAAAATGTTCAGTGGAAGTTATAATTAAACACAAAGTTTCCAGTTTTTGTTGGATTACCTATGAGACGTAGGCCTACGAAGTTATAATTTTAAAAAAAGGGATAGTTTTGTAAATAAATAAAGGTTTTTTGATTTAATATGCTTTTTAAACTCTTCAACTAGTGGACAAAAATAACCTCCACTTTATTTCAAGAGATATTTATATTCCTTTAAGTTGTGTAAGTAGGAAATTACACTGACAACATAGAGAGGCCGTTAGCATGCCTTCAAAATAACATACAAAACTTTTATAGTCTGAATAATTTTAATTACAGAAATGCGTTCATGAATTTGTCTTTTATTTTAATTTTCTTGAACTGTATTGGATTCATGAATTTATTTCAAAGATGTGAAAACCAGAAAACCATTTCTGCAGAGTTCAAATTTTTTAATTTGTCGGTTTTTCTGTCTCAGGTCCGAGTGGTGCAGTACAGCCTCGTCGGGTCCAGTCCCAGGCTGTTACTCAGGATGGACGGCTCTCCAGGTTTCTCCTCCCCCGAGCACAACCAGGTCCCTTACCTTTCCTCTCCTCCTTTCTCTTCCCCTGTCTTTCCATCTGTCTCTCCTCCTGTCTCTCCTCCAGTCCCTTCTCTTTCTCTTCCCCCTTCTTTCCACGTCTCTCTCCTCCTATCTCTCCTCCTGCCTCTCCTCCTGTCTCTCCTCCAGTCCCTTCTCCTTTCTCTTCCCCCTTCTTTCCACCTGTCTCTCCTCCTAGCTCTCCTCCTGTCTCTTCTCCTGTCTCTGTCAGAGGAGGAGCAGTCGCCAGGTTTGCACCCCGAGGACCCGGAGGAGCTCTCCAGGAGGAAGGAGCGATGGACGGCCCCACCGAGGACCACTGCGCCCCCTCCATCCACCCGGCTCATCTCCACTGCTCCTGAGCCCAGGTGGACGAAGAACCTACGAGGCCTCCTGAAGCAAAGAATCAAGCTGTCTAACGTGACTCACAAGAGGACTGCTGGATGGATGGAAAACAACCGTCTAAGCAAGAGTCCTTTTGGGGGTCACGTTGGGCCGTAGTTTTATTAAGATTTTAAGCTGTAGCACAGTATTAGATAACTTTAGTTGTTTGCTAAGTTAGATAAGTTAAGTTAGAATAAGTTAAGCTGTTTAGTTAATATAAGTTAAGTTAGAGTAAGTTAAGTTATAGTTAAGATAAGTTAGAATAAGTTAAGCTGTTTAGTTAAGATAAGTGATGAATACATTGACTGTTCAGATGCCCCACATTTGCTAACCACCTGCTCTTTTCCAGCTCCAACCTCTCCTCTAGATATGGCTGAAGTAGAAATATTAGAAATATTGCGTTGTTATGTAATGCGGCATGGGTTAGCCTCCAGCTTGTCAGCAGCTCCTCCTCTCCTCCTCCGGTAAACCCTCTGGTATTAGTTTAAGACATTGACTGTTTGGTTTGGATTCTTAGTGACCATGAATCGCTCGCTCCTCTCCCGCTCCTCCTCTCTCACTGGCTCCGAAACAAACAAATAAAGCTGAAGCTTCAATTAAAAGCAGAAAAAAAGGACTTCACCTTAGACTGGTGTCTTGTGATGTGTTGTTTTGTTCCATGAGTTGTGTTGTCATGCATGTATTTGTGATGTGATGTTTTTTTTTATGTATTGTGATCCCTGGTTCCTTCAAAGTAAGAGCATGTCTTTTACTTGATTTATTCACTTAGTGGGTAAGTTAGTCTAAAAGGTGAGTTTGGTTCCTCCAGAGTGATTGTTTACATAAATTAAGTTTAGTGTAGGACCCTTTTTCATTTTGGTTTTCTTTAGAAAAAGGACCTCAATTGAGAAGAAACCCCCAGAAGAGCCGAGCAGGAGACTGAAGACGCGGAGTGACCGAGCATACAAGAGACAGGCCCATGACGAGAGAGATGAGGAAAAGATGAATGACGGATATAGTGTTTCTGGAGATTTCAAGGTCAATAACTATCAATACTTAAAAGGTTAACAAGTACAACATGCTGGCTTTAAAAAAAATTAAATACAAATTTTTCACAGTAACCAAAGGGCTGTAATTCATGTTTATTTTCAGGTAACTCCAAAGAGTCAAACAACCAAAATGACTCCAGAGTAGCCCAAAGATGACGACCAACCCTGTGATGCAGAAGGAGATTGGATGAACAAGACGACATGGAGAAGTAAAGTAAGTAAAGTTTGAGGGAGAACAAGAAAGGCATGATGTAGCACATATTACAACATATTAAAATAAAACATATTAAAATAAAAACAAAGTTTCAGGTTTGTCTACATCCACCCAGTGGCGACTGCTGGTCTTTCAAGGAGGGGAAACTCATTTTTCTGGCCTACATCATAATTGTGTTTGTGTATTAGTATGTAACAGAACAGAGTCGCAAAACACAACGGCAGTCGTTTTTAACAAAGACAAAAGTCGCTGAGGATCGGTAAAGTCTCCGGAGCAGTTAAGAACAATGGAATAAATAACTTGGAAAATGCTCTGGTAGATGTTTCATTCTTCAAGATCGCTGATTCGCTTGTTTAGCTGTCAATCAAAAAGGGATTTCGCCTCAGACAGCTCATCCAATCATGGATGCAGAAGCTCGGAGTCCGGGAGAAAGTCGGGACCGCCCTCTCGCCATAGAACTCCAGAGAAGCTGAGGGTCCGATGGGCGGGACAAAGCCCAGCATTTATCCAATGAGCGTCTAGTTTCGCCGCTGGAACAACCCACTTTAAGCTTCCACATTGAAGTCAGCAGACGCTGAGCGTCCGGCTGTGTGAAGCGCTGAGGTGCTGCGAGGATGAATGAGAACGAAGTTGTGCCGGTTACCTGTGATTATCAGCTTCTTATCACAGTGTCTGAACAAAAGATGAAGGCTTTCTAGCGCGTATTTAGTTAATGAAATGTACACACAGCAGTACGTATTTCACCATTTTTTCTTTTTTTGGGGGGTTGACATTTTAAGGGAAGCTGAGCTTCCCTTGCAGTCTTAGAGCAATCGCCACTGCATCCACCATAGTGGTAGATAATCTGTCCCTGTAGCTTTTAACTTGCTTAAAACTTCTCCATGTATGTTCATTCTGAAGAAATAAAACAATAGTGATTGACAGATCAGTGCTATCGTGTGAAACTGTACCAGTTCACAGGTCAAGTAATTTTATTAAGATATTGACATAGATAAATATGCAATTACATTCAACATGTGCCTTATTTACTTTTTAAATTTAACACTGCTATAAAAAGGCAGCCGTCTGTTCTACATGCCGCATAAAGTGCCCTTATTTTTCACTGAGCACCTGCCCCCCAAAATGTCTGTGCACGCCACTGACGCCAGGTACCGGATAAAGCCAAACTGGAAGGCTACATAGTGAACCACGATTCATCCAGCACAAATATTATATGTATGTATATATTTTTGACTTAAGACCACAGGGGCTGGACCAGACCCGGACTGGCCATAGGGAGAACCGAGCGTATTCTCGAAGCGCCGGCCCGGCCTCTCTCTCTCTCTCTCTCTCTCTCGCTCTCTCTCTCTCTTCCTCTCTCTTTCTCTTTCTCTAGCTTTTTTTTTAACAGGCTGCCGGTCAGCCTGGTTTGTTTCGATTAACACCCGCCTCAACAGCCCGAATCAACCACACGACAGCGTGTGGAGGAAGGGATGTGTGATATGTGTCTGGTTCCTACTGTAGTGTGTGTGTGTGTGTGTGTGTGTGTGTGTGCGTGTGCGTGCGTGTGTGAGTGTTTCTGTGTGTGTCAGGAAAAAATAAAAGAGCAAGCCCCTAAAATAAGAGATTGGGATTTTAAAATCACGGATTTACAAGCCACCTTTTTGATTTACTGTTTTTGAAATTATTTATTTTTGCAACAGCCAGTATATAATAATTCCTTTAATATGTATATAAATACAAGGGCATATAAAGTGGGTTATTACCGCCACAGATGGACCAGAAAATGTCCATGTAAAATAAGCTGAGTGTTATAGTTACTATTAATATTGGAGTGCATATTTTTTTGAATCAGCACAAAACAAAGTGTGTGTTTGTTTGTGTGTGCGTGTGTGTGTGTGTGTTTCGTGTATGCGTGCATGCATGCCTATGCTTGTAGGTTTGGGGGTGAACGTGCGTGTGTGGGCAAGGCCAGGGTGGGCTGGTTACATGACTGACTCCTGGCCTGAAAAAGTCTCCCAGTCCGGCCCCGGGCTGGACTTTTACTACTTGCTGTCCTTATTCTTTAGATAGGAAGTCCAGATCCAAGATTTTAGAAGCAGTAGGTTACTGGATCAAATGTGTCCGCTATTTGACCAAATGTTAACGATGAAAGACTTATAAAATCTCCTCACTGGCAAAGACGTTTAAGAAATTAAAAAGTAATAAATTACCGTAAATACAGTAGCTGTGAGGTTTCGGTCAAAAACCCGGTTGCTATTTATCTTTGCGCATTTTCAAGGGGGTATACGGCGTATACAGATCACAACACCATGTATGAATCACACAGTGTGTACAGTGAAAGTAAAAGTCAGATGAATCAGCCTCTCAGTCTCACTGCGGACAATGATGGACAAGTTTAAGACGGTCTTGAACATCGCCAACCAACAGTCCAGCCTCGGGTTTGGGGTTGTGGCCCTGCTGACGGCCGGAGGGGAGCAGATCTTCTCCACGGTGGTCTTCAGGTGTCCCTGCAACTCATACTTCAACTTTGTTTACGGAATGGTGTTCTTGCTGGTGCCCGCTTTGGCCCTGCTGCTGCTTGGGTACATCCTCAGTAAGAAGACCTGGAAGCTGATCACAGGTCTGTGCCGGTCAGGAGAGCGATCGTGCGGGTGCAAGAAGATGTCTACAGCCGTGTACGTCCTTTTCCAGATCAGCATTTCTGCGCTGGTGGCCCCGTCCTCCTGGATCGCTGTGGCTCTGCTCAGCGGGAACTACTTTGAGTGCGCAATGACCGGGACCAACGTAAACAGCTACTATAGCCACCTGTGTGAAGGCACGTCTGATGCGGTGAAATGTCAGGAGGAGCTGTTCAGGTTCCCCTGTGGGCAGGAGAAGGAGGTTCCGGAGGCTGACCGGGATAAAGTGTTGCTCACTCTCAGGGCTCACTCTCAGGTCAGTAAATGCACCTCTGATTGCGTGTAAACACACCACTGACAACGAGGAAACTTGATCATTACATTCAACATGAGCATGAAAGAAAAATCATAGCACACAGGTAAAAACAGTGGGGTCGACATTGTATGATAACCCTTTCAATATCACAGTGAAGACATATTTTTCACTTCAGCTGCATAGCAGTGAAAAAAGGAGAACTAAAAGTGAACAAGGGGAAACACTGAGAGGAACAGAAACGGGTTCAAAACACAATCTGCTAACTGTGGAGAAAAAAGGAGGTTACATGTTCTGTATATGAGGGTGTGGGCGCTTGTTATTGTCTGCAGCACTGCAACACTGATCGATCTCAAACCTGGTGGAAAGTCAGCGTGTCTAGAAGTTTCACTAATTAAATAAATAAATACATAAATAGTAGGGCTGTCAAACGATTACAATTTTTAATCGAGTTAACCACAGCTTAAAAATGAATTAATAGTAATTAATTGCAATTCAAACTATCTCCAGAATATGCAATTTTTCTGTGAATTATTGTTGGAATGGAAAGATAAATGACACAAGATATACACATTCAACACACTTTACATATGAACTGTATTTATTTATTATAACAATAAATCCACATGAGATGGCATTAAAATTATTAATGTTCTTTTTTTCTGTAGTAGACAGTATTTTTTTTCTCTCTGCAAAAACAAAAACACATAAGGGCCTCTTTTGTTCAGTAACAGAAAATGGTATTTTTTCCCCTTTTCAAACTAGCGCAACATGGCCTCTGCAGTAAAAAACATCAGGCTAAATCTACCTGCTTCTGTTTTGAGCTTCATCATATAAATCAAATGTTTCCTCTGCTGTGTGCAAACAAAGTGTGTGTGTGTAGTGTACACATTTGAATGTGGCCCTCTTCTCTACTCATCCTCTAGCCAGTCGCTGAGGCAAACCAACTTATTTACATTTTCTGAGAGTAAAGCTGCCCTCCTCTTGTTCACAATGTGACCTGCAACTGAGAAGAGTCTTTCACATGGAACCGAGGATGCAGGAGCAGCTAGATATTTACGAGCCAGTGGGCCCAGCTTCTCATGGGCCCCTGCATGAGATGACCACCACCGCAAGGAACAGTCCTTCATATCAATTGTGGGCTCTGCTCTGTACCTCAGTATGGCTCTGTCAGCCTGTACCTCCTCCTCAGATTCAGAATCTGAGCCCAGCTTTAGAAGAAGGGTCATTTTCTTCTTGGGTGGCCCATCTTCAGAAGTCTGAGATCTTCTGGGTGATTTGTCTCACAGCATGGCTCCAAGTGTGGTCCACAACTCTTCTCTCTCTGTCTTGGGCAGGCTCTTTAACTCTTTAAAACGTGGATCCAATGCTGTTCCAATCTTGAGCCATGCATGGTTGAGGTGTTCTTGGCGAGAGGCTAGGTTGTCCTCGAATTTATCCTTGAACTTCACCACATACGCAGGGTCCTCTTCAGAGACTTCCATTTTATAGTGCAAGTGACGGAGGGCAGGCAATACCATGGAGCAGGAGACGTAGGCCTCTCCACCAGGGAGCTCAGTTACATACCTGCAGTGATACACACACACACACACACACACACACACACACACACACACACACACACACACACACACACACACACACACACACACACACACACACACACACACACACACAAAGAGACAGAGAGAAAAGAAAAGTAAATAACTTGAACACAACTTGTAAGATTAATGTTTAATATTCATTTGTTTCATTTAATTTCAGCTACAATGAATGGTCACATTATATATTCATTTGATTAATTTTGTTTCAGCCTACAATCTACTATGAATGGTCACATTATATCAGTGATTTTGGGGACTCTCTGGCTTCCTTTTAGGTGGTATAAATTGCCCCTTACAAGTCTGTGACAGTGTACATTTATAGGCTACACTATCAGAGTTATAAGAGGAGACCTTGAAATTTTAAAGTTTGAGAACCACTGCATTATATAATGGCATGCTCACTGGCAGGGCTCTAGAAGGGTCTCAAGTCTCTGGATTTGTCCCATTCTGCTGGCGTCAGCATAACAAGCTTGTGCTGCTGTTGGTCCAGGGTGGTGTTTATTGCTGCTTGATTGCGTGTCATGCGCAGAACCATTTCCAATGTAGAATTCAAGTGCGTTTTAACATCCTGGGTCAGTGGCTCCTCTTTCTGTTTCCTCTCCTTTTGCTCTGCATTCAGCTCCGCTAGGTTCCCTGGGCTATGCTTGAAATGACCCACAATTTTGCGACACTTGGCCAACGCACTGTCAAACGCACCATCAGCGAGACTCACAGTGATGCTTCGCTGTATGATGTGGGCAATACAGGGCATGTGGTCGTATGGTAGAATGCGAGCCGCGGCTGTCATATTACGTGCACTGTCCGTCCCAATGCATGTAACTTTTCCTTCAATAGCCCACTTGCGTGCTACAGTTCTGAACTGTTCAACACATGGCGACGCGAAATGACGTTCCTCTGTTTTCATTACAGTTAGTGCAAATGAGTCAAGTTCCCATGTTTTAGTGATATGATGTGCAGTCACTCCCAGGTAATTAGTGCTACAAACTGAGGTCCAGTGGTCTTCTGTCAGGGCGACACAGCCTCCTCTTTCTTCTTTTTTCTTGGTCTCATAAAGAATGCTCGTCCTATTCATTATTGTGCCTCTTGCTGGTGGCTTGTAGGATGGGTCAAGGGACGCTACTCTCAATGTTTTAGTGAAGCCCTTATCTTCAACTATGCTAATCGGTCTACAGTCCATTGAAACCCACTCGGCAATTGTGTTGGTTAATTTCTCCAAGGTGGAATTGCTCATTGGCCTGCGTTCGGTTAAAGTGGTCTGCCACAAGCCAAGTGTAGCACTGGAACTGGAAGCCCCAACAAACGCATGCTTAGCGTTGAGATGGTACTTTAAGCTTGAATAGCTGCGGTGGAACTGGAACTCCTTCTCGCAATGAGTGCAAATCACTACCTGCTCATTTATTGTTCCATCTGTATTCTTTTTAAACTTGAATCTCCCATCCAGAGGGCCAACCTGCTCTTTTTCCATGTTTACATTTACACTCATGTATCGGCTCTGCTGCTCACTGCACTTCTGAGTGGGATTATGGGATGCATGGGTGGGTCATTATGCGCATGTGTCAAATGCGTTAAAGATTTTAACACGACTAATTACAAAAATTAATTACCGCCCTTTAACACGATAATTTTGACAGCAGTAATAAATTAATAATAATTGTTTATGTTATGCAAATGTGGCACATGATCGTTTCTGCTGTGCAGAGTGATTCTTTCAAAAATATGATGAGCAATGCCTTGACATAACTCTTACAGTGGTCTGTGTATTCTGTGAGTGAAGGGTGCTACACACTGAGGGCTTATTAAAGAAATATGAGACCTACGAACATGGAAATTTGAGTATGACTCATTAAAACGTTCCAAATTTGCACAATGTGCACAAAAATGGAACTCAAGAAGTGAATTCTGTGAACAGCACAGTACTGCTGATCTTTCACAGTCACATTTGATTTTAGGAACTCAAGTCCACACATTCAGTGTTTGGAGGGTTAATGTTGTTTTGTTGTCAGGCTCATAAGTCTGTTGAGCAAACACAGGAAAACCACTTCCTGTTGTCAGAGACTTTCACATCAGGTGGCTGAAATCTGACTTACCCTTGAAGGTGATCTCTGTAAAATCTGTCATTGCTGTAAAACAGACATGAAAACATGGAAACAAGTCACTTTTTGAAAGTTCAAGACAAGTTTAAAGTTCCTGAGTGAGGGTCAAGTTTGAAGCCTCTGGGGTGCAGCAGCAAATCTCAGTCAAGCCTCTCATGGTTTTGATTCATAAAATAACCAAAACCAAAAGAACCCGGGGGCTCTCTTGATTGTGAACGTATACATTACTACATTTATTCCACATCATGTTATACAATAATATTAGGTCTGTTTAAATACATGAATTGTAATTGTTGATATTAATCCAAAATATCAGAAAGCTTCTCCTGACTATCACATGAAGATTATATGTACTTCAAACATGTGTTTATGCTCCTCATTAGTCTTTTGTCTGCCTGTGTATCTCCTTCAGTCTTCCCCTTCTACTATCAGCGATCAAGGTGACTTCAGCCTCTCACAGCCCAGGGCTGATAACCTTTTCTTCTCTTTGCATTGGCTGGCTGCACACACACTCACCCCACTCACACTTACACATGCAGGCAGACATACACAAAGCTAAAGAAGTGTCATCCTGCCACCCATCATCCTTAACTGTAGTTAACCCTGCCATGATCAGAGGCTCTCTGAAACTTCCCTGTTGCTTCTGCACTCAAACGTGAAGGAGGGCCATGGGAAAAGGGATCGGGAGTGGAGGACAGAATGCTGATGGGCAGCAGGAAATAACAAAAATGAAGAAGAAGAGTAAAAATGACAGAGAAGAATGTAGGTTCAGGTGTGAGGTAAAAATGAAGAGAGCAGGAAACAGAATTCTGATTTTAATTTCAGAATTCAGACCCTAATCTCAAAACTCTGACTTTACTCTAAAAATCCTGATTTAAATCTCAGAAATCTGATGTCAAACTTCAAATTCTACTTCAGGTTCATAATTGTAAAACCTCTCTAAATCTTCCTTCATGATTCGAAGGAATTTAATAAATGACTGAGGGATCTCAATTTTCTGCTGTCTTTTTGGTGTCCACAGATTCTGGGCTGGCTCCTCATCGCCTCCATCATGTTGTTCAACCTGCTTTTGACCTGCCTGGGCCGTTGCACCTCTCCAATCAGCTACCTGCAACTCAAGTTCTGGAGGGTCTACGCCCGGGAGGAAAGCTGTCTGATCGACTCTTACACCACCAAACATGCCAAAGAGCTTGCTGAGAGGAACGTGATGAGCTTCTTTACTATGAGCTCACCTGATGACATCCAAACCCCATCTAACAAAGACTGGGAGAGGATCTCCTCCCTGTTCAAGTTCAGCTCCAAAAAACAGTACTACAGCACCCTGCACTGCTGTGTTGAGAACCACGAGGAGTTGGACAGCGGGAAGGTGAGGATGCAGTCAGTCAGGTCGACTGACTCAGCGACAGTCAACCCCCAAGTCCTGGATTTCGTAGATGATGGCAGGATGACGCTGTGAAGAGACACTTGTCTATGAAGATTATATACATATATTTTTTTTAAGCAGACACAGGATCTCAGATGTTTGTGATGAAATTTTTAAACCCACTGACACAGTTTTCAAGATGATTTGCACATCCACTAAAGTTCTCTTATCTCGGATCTGTTCATAGTGAGGAACAAAGTTTAAAAACATCTAAGGGTACTCCCACACATATCTAGGTGCTGACATGTATGAGGTACTCATTATGCAATATTGATAAATCATTTACACTACAGGCCAAAAGTTTGGAAGCAAGGCCATTACAGGCCGAACCTCTGGGAGTAAGTTTTTGTTCACAATGCTTTTTTTAAAATCCAGCATGAGTTTTATGTATTTTGGAATGTATTTACTCCATGATCAGATGTTGCTTTTATGGAAATGCACCATTTTACTCCATTAACTTTAGATATACATTGATGTTAACAGACCATTGCTAAATATATGTAAGCAAAAGATAATAAGGGCTTAGTTTTAGGGTTGAAAACATTTGCAAGAGTCACAACTTCAGTGCAAAAGCAAAAAAAAAACAAAAAACAAATCACAGTTGGATTATTCACTTCAACTTTTTGGCTTTTAAGAGTCTGCATACAAAAATCCTAATAAATCTCAACTGCATTCAAACTACCACAAAAATGGCAAGAAAGAAGCAACTGAGTAAAGAAACAAAAGTACAGATTTGTACATTGAGGAAAGAAGGATACACAGAAAGAGAAATTGCAAAATGCCTGAAGGTGTTTAACAAAGGAGTCCACTACACTCTGAAGAGACTAGAGGAACCTGGAAGTTATGATGATAGAAAAAGACCTGGACGAAAGAGAGTTACTACAAAAGCAGAGGATAAACATATCCTTGTCACCAGTAAGAGAGATTGGTGAAAGACAGCACCACAAATAATAAGGGAAGAAATCAACATGACAAGGTCGAAACCCATATCTCTGACAACCGTGAATGACGTTTGAGAAAGGCTGGTCTGAAGGGTTGTGTATCTGCAAAAAAACACTACTTCATCCACAGAACAAGAAAAAGAGATGTGAGTGGGCAAAAGCTCACAAAAATTGGACTTATGATGACTAGAAACACATTTGTGACTGTTTGGTTCAAAACGCAGAGTCTATGTCCGCAGACAAACTGGTTAACGTCTGAAAGCACCATGTGTTACACCCACAATTCAGCATGGAGGTGGTAGTTCCATGGTATGGGGATGTTTTGCAGGTGATTGAGTAGGAGATTTGTTTGAAGTAAAGGGTATCATGAAGAAGGAACAGTACCACTCCATCCTCCAGCACCATGCTGTTCCATCTGGACTCAGACTTGTGGCTCATAAGTTTGTTTTGCAGCAAGACAAGGACCCTAAGCACTCTGCCAAGCTCTGTCAGGGTTACCTAGACAAAAAAGAAAAGGAAGGTTTTCTTCAAAAGATGGTTTGGCCCCCTCAGTCTCCAGACCTTTCTCCAATTGAGCTTGTGCGGGATGAATTGGATCGATCGGTCAGAAAAACGTGTCCCACAAATCAGCAGTCTCTTTTTAATAAACTTAAGAAAGCTTGGAATGCAATCCCTGGAACATACCTTAAAAAACTTGTGGAACGAATGCCTGGTATATGCCAAGCTGTTGTTAAAGCCAGAGGAGTTTACTTTAAAGAAAGCAAATTCTAAGCAACAATAACTCAAATACCTAATAATTATAGTCAAAATGTCTTCTGCTAAGTTACTCTTTACACAATAGTCATGTTTATTGTGTTGCAAATTGTATATATGAAACTATGATGTTTTTTTGTACAAATCTGATCTTGCTTCCAAACTTTTGGCCTGTAGTGTATATATAAAGACATATGTTATCACAATGTAACTTACACAACTTTGTAGCTGTAAAAATGCATGTGTTCTGCTGTTGTTCTGTTGTCTGCATATCTGCTGATGTTATCTTGACCACAACGAAACTCTCTCCTGACATCAAGACTCTGGAGATGCAGTCACAGATTTATTGATGCTGCAGAAAAGTCAAAAATCAAAATCAGTCAAAATCAGCCTCATGCTTGGCTTTAACTGCATTTAATAAGAACACACACACTGCAAATACACACAAAATGTTTTTATACATGAATTTAATGTATTTTAAGCCTTATGTTAGATAAGTATTAATGATTTCGAAATGTTTAATAGTAGCTACTGTAATTCAGCTTCCAGTGACCATAAATTCACCTACTTCTTCACAGCTTTCTCTAGACCTGTGTGCTGTTACAGATCTGGCGATTAAATTCTATTACATCTTCCAACTCAGCATTTCAGTTTCATTTGACAACACAGTACACTAAAGAGACATTGGAACAAACACAAAGACAAACAAATCACTGAGACACATCATCAAAGAATACATTTAAAAACATGAGAACAAGATTTAGTTGGGTTACGGTAGGGGTGATCATTTTTTTAACCTTACATGAAAAAGTTGAATTTGCTGTAAACTCCAAACCGGATGAGCTTTAATATATCATTTAATATAAGTCATTTTGCTCCTGAACAATCTGTCCCCGGAGATCAATACAATTTTAAAATAAATTCTAAAACTAACATGACACTGATGTAGGGAGGTTAACTGGCTAAACCCACAATGACCCTAACCCTCCTGAGATGCGCAAGCCTACAGCGCCCACCGGATCCGATCCGCCGCTGCCATCGGAGAAGAAGCGCCCGCTATTTCTCGCAAGACCGATATTTCTCGCAAGACTGGAAGAGATCTCACGAGCTCTCGCATATTTCCCTGGGAGTCATAGAATGAGATCCGCCAGTCGGTGTACATAAATGGCGGTGAAAATAACGCTCACATCCCACAACCCTGGCCTCTCCTATTGTCAAGTTATCAACAGTTCAATGTATTCACTTTGTTTTATTTTGAAAATTAACTGGGTATCTTACTCTGTAACCGCACTCAACTTCCGCTGCTGCTCGTTCCGGACCCTGTAGATTTTGCCTGTAAAAGGGGGGTGATGAGATGTGGTCTGTGAGAGTGTAAGAATGACCCTCTGAGCGTTCATGACCATAGAAAGAGGCAGAGGCAGGAGATGAGTCTAACCCACACAGTGGGCATTTATTTACAGTGCACAATCACTAATAATCACTAATAAAAGACACCCCTCAAAATGGCGCTAACCCCCATTTAGCCACCTATATAGGGGTTAGGGATCCATTTCGGACACAGCCAAAGGCGACTCAAAATTTTCCATTGAAGCATTGCAAAATGTAGTGACCATCCGATGGTCACTCACCATTGGTGGGCATCCCGTCATGCATTGCATCTTGCCATATAGTGTCCGAAACCTCTGGTGATTGAGTTCACTACATAGTCAACTATATAATGAAACCCCATATGGGGGTAAGGGGTTAGGGGTTGAGTGATTCAATTCGGACACAGCCAAAAAAGGCACAGTTAAGTGTTCAGCATATTTACAACAGATTCACTTTAATATTGCACCTTTCCCATACTGCACTACGTACAAATCTGCATGGACTTCTTTAACCTAACCTATATTTCTCATAAGTGGTGCAGCTAAAGCAATCCTGGCCACCACACGACCAGCCATCATCCTTAAGCCACATCATCAATCCAAATAAACATACCTTAACCAAAATACCTCTCAGACTCCTGTATTAACATGTCGGGTTTGTTTTATCAGTCACACAATCCTGCAATGCCCCTTCGATTTATACCATGACCACTTATTGCTAGCTGCATCAATCCTCAGCTACAATGGGGAAATTAAGTATTGAACGCGTCAATATTTTTCTCTTTACATTTATTTCCAAAGATGCAACTGAAATGAAATTCCTCCGAGGCATTGGTATTAATTCAAATAATCCACACATAAAAAGAAATCACAACGTTCAAGTCCATAAATAATGATTATGTGGAATTAAGTGCACTAACACAGGGAAAAACACCATGGAAAGGCTGTATACTTTGGCAAGGAAATGCGCCACACCACCTGAAATCTGTCAGTAATCATTACTTGTACATCCAATCAGTGCAAACCAACATCGGCGGGGTTAGAGCAAATTGATGGTCCTATAAGCAGGTCGTTTTGTCTCCAAGAGGTCAAACAAGACACATCTCATGATGGGTAAAGGCAAAGAGCTCTCTGAAGACATTCGCAACTTGATTGTTGCTCAGCATCAGGATGGAACTGGTTACAGACTTATATCAAAGCGCCTGAATATTCCAGTCAGCACCGTTGGGGCTATTATCCACAAATGGAAGAAGCACCACCTTACCATCAACAGGCCACGCTCAGGAGCTCCTCGCAAGATTTCTGACCAGGGAGTACGAAAGATACTCAACAAGCCAAGGACCACCCTGAAAAAGGTACAATTGTTACAGAGAAAACAATTGGCAATGCATTCCACCGCCATGGCCTCTATGTACGCTCAGCCCGCAAGACTCCATTCCTCAAGAAAAAGCATGTTGAAGCTCGTTTAAAGTTTGCTAAACGGCATCTTGACAAGCCTGTAGAATACTGGGAGAATGTTGTCTGGTCAGACAAGACCAAAATTGAACTTCTCGGCTGTCATACTACGCACGATGTTTGGAGAAGAAATGGCACCGCACATCACCCAAAAAACACTGTACCAACAGTGAAGTTTGGAGGCGGAAGCATCATGGCATGGGGTTGTTTCTCATCTCGTGGTATTGGCAAACTTCATATAATTGAAGGAGCAATGAGTGGAGCCATGTATCGGGAAATTCTTGATATGAACCTGCGGCAATCGACCAGGATGATGAAGATGAGACGTGGCTGGTACTTCCAGCAGGACAACGATCCAAAGCACACGGCAAAGTTAACTCTCAAATGGTTTCAAAAAAAGAAAATTAATCTGTTGGAATGGCCCAGTCAATCTCCTGACTTAAATCCAATTGAACATTTGTGGAAGGAACTAAAGAAAAGGGTCCACCAGAGGGCACCAAGAGACATTCAAGATTTAAAGACAATATGTCTGGAGGAGTGGGCCAAAATCACATCTGAGCAGTGTGGATGATTAGTTAAAATATACCAGAGGCGTCTGGAAGCTGTCATTGCAAACAAAGGCTTCTCCACTAAGTATTAAATGAGTCTCAGTTAGTGTGTTCAATACTTTTTTCCTGTGTTATTGCACTTAATTCCATATATTCATTATTTATGGACTCAAATGTTGTGATTTCTTTTCATGTTTTCTGGAATAAAAGTAAAGATGCGAGTCCGACGACGAATACCAACTATGGTAAACACATGCGATTGCAGCCAAAGCACTAGTCATACAGGCGGCGGTAAAGCAACATAAAATGGTAAAACTTACAGCTTCCACGTTTGAAGTTGGGTCCCTGACATGGACAGTCGGTAAAGATCCAGGTTTTAACTCCAGCTGACTTGCAAATCCTGCTTTGAACTGCCCCTCATTGGTAAAACAGTCCATGGTGAAATGGCTAATAATAATAATAATAATAATAATAATAATTTTATTTATATAGCACCTTTAAAAACAGAAGTTTACAAAGTGCTTAGACAACAGTTGCAAGCACAGAACATCAGCACATGAAAATAAAAACACATAAAAACAAAAGCTCAGTTAAAAACAGGCCTCTGAATTGTAGGCCTGTTTCACTTTTCGTAAGAAACCCAGGCAATACAAGAACCCTATAAAATAAATGGGACCATGAGGACCAAAATAAAAACATAAAATGAAATAGAAAAGGAGGGCAGGAAACAGGCTAGTAAGTATAATAGAGGATATTAATAATAATAATAAAATCATAATAAAATAATAATGATGGTAATATAAATGATAAAGTGGAATTAAATATATATATATATATATATATATATATATATATATAAAATAAAGGAAAATAAAAAACATTAAAATCAATGAAGGACCTGAGAGATAAAATAAGAAAAGATTATAAGTAAAACAAAGGCTAAAAAGGCAGTAAGTCTAAATAAGAAAGAGGTAAAAGAGGTAAAAGAAAAAGGAGAAAAAGAAAAAAGGTAAAAGACGATAAAAGATGAAAGATGGCATCACATAAAGGCAAGTCTGTAAAAGTGAGTTTTTAAAATTGACTTAAAAGAAGCGACTGTGAAGGGAGGCTAAAATTGGGGTGATGTGATGCCGTCGACTAAAACCAGTTAAAAGCCTAGCTGCTGCATTCTGAACTAGTTGGAGGCGAGAGAGTGATTTCTTGTTTAAACCAGGGAGGAGAGAGTTACAATAGTCCAGTCTTGAGAAAATGAAGGCGTGGATTATCTTTTCGAGATCTGGTGGGGTGAGTATTTGTTTAATCTTTGAAATGGAGCGCAGGTGAAGGAAACAGGACTGGACAATCTTGTCGATATGGGTGGAGAAGGTGAGGTCTGAATCGAAGGTTACTCCCAGATTTCTGGCTGTTGGTTTGATGATTACTGAATGTGGACTGAGACAAGACTGAATGAGGGGGGAGTTTTGTATGTTACAGAGAATTATTTCAGATTTTGAATAGTTTAGCTGAAGGAAATTTTGTGCCATCCAACAGTTAATGTCACTTAGACAGTCCATGACAGCAGCTAGGCCTCTTGGGTCCTCAGGTCTCAAAGGAAGGTATATCTGTGTGTCTCCTGCATAGCAGTGAAAGGAGACTTTGTGGTGCTGAATTAATTGGCCGAGGGGCAGCATGTAGATAGAAAATAAAATTGGACCTAAAACTGAACCTTGCGGAACACCACAGGGGATAGCAGAAGTAGAGGAGGTGTGATTGCCTATGGTGACCGCAAAGGTTCGTTCTAAAAGATACGACTGAAACCAGCCAAGTGCAGTGCCCCTGATACCCACCCAGTTTTTAAGATGTTCAATTAAAATAGTATGATCAACTGTATCAAAAGCTGCACTGAGATCTAAAAATGGGGGGGGGGGGGGGGGGCATTTTATTGGTAACTGACTTGTGACTTGAAACTGCAGCATATCCTGTCCTTTGGTTTTGAATCATAGAGTTTATCCTAATAGGTTGTACTGTACTCCATCCTCTTATCTCTGACCATATCTCACTGATATCACTGTATGGTGTCTTACTGTATCAAACATAAATGCCCATCATGTTGACATGTGCAGAAGGTGTGTCTTTCAGGTTTCTTTCCTGTAGGATGCTCCGGTACCGTCACCTCCAACAGCAGCTGAGACTTACCCAGGAGCAAGAGCAGACAGAGTGGATAAAAAGTTGGAGTGTGGAGGAGCATCAGGTTGAGTGAAGGAGGAGTCAGAAGAGAGAGGGAGCAGCCAAAGGGAGGGGCACAACAGGTTAGACGGATGGGTTTTGTCCGATTTGTCTTGCTGCTTGCACCCTCTAAACTTCCTTACTCTCTCGGTTGTTGCTCTTCACTTTGGCTTTTCCGTAGTGGAGTGTGTGTCAACCTTCGCTGCAGACACCATGAATCGCTTCAAGGTCATCCTGAAGTTCCTCCTGGACCAGAAATCCACTATTGGGTACAGCTTAATGGCTCTGTTTACTCTAGGTGGGGAGCGAGTCTTCAACAGGGTCTCCTTTCAGTGTCCTTGTAACCACCAGCAGAACTTTGCCTATGGGCTGACCTTTCTTCTGGGCCCAGCTGTGGTTCTACTTGTTTTGGGTCTGTTCCTTAGTACCAGATTCTGGAAGCTCTTTACCGGCTGCTGTCTGAACCCAAAGAAGCTTCTCCCCAAGAAGAACAACTGCGATAGCCTTCCAGAGCTCATGAGCGTCTTCTGGGGGGCATGTGTGGTCCCCATCATGTGGCTGTGCATTGCCCTCATGAGCGGGACCTTCTATGAGTGTGCAGCCAGTGGGCTGAAAAAACACCTTGTGGTGGATCACTTCTGCAAAAACAAGACAATAAAGTGTCTGGAGGAGTTGGCCCAGGTTCCCTGTGAACGCTCCAAACTGCCCAGTGAGGAGCGTGCAGAGCTTCGCCTGATGTTCAAGGCCCAGTCACAGGTAAGATATACAGTACACCTGAGCATCCCACCAATCACATAGAGGCCCTCTTTTCTGCCTGTGTAGTGTCTTATGCAGATCTGGAGGTGCTCTGTCTGGGTAAATAACCCATGATGTTGTTTTTTTTATGCCTGGTATGAAATCATAAATGTATAACACAAAATGCTTGTTAGTGATACCTATGAACACAAATTCACAAACATTTAAGTTTTGCAGAATAATTTAGACTTTGTCACATTAATAATAAAATAATGTACTTTTACTTTGATATATTGGCTACACACTCATCCCTACTTTTACTTGTCAGCAGTGTATTTGAAGTTACTAATTTTTACCACTGTCACTCACAAAGCATCAGTATGACTAAGCAAAGAGGTGGGATCATCTGATATTCAGTGTTCAGTAATTACTGCAGTCAGTGCTGTTGTATTTGTGTAACTGTGGTGGTAACAACATCAGCTGAGCAGTACGATGGAGCAACTAAGCTTTCAGGTGATAAACTGAGGTGTTGATGCCATTATAATAATATAATTATTATTGAAAATAACAGCCCTTTCTAAGTTTATTTTTTTTTAACAACATAAAATCAGATGGTGAACATCAAAACCTCTTCACCGCAGAGGATAAAATCTTTTTTCTTTTGTAGTGTAAAGGGTCATTTCAAAGAGCTTGACTGGATCTTTCCATTCATTTCATTTACCATGGTAAAGCAACTGTTTTTCAGATGGAGACTACACCTATTTACTCAATGACGGAGGTATGGCATAAAACAGCTGCTGCTTGTTTTATCCTTTAAGATACTGCCCCTCTGATTCTGCTGAAGAAAGTTTCCTCTTTCTAATGAGTCTGCACAAACTCTGCAGAACTGCTGTAGTGCACCAGAACCAACAAAGTCAACGCCCTTTAATGTATTTTAAGAAATACATTAATTGCTGTTGTGAGCAGGTTATGATAGGTGAACACTGACTGAGGCATCCCCAGACCCCTTTGGTGGTGCAAACAGCAAAATAACATTTATTCAGAGATTTAGTCACATTCACCTGCAGGTTTTTACTTAAAAAGAAGAAGAAGAGATAGGAAAATATATTGTGCAATCATTTTTTTTTTTTTTGGTCATTTATTGTTTTTGTATTTTTCAAAGATTAAGAAAAGGAAGAAAGTTAAAAGGGAACTTTGATTTTTGGTTCGCAGCATTTTTTTTAAAAAGATATATGGTCTTGGTCTCACCCCAATCTCCACCTGCTCTGGTCTCAGTCTTGCCTCAGTCTTGATCTCTTGCTCTTGTTCTGGTCTTGGTCAGTGTGGTCTTGACTTCAATGCTAGCTCTTAGAGTTCAAATATCATAGGTAGAACGGTTGTAATAGATTCATCATGCTCAGTTTATTCTAGCATTAGTAGATCTGTGCTTTGTCTGCATATCAATACAAAGGTGATTAATTTAAACATGTAACTACTTTAAATTTATTTAACTGTGACTGTTACTTAGGCGGATGGAAACTTGTTCCAAAAAAAAAAAAAGAAACTTGTTCCAAAAAAAAACGTCGAAAACATCAACTTTGTTTTGGTTGTTTTTGACTGTTTCTGTATTTGAATGGGAGCAGAGAAATACCAATGGACACCTTTGATGCAGACAGGATTTCTGTCAAAACAGGGGGAAAAATTGTTTCTCAAAGTAAAATTGTCTCAGTTTTACTTTGAGCAAGGAGGTGATTGAATGTGTCCCAACATACGGAGGTAAATTGAGATAAAAGCACAGCCATGAGACCTGAGACTCCTTCAGACAAGTCAAATGTGCACACGTAAAATCAAGATTTTTGCAGTGTGTTTCTTGCAGATGCTCATATTGTGAGATTGATAGTTCTGTGATGTATTGTGCAGCCATAATTTATCCCCTCACTTTCTCAATTATCAGTTCATATCTCTCCGTGTCTCTGCACAGATCTTGGGCTGGAGCATCATCATCATTGCAGTCGTTGCCGCCCTCCTGGGAATCTGCCTCAGATACAGTTGCTCCGAAGTCAGCTACCTGCAGCTCACCTTCTGGAAACACTACATGGAGAAAGAGAAGGAACACTTAAACACCTTCACTGTGAAATACGCTTCAAAGCTGGCTAAGAGGAACATAAAGAGCTTCTTTGAGAACAAACCCCCTGGCTTGTTCCCCTTACAAACTCACGAGGCATGGAAGAAGATCTCTACATACAGCACCTTCTCCAAAGGCAAGGAGTGCTACAGCAATCTACACCAATACGTGGAGATGAGAGATTGGGATTTGTCTCTGGAGGAGAAACCTGTCCAGGACTAGAATTTTGGGATTGAGACACTCTGGGTTAATCAGAGACTGGTAGAGACAGCACACTCATCATTTTAACGTAAAGGTCCCATATAATGCAAAATTCACTCTTGAATGGTTTTCTAACAATGATATGTATCCCCAGCCTGTCTACAAACCCCCCTAAAATGAGAAAATTATATCCTCATCCTCTCTTACTTGTTCAATCTTTCAGAAAATGTCTGCTCAAACAGGCAGATTGAAACTCTCGTCTTTTATGATGTCATGGACGGCGATAACTCCTCCCCTTCGGGTTGGTGACCCTGTCCAAGATGTTTGTTCTGCCCCCTAAAAAAATTCTACTCAGACACTATTTTTCTCCCTTGCAAACGCTGATTCAAAATGGCGAAGGTTTGAGCAAGGCACGGCAGTTGCTCTGTTGTTGGCTGCACAAAGCAGCACAGAAGTCTGTTTCCGTAGACTGCAAGGACATAGTCATGAGAGGTAACTATACTTCCAATATTGCGCATTCACCAAAAGAGCTCCAAGTAACGAGAAGACAGTGGAGATGTAACTGTTAGCAGAAGCTAATGTTACCGAGCTACATGAAAGTCATCATGTACCAACCATAGACTGTATATACTACGGACAACTTGGTTCCGCCTTCTGCCGAAGACTGTATCAAGTGTCAATCATAGAAAACATGAAACCCCAATAACTTTTAAAAATGGAGCTGCACAGAAAAAAATAGGACTTTAGCACAAACCAGGGTGCTGTTTTCAGGGTGGCTTTACCCAGAGAGGCATCCATTCTTTATATAGTCTATGGTACCAACACACAAACAAAGTAACAAGAAAAATATGGAGACGCATGACATTTGTACCTAACCATTCAGAAACGTCCTGCTGCAGCTAGGAGCCTGTCCTTCTGGGTCAGACTCTGGATCAAACTGATACGGCTGGACCACAGTGCTTCTACGAGCCATACCTAGCACTCTGTGGAAACTTTAACGCATAGTACTGTTGCACAAGCCATGCTCCCCTCTTCCAAAGAGACAGGGAGGGGCGTGGCTTGCGCTGAAGGAGGTGTGAACAGGTGCAGCACACAGAAACAGTGTGATCTCGGTAGAGCTCTCTAGAGAGAGTTTTCAGGCTTGCTGAAGTCCAGGAAAAAACTGGGTTTTTAGACAACAAATTTCAAATTGACTGTTCTGGGACCTCTGAGACCTATGTGAACCTGCTGAAAAGGAGTTTAATATGGGACCTTTAAATTTTATTTTAATAACAGGTTTGGCTCAGGAAAAGCACCTCAGTGACAAAGCTGCCTTTTATTATAGACCTCTGAAGCAGGTCACCACTGGCAGAGAAGCAGAGAGTACCCTCCAATGATCACATGAGTACATGAAGACTTTAACCACTACTGTGTTAAATACTGTATGTATTCATACATGGTGTATGCCTGTACTTCTGTTCCTGCTTTTGAATGGTAATCTAACTTAAATTTGCAAAGTCATGTTTAATTACTTTGAAAAATAACCATCAGGGTGGCAGCTATGTCTGTGGAGAAAGGCTGTTTTTCCTAAGTGTTTAACATGGAGCCATGGACGGTATATTAAAAGAACGTAGTCTTGGTGATGTCCCCTACTTGTTTCTGAAGCCTATCAGCTGCAGATGCCATATCTGACCCCCCCCCCCCAAATGAATAAAATGATGAGAAAAAACAGCCATGTTTAATTCATTTAAGCTCCAGTAACTAGTTTTCTTTGTTTATGGGATTGACTGATATTATGTTGCTACCTTTTGTGACCTACAAGTTGTAAATGATCATTTTTATGCTTCAAAGCAGGGTTGGGGCAAGGTGTAGCAGCTGGAAAAAAACAGCTCTGGTTTTACATTTTTCATGTGAAATATTTCTTTTTAAAAAAGGACAGCTCTGACTGCCTAAGTCAGCGGGAGGAGGTTTTTGTGTCTGAAGAGGAACTACAACAGGATCTGCAGTCTTTCTGCTGAAATTCAAACCTCAACCACATTGTTTGGTTAGTGCATCAAACTGTTTATTTTTCTCTTTCCAAGGTACACAAAACCTATGAATAATTTGCAACCACCTTCAAGAAAGGTGTGGTTCTTCATGAGAACTGTGTCATTTACAGACGCAGCTATCACAAAATGAGGTAGCTACTGGAGGCCCCACCAAGTTTTCTGTGGGAAACTCAAGTGAATTATTAATCTGTCTGAAGTACTTTTACCATTCAAAAGCAATGTTTGTGTCCCTCTAATTTGTTGGGTCTCTTACACTCAGCTATCTTGAAGACTTAAAAACAGGCAACTGGACTACTTCATGTTTTTTTATCTTAACCCAGGTGTCATCCACATATCTGAACCAGTGGCTAGGTGCTGCTCCTTTGAAGGAGGTAAGGGCCTTCCTCTCTACTTCTTCCATGTACAGGTTTGCCACTATTGGAGAAACCGGGGAGCCCATAGTGCATCCGTGTTTCTGTCTGTAATGGCGCTCTCTGAACTGGAAATAGGTGGTGCTGAAGCAGATGTCCAATAAGGAGCAGATGTGGTCGGGGGTTAAGTTGGTTCTGACTTCCAGTGTGCTGTCCTGTAAGAGGCGTTGTCTTACTGCTTGGACTGCCTCTGTTGTCGGAATACTCGTGAAAAGTGATGTGACATCTTAGGAAACCATGGTTTCATCTGGGTCCAGCCTGATGTCCTTGATTTTCTCGGCAAATTCCTGTGAGTTTTTGACGTGATGAGTGGTGTGGCCGATAAGAGGAGCTAGGATGGTGGCCAAATGTTTTGCCACTTTGTATGTGACTGAGTTAATGCTGCTGATGATGGGTCTAAGGGGGGGCCCTTCCTTGTGGATTTTAGGTAATCCATAAATGCATGGGACAGCTTCCCTTGGGTATAGCCGGTAATAGAGTGGGCGGTCGATAACTCCATCCTTTTCCAGCTGTTGAAGTACGCTGATAACTTTCTTTTTGTAGCTGTTGGTGGGGTCCTGTTATAGAGTTTCATAGGTGGCAGCGTCACTGAGGAGGCTTGTTACCTTGTCATGGTAATCCCTAGTGTTGAGTACAACAGTGCATCTCCCCTTATCTGCAGGCAGGATGGTGATGTTTTCATCTTTTTGCAGTGATGCCAAGGCTCTTCTTTCCTGCATGGTCAGGTTGGAAGGAGGTGTTTTGGCATTCGAGAGAGCAGCTGTTACCTTCAACCTAAGTTGCTCTGCTTCCGTGACCGCCAGATTGTTGTTGCGGATAGCTGACTCCGTGGCTGTGATAAGGTCTACCACCGGGATCTGTTCTGGGGTAACTGCAAAATTTAATCCTTTGTAAAGGACTCCCTTTTCCGGCTGAGTGAGAACCCTGAACAAATTCTTCACCCACTTTTCTTGCATGTTAGTGTCTGTGTGGCTGTCAGTTTTGTCCCTCCAAACAAGTTCTGATGGACTCTTTGAGTGCTTGGAGAGTAGTCTGTCAAATTTCTCTGTTTGTCTTACCTAGCCTTTGTTGTGTTGAGAGGTCTGAGCCTTGTCAACAAAGTTGTGGACTTGTTGAGGATGTCCTCTGGAAGTCGGGATGCCAGTGTCTCTTTGGTGTGATTTATTTTAGCTTGTAAGGCCTCGATGGTGAAATTGACCTGCCTAATCCTTTCATTGAGGAGCTGCTTCTGTGTCCTGGAAAGGATGCTGTCTGCCCTGTGCCCTTTGACAGTGGAAAACAAGCGTAGGCTTTTGGGAACACTCAGCTGCTCCAGACAAAAACACACCACACTACCATCTCACACTGCAATCTAACACTGCCAAGAGTGATACCTATGTGTTTGCCTTGGCATACACCACGTACTCTCCCTGAGTTTAGAATACCATCTATAAAAATAGAACTGTAATAGAGCTGTACGATGTCGAAAATCACTGTTAAATCTGTTGTTGTCATGGGCTGCAGGCAGCTTCCCCTGTGATATACTTGGTGGGTTTCTGCCACAGCTAGGAACGGTTTTTCTTCAACAGATGACATCAGCGTATTTTCAGAGACTGTCCTGATCCCATCTTTCAAAATTGAAGGTTCACTGTGATGATTAGCTGGCTGTGCTATTCAGTTGCTGCCATCTTTGTTTCAGACTTTCCGCTAACAAACGTTTGTGTTTGAAGTCAGCTGACCTGTAAATGTCCAATCAGAGGCCAGGTCTTCTGCCTCACTAGAGCAGTGAAAGTAACCATAACCCTGGAGAGGTCCATTTTTTTCTACACAGAGAATACACAGGTATTAATAAGGCCAGGAGGATTGAAGGGAAGACACACACACACACACACACACACGCACGCACGCACGCACGCACGCACACACACACACACACACACACACACAGTGGGAGAGAGAGAGAGAGAAAGAGAGAGAGAGAGGGACATGTGTCTCTTCTCATCACTCTCCTTATTGATTGTGAACCACAGTGCAAAAGAGGCTTTGTTAGGTTTGTTTCACGTGTTTTTGGTTGATTACTGACCCCTGTTTTATTTTTCTCAGGAAATCTGGCTGCCTTTTCCAACTCTGTAAGATATTGACCTGTTCTTATGGCTCTGTGCTTGAATCAAACCACTGCTGGTGGGTGAACATGTCTGGTTTAGTTGCTGATCATGAGATTGTGAAAGTGATTCAGACTCCAAGGCAATAGCTTTGCACTAAGTGTCAACACAGATGCATGAATCAGGCATAAGCCTTAACCAGGCTGCAAACTTTGGCTTTGAAAAAAGAGCAAAAAAGGATGGATGCAAAGGTTCTCTGATGGCTGAGACATGAATGGGTAGTTGAGATCTTAATGAGTAAGTCCAAACCTAGGTTATCATCTGCAGTGATGTATGTCTCTAATGGCCACATGAAACCATGCCAGCAGTACAGAAGCTGTAACTTTCCTAAAGCATTGTGATATGTTTTCCCATCTGCAAGGGCAAAGATTTGTTTACCACTTGCTTTCATTTGTTTCTCTTGCTGTAAGATCTCCAACCACTAACCATATTTCATGAGGAAGCATGTGCAGACAGTGTCAATAACGGCACTACATTGAAGTCTGAGTTTCTCCTCTACCTCTGTAAGGTAATCAGGAGGAAGAAAAGCTTCATTGAAGTCTCCTCAGTTGTGAACTTTACTTCTGGCCACACCACTGAGTATGGCTCCAACCGCATGAAGCAAACAGAAAAAAAAATTGCACCCCACCCTATGTGGATTGCGTGGTTTATCATGCTGATTTATGCTCATTACTATTGTGGATAATGTTACAGATGATCATCTCAGTGATACTGGTTTATTCAGCCGGAACAGAAACATTTGCCTCGAGATGACTAACTGCATCCATATGTAGCCAGTCGTCTCTCTCTCTCGCCTCATGTCATAAATGAATAACTGATCACTTTTGGCACAAAGTAAATGTTAATTCTGAAATTACAAAGGAATTAAATTATTTCACTACCACTTCTGTAGTAATCGCTGCAGCAATTATTAAAACACATGAACCAGGCATCAAACTACCTGTCTGTGAGCAGGCTTGTTAAAAGGGGGTTTCTATGAAGTTTTGACTAGATATACTTTGTTGAGCTCATAGGACTAGTTATTACAATCCCTTATATCAGCACTTGGAATTGAGTGGGGGGGGGGGGGGGTAAAAGCTTCACTGGGGTCTTCAGGTGGGCACCCCCCTTCACTGGTGTTTCATTGATAGGCCCACGACACCTCCAGGGGGCTCAACGGCGACACCTGGCGTCCCAGGTGTGCCCCCCTCTGCTTTTACCCCTAGGTGGTCATTTTGCAGCCCAGGTGGAGTCCTTTCTCTTGATCCAGAGCCATCTGCTGCTTCGTTCGGCAGCCTCTGATATTGATTTGATGGCTCGTCGGAAGGCCTGTCCTCGTACTCCCAATCTCTTCAGAAGCTTGGTTGTGGATGTTGCAACAAAGCCTCTGCACCCAACCTCCACCGGAAGCACCTGGGCCCTCCAGCCGCGCTTCTCTGCCTCGGCTGCTATGTCCGCATACTTCAGTCGTTTGCGCTCATATGCTTCACCAACTGCTGCCTCCCACGGTACAGTTAATTCAATGATGAACGCAACCTTCTGGGTGGTTGACCACAAGACCAGGTCCGGCCTGAGGCTAGTTGGAAGGATCTCAGGCGGAAAGATGAGTTTTTGGTCTAGGTCAACCTGCATCCTCCAGTCCCGGGCAGAGTCTAGGAGGGTTGCCTCCACTCTTGCAGATGGTTTTGCCGGTGGTTGTCCTGCTCTTACAAATGGGGTGGTGTTTGGGCGTCTAGGCATTGGTGGAGGGAGGGCATTGATGGTTGTTCTCCTTCCTTCCAGAGTGATCGCCAGTTGTCTTAGGACCTGGTTGTGTCTCCAGGTGTAGCGGCCTTGGGACAGACTGGTTTTACAGCCGGTGAGGATGTGACTCAGTGTTGCAGGTGTTTGACAGAGTGCACAAGAAGGATCTTCTCCAAACCATTGGTTTAGGTTTTTGGGTGTGGGAAGAACATCATAGGTGGCTCTGATGATGAAGCTGATTTGGCTTCCTTCCATTTCCCAAAGATCCTTCCATGTGAGCTTACGATGCTCCAGGTTTTCCCAGCTGGTCCACTGTCCCTGTTTGGACTGTGCTACTGCTGTCGCGCATCTGTTTGCCTCCTCTTGTTGCCGAACCTGAGCAACCACCAGCTTTCTCCTCTGGGTTGATGTTGCTTTGTGCCATGTGGGTCGACTTGTTCCGAGTCCAAACCCGCCTCTTCCATGCTGCACCTGTCCCACAATGTCTCCATGCCTGAGAGCAGATTTGGCTTGCTGTACCGCCTCAGATGGGTTCCATTTCCTCCCAGTTGCCAGTCTGGGAGCAGCTGCACGGATCACCTCATCTTGCGACTCAGTCAGGGTCATGTTCAGCCTCACCTTGGTGCACTTAAACTCCTCTGTGAGGCTAGAGATGGGCAGTTCCAGGGCACCATGTCCATACAAGCCGATGTTGCTGAGGCAACGCGGGAGGCCAAGCCACTTCTTGATGTATGAGCTCACTGTTCTTTCCATCTTCTCGACTTTGGTCATGGGGATCTCATAGACTGTTAGAGGCCACATCAGGCGGGGGAGCAATCCAAACTGCAGGCACCACAGTTTCAACTTGCCAGGAAGCAAGGTCTTGTCTATGCTGACGAGGCCTTTGATGGTTTCTTCCCTCAGCTGATCACTCTGGTCCGAGTCTTTGAGATGTGCGTTGTATAGACGCCCTAGGCTCTTGACTGGCAGTTCAGACACCAATGGGATGGGTGTGTCCTTGATGTGGAACCTCTGGTCTGTGAGTCTCCCCCTGACGATGGATATGCTCCTGGATTTGCTTGGTTTGAACTTCATCCGTGCCCATGTGATGTTGGCATGAAGCTTTCCTAGCAGATGTTTGGTGCATGCAACGGTTGAGGTCAGGGTGGTCATGTCATCCATGTAAGCGCGAATGGGAGGGAGACGCTGGCCACACTTCAGACGTTCTCCACCCACAACCCATTTGGAAGCTCGAATTATCACTTCCATGGCCATGGTGAAGGCTAGTGGGGAGATAGTGCATCCAGCCATTATTCCCACTTCCAAAGATTGCCATGATGTTGTATATTCTGTTGTTTTGACACAGAATTGCAGATCTTGGAAGTAGTTTCTCACCAGGTTTGTGATGGTACTTGGGATGTGGAAGAAGTTGAAAGCTGTCCAGATCAGAGAATGAGGGACGGATCCAAAGGCGTTGGCTAGGTCCAGAAATAGGACGTGCAGGTCCCTTCCTTCCCTTTTGGCAGATTGGATTTGGTGCCATATCATGCTTGTATGTTCCAAGCATCCTGAAAACCCAGGTATTCCAGCTTTCTGCACAGATGTATCAATCAGGTTGTTTTGCTTCAGGTATGTTATCATCCTTTTTGCAACGATGCTAAAAAAGACCTTCCCTTTCACGTTCAACAGGTTGATTTGCCGGAATTGATCGATGTTGGAGGCATCCTTCTCCTTGGGGATTACCACTCCTCCAGCTCTACGCCATGCTTTTGGAATGGTTTGCTTCGTCCACATCACCTTCATTTGCCTCCACAGGAAGCGTAAGATGTTTGGGGAGTTTTTATACAGCCGATATGGAACTCCATTTGGTCCTGGAGCTGAAGCTGCCCTTGCCTTCCTCACTGCTTCCTCGACCTCGCTCCACTTTGGAGGACTGTCATCCAGCTGGTGTTCTGGTAGAGGAATTGGTGGCATGTCTGATGGTATCTCCCTTTGTTCAAATCTTTGGCTGTCTGTGTGAGTGGTTTTCAGGTGATCTTCCAACTCCCTCTTTGGCACCTTAAGTGACCCGCTTTTTTCCTTAGTAAAGAGTCCTTTTACAAATCTGAAGGGGTCCTTGTAGAAGGATGTTCTTGCCCTTTCCTTCCTCTTGCGTCGAGTCCTGAGGTTTTCAGCTCTCCGCAATCTTCCCAGGCGTCCCTTTAGGTCTGTTTGCAGGAGGTCAATGCCCACTCTTTCCTCCATTGAGGCTCTCTTCCATTGTTTCCTCAATTCCCTTCTCTCTTTAACCAGGCACTCGATTTCTTTCTGCCTTCTGGACTTGGGAGGGGTTGTTGGTGGCATATTCTTCTTCCCTGTCTCTTTTGCTCCAAATCTTTCTGCTCCATATGAGTAGACCAGGTCTCCCATTTTCTCCAGTTTCTTCTCCACTGTTCCTTTGACTCCGTCCAAGATCTTGATCAGGTCTGCATCAATTGTAGCCCACTCTTTCTTGCTGCTGGACTTTGGCCACTTCACATGAGGTCTGTGGCCTTGCATGTTCTTCTCCAAAGCAGGTTGCAAGTGGCTGGGTTCCAAGTTCTCTGATGTTGTGCTTGAATTATTCTCAGCCTCTGGGGTACTGATGCTCAGTGGACTGTGGGTTACATCCTGCCGCTGAGCTTCACTCGCCTGACTTGACCTTTCTCTCAGAAGATATTGGTCAATGCGAGGTCCTGGCCTCGTTTTCTTCACGCACTTCATCCGGCCTTGGTGTATTTTTAGGCCTCTGATGGAGGTTACTTTGGACCAGCCACAGCTACATACTTGGCGCTCTTGTCCTTCAGCCGATGTTGTTGCTTGTTCTGTGCCGATTATCTGGTTCGTTGTCGTGTTCATTCCAGGGTCAGTTACCGGGTTACAAATAACTTAATAACTAAACTAAAACGTTTAAAATATGTTTTAAATATAGTTTTGAATCGAATTTACACAGCGGTCGGCTAGAATTTTAACCGAAAACAACACAAAACAGACATTTTTCCTGTATACCCAGATTATCTGACCCTCCGGTCCAGCAGGGGGCGCCCGAGCGCAGGTTCTAGATTCATCGCCGCAGTTTAGACTCGTAAAAGCAGCGTTATATGACTGTTTCAAATTTGCAGAAAAGAAACAGAGCCTAGCTGTGTCCTGATGTCTGAACTCTGAGATCATTTCAGGATTATTGTGAGTACACCCTTGAACTTTCTCAAACATGAAAAACACGACAGGTTAACGCGTGTTCGTGTCTAGAGCTAACTCCTGACCACGGCCGGAAAATAAAGAGTTTGGACTTCAGTAGCGATAATAACGTCCTCTTCACACGCCAGGTTCCCTTAAAAAATTTACAAATTTACGATTTTCTCTTACTCTGACTAGGTTACGAATCTTTAAACACGTTTTTGAGTCCTCGGTAAACGTTTCTTGTTTGCGGCTCAAACTAAAAACTGAAAAATTACACTCAACACTCATTTCAATAGGTAAATATGAACACAGCTCTCTGAAATGCTCTGTAAATTCCGAAAATCATCACTGTGGTTAACGAGGTACGACTACACTGAGTGTCGAATAGCTCTGGATTAACAGTAATGCCTGCTAAACACACTTCTCTAGTACAGAGATATGTAACACTGAAAATACTCACAATCTGAAAAGGAACTGGTCAGTCAGATTTCTCTCATCCCACGTTCTTGCACACATTGCAAAGTAAAACCATAGTGAAACAGTCCAGATATGCTTCAGAGTTCACAGCTGTGGGTTCATATAAGGACTGCTTTATTTAGGACTTTTTTTTATTCTCTTCCTTGAAACAATTATAAAATCGCAACTCTTTCAGATGTCACAATGGAAGCGGAGCTTATTATTATTCTTGCATTCAAATACCAAACACAGACTGTAATGATCCCAATAAGTTAAAACCCATGTTTGATAAAATGCTGATTCAGAAGTCAGTGATAAGAAGGTTAATTCACATCTTCACCCCCATCCTCGGTTTATGTGCCATTTCTTCAGCCCTTATAGCATCAATGTTAAGAGCTGGCAGTTTTTCAAGAGTTTTTTTTTTTTATTTTTTTTTTTACATTTAACTAAATTGACAATTTTAAAAGTAAATCAATAAGAAACAAAATTGTTGTTGAAATCAGCAGTCTGCTGAAATCAGCATTTTCTATAAAGGGACTTTGTGGAAGTTTGAAACGAAACTGACACTAACTCTTTATGACCTTCAGAGGCTATTTTTAATGCTTCCAACTGTGTGGGGGATGTGTCAGATACCCACAGTGAGTGACATATTCTACCCTTTAAAAAAAACAGGGGGGAGGGTTTTGATTGAAAGCAATACTCTCACATCGTTTGACAAGAAATAGGACATCTAATTTTGTCCACAAGGGTTCCAATGATAACAACACAAACCGAAAGTTTCTTGTAGGAGCTTTACAAGAAGAGACTAGATTAGTGATTTCTTCCTAAAAATGACCATTTGGCAGTCTTTATTAACATTAAAATCTAACATATTCAAAAATGAGAAAATACACTTGTGAATTCTGTGTATCATTAGCTCCTATTAGCAATGTGTCCCCCTGCAAAGACTGAAAAGAAACCTTTAGAAAATGCCAGCTAAAATGAATAAGACTTATTACTATCATTTTAAAAGAATGTGATTTCTACAACACCTCTTACATTTAAACATTGTGAATATTTGTATGCTATTATTATGCAAGAGACACACATTTTATCAGGGACCCACTAAGTTCACCATGGACCCACTGAAATCACTCCCTGTGGGTCCTCAGGACTCACTGCATCCAAAGTTATGAGCATCACTGCAGTAACCACTGATATGTAGGTTTACTTGCCATTAGACTTGAATCCACTGAGAGGTGCTGTTACACTATAGACATCAGTGCTTCAGCTTCCTGAGGTCTGAGCTTCATCCTTTGTTACTAAGGTCAGTTAGAAAATTGAACTGGTGTCCTTTTTTGCAGTTAAAAGAGGTGTTTTCATTAATGACAATTTGTTTTTTTAGGGGAACGTTCAGAATTTTACTACAAACAGTTTTTATTCTAGAAACAAATGCTGCTTTTTTTCCTGAATTTGAAATGGAGACTCAAGGAGTCTACCTTTTTACCTGTCCTTGGTTACAGTTACGTGTTGTTTATGGACTCCCCATCTCACAATCTGCCAAGCTGAAGCGCTCATGTGGTCTCTAAGGAACTGAGTTTGTAGGTTTTTTATAGGTAGACAGGGACTCTGTGGATCTGGTAGAGTTTGGTTATTCATTTCACCACACAGAGGAGTGGAGTCTGGCTAATGACTCAGGGCCTTAAAAGAAAATTAAGTTAGGGTCAATCACACCATAACACTGAGTTGGTTGCTTGCGTTGCAAATCACAGAGGCCACTAGGCGCACCGTGATCTTACTTTAGAACTTACCTTAGCATGATTTATGAGCTGCTCCTCTCGATCAGTCCATGTGTTCTGCCTTGCTTCTTCATGCATGTTTCCAAGATCATGCTGCTTTCAGGGAGACATGCAGTGACCTGCCAACCAGATACCCTTTGGCTGGTGCAGCGAAATGCCACAGCGAACGCTGCATCATCTGCCCAGCATCCCTTGTCTTACTTGTGTCTCACAATTGGTTGTGTGGCACTGACTCTCTCACTGATATATGGTACGGATATTATTTATGTTAACAATCATTGTAACCATGAGTAAGGTGGGCACTTGATAAGGGAGGCAGCTGAGCCACCATGACCCTCCAGACCGTAGCTCTCTGTGCTGTAATGGCATTGCAGTATTCACGGTCGAGCAACAATGTCTGATACAGGAGTAAGATCGACTTTTTAAAGCTTTTATAGCCGGAGACATTTCATGTAACACACGGAATTTTTAAGTGTGCTCTTAATCTTTGTCCCTGATAAAAGACTCTTTCTGTGTGTGTGTGTGTGTGTGTGTGTGTGTGTGTGTGTGTGTGTGTGTGTGTGTGTGTGTGTAGGCTGCAGACATGCTGACCTGTGATATCTGTGCAGAGGACTTCCTGTTGGAGGAGGACCTGAAGACTCACCTCCTGCTGAGCCATGAGGAGAATGCCATGAGCTGTCCTCTCTGCCCACTCAGTGGAGTGTCTTATGATGAGCTCTGCTTCCATGTTAGCTCTGCCCACCCCGAGGAACAGAGGCCGACACAGTCCAGATCTGAGTTCCCAGAAGAGCAGAATCTGAATCAGTTTCGATGTGCATCAGGCAGCTCTGGAGGAACAAACGCAGAGGACACAGAGGACGCAGAGTCCTCATTGTCTAGGTCCTGCAGTATGGAAGGAGCTGTTGCAGGTGTTAACACAGACTCAGTTGAAACAGGAGGTGTGTGCCCTTCACCTGGAGGGACTGCACCTGTCTCTGTATCACCACAGAAACCTAAAACCAGAACAGAGTTCTCCTTATCCAGCAAAGCAAAAAAGAAGCGCCTGTCTTCACCCAGAAAAGGTAATTCAGCTTGTTTGCTGTGAATGTTTTTACCCTGACTGATATAAAAGCTAAAAAAACAGAGTGTATGGGCAGGAGAAGACCTGGAACAACATACTTCTGGAGGATTCAGTATTTAAACATCAGTCTGTGTCCTCTGACCTGATCCATAGTCTGTATTTACAGATCATCTGCAGCTGTCATGCCCACTGTGTGCTCTGGTCTGCAGTAACAGCTTTATCCTGCAGGAGCATGTAGAGCTGCACCTGATTGAGCAGAGATCACCTGAAGGTAAATCTCTGCCTCTGACATCTACATCTTTACAGCCATTCACAGGATAGTTAGATATTTATGAGAAGACAGAAGTGAATACCAAGTCTTAGGGGTTAGAGATAGGAGGGACATTTTTCGATGTTAGAGGAGGAAGCAGCTTGATATCTTAGTCCCTCTAACTCGACTTAAACATCTGACATGACGGTTATGAGTTTACTGACGGATGATTGTTTGTTCAGGTGCATCACAGGAGGCCGGATCACCAGCTGTGAAATCATCTTTATCAAGTGGCAGCCCCTCAGGTGAGTCTCCCCCCTCAGAACTCTAGTCACTCAAGTCAACTGAATCAAAACTACTTTATGAATCCTTCTAGAGCAGGTTTTGTCCAAATAAACAAAGACCTGGTCAGAGAACAATAAATTATCCATTAGAGCCTCACAATACACAATCTCATGACACTGCCACAGCTGATGGGGCATCTCTGAATGTAACAGACCATTTTCTTCATTATGTCTACAAAGAGCCACATCAAGATAAGATGGGATAGAGTCTCATCTAGTGAGACCAGATCCACTCTGATCCACCATGGGAGAAACTCTTTACAGCATGTATCAAATTAGAGAGGAAGAACTTCTTTTAACAGGCAGAAACCTCGAGCAGAACCAGAATCATGTTAGACAGTCATCTGCTGAGACTGAACTGGGTTTAGAGAGGGAGATGAAGAAAGAGAGACAAACAACAACACTACCTATAGATGTTTGTTCATAGTGATAGATAATGGAACAAGTATGTGAACTATTTTGACAGGAACAGCATGATAATGATAACAGACTGATCAGAGTTTGATTTATGCAACATGCAAGTCAACAGGTCTATAGTAATCACACAGCAGCGACAGCATTAATAACACTGGAAGATTGAATCTCATTGTGTTTGAGTGAACAACACTGTTTCAATACTAAGTGTCAGAGGTCGTATTAGATATGGAAGGTTATGTGACTGAAGCTGTGAATATCACAGGAGATTAGGGTTGAAAATGTCAATTTTTTAACTGCCAATGCTGACTATTACAGAGCAGTCCAGTTCGAGGCTGATATATAAAACCCAGTTACCTTCTTATCTTGCTTTGGATAAAATCTGACAGTTAAACAATTTCCATGACAGCTATTATTTCATGCATATAACAATCTATTGTATGTGGTTTTTCTGCTGCATGTTTCAGGTGAATTTTAAGTAACTTCCTGGAATAGAAAAATGTATAAAGCAATGCTGTAGCATGGTTGAGAACATAGATGCTCATGACAGAGGCAACATTTAACCCAATCATTCTAAATGTCATGACATAAAAACACAGAGTCAACAGACAGAGAGGAGTTTAAATTATACCGTCAAAAGTGTGAATCCGATCTAAAGTTTAGGTCCAAGTCTGTCCAGGGGAGTTTCCAACCAGCCTCTGTCTTATTATTTCAGAAGGAAGAAGGTTCGAGTGCCCCCTGTGCTCCCTGCTTTGCACTGACAGCTTCTCTCTTCAGGAACATGTGGAGCTGCATTTAGACCATGGAGCAGCAGCACTCTCTTCAGGTGATTATATATGCATATCTGTGTCATGCATCACTCACCCTGACATACCTGTGGAACTCCTCCCTGTTACCTGTGCTGCTGCAGGAGGCCCTGGCTCTGACCTGGAGCTGGCCCAACGGCTGCAGGAAGAAGAGGAGCAGAGGAGGAAGCAGGAGGAGGCGTGGCAGGAAAGGGAGGAGTTTAAGAAGCTGCAGGTAAGGATTCTGCTTCATTTTAGCCAGTATGAGCCTGTAGGGCTTGGTAACTGTGCTGTGTTTGCTGTCGCAGAGAGTAATACTTACTGTAGGCAGAGTCTTATGTAACATACACATGAACAGACAGAAGTGTAGCTTTCACTGAAGGAGATGATTCTTGTCGACAATAGGGGGTCTGCTATGTTCAAACCTACCTTTAAGTTTCCAGGTTCCATCAAAACTCACTAACCTCTTAACTTAACTTTGTGTGTGTGTGCGTGCGTGCGTGCGTGCGTGCGCGCGTGTGTGTGCGCGGATGTAGAGGCAGTTTGGTGTGGACAGCAGCGGGGGATACAGCAGACAGATGGAGAGGACGATGGAGCGGGCGGTGGCTCGAGGCCTCATGGACCCTGCAGAGTTCCACAGTAAGAGGGCAGAGATAAAGGAGTCTCTGGCTTCAGGGATGGATGACGGCAGGACCAGGACTTGCGGTGCGTCAGTGTGTTTCTGACACACACACACACACACTGGTGCTTGATAAAGATCTGACAGAAGAATGAATGAATGACGGTTTAATAAACCTAGAGTAACTCAACCCTGCCCTAGTCAGGAACCACATTGAGCAAAATATTTTTGATAGAGCCACAATGAAAAAGAAAACACTTTCTTTCTCTCTTTCTTACCCAAAAACAACTTTCATTTTTTTGTGTCCTTTTTTTAAAAAGTCTCTTTGTTTATCTGTAAACTTTTCACATCAGAGATAAATGCATTCATTTGAATGTATTTAACACATGACAAATTGCTGTAGTAGCTGCTTCACCATAGGATGAAACATTGCACATTGCTCTAATTGCCCTTCAAAACATAAAAATGGGCCTTTAAGATGCTCCTCTACAATATCAAATCAAAAGTGCTAGATGCTAGATGATCTTCTATTATGTAAAATAAAGTTTGTAAATTGTTAAAAAGTTGCTATCTTGATGCTGCTGTAACGACCAGCGTAGGGGATACTGGAGGTCACATAAAAAGTTTGACCACTCCGCCGTCACTCTCAAGGTGACACAGCACAAAACGACCGAAACAGGATTTGCAGTCTAAAACAATCAGTTTTTATTGTTCTTTTTATTTTTATTAATTTTTTTATTTACAAATAACTCATGAAATACCTCAGGGAGAGGAAGCAAAAACAAACAGTTACAAAAAAACCTCTCTTATAAATCAAAATACCTTACCTGACATCTACGATAAAAATAAAACATATACAAACCTAAATTTGACTCGCTACTCAAAAACAGGAAAAAACAAGGGCTAACTCTCCCCTACATATACCAACTGCTTTTAACAACACAAGAACCCTCTAAGATCCTTTAATAACACCAATCCAAAATCACACAATATAACTCAACTAAACGATGGCTCGAAGGAGAGTCGGTGTCCCTGCTCCTGCAGCCGAGTTTAAAATGCAGCCCATCAGCTCTCTGCCAATCATGCGCCTCCACTCCACAGCAGTCCTCCAATGCGTGTCTGGTGCGTCTTTACCATAGACTGTATATAGAATGGACAGCGTCTGCCTCCTTGCTGGGTAAAGCCACTCCGAGAACAGCACCCTCTGTTGATGGGCTGCAGTATACGTCATAAATCCCGCCTCCGCCAGCAAAGCTTATGGGGCTGTGGACCAACTTTATAAATTTATTACACAGAACATAAATTTTTCTCCTCCCCGCTTGCGATGTTGACATGTAGTTATTGTAAGACTGGTTTGTGCCCAAGTCCTCTTTTTTCTGTGCAGCTCCGTTTTTAAAAGTTATTAGGGGGTTCATGTTTTCTATGATTGACACCTGATACAGCCTATGGGCGTTGAGGGATTGAGTAGCTCTCCCGGGGGATACGCTGTTTGAGCCGAGCGTCATCTGAAATATGTGTTAATTGTCGTGAAGAACATTTCTTTCACACCCTCACTTTTAAATACTTCAGTTACAAACTGGTTTACATCAGTCCCCTAAATTTGAACATTGAAGTTGGGGCTGTATGGACATATACCTCAGACATGCCTGGTGTCAGGAGAGGTTTTGATGATGAAGGAAGTTTTCACCAAAGATACTCCCAGTGTGTGAGTAGTAAATCAGTGCAGTAGCGGGATTAGCAGGGGAGGATATAGTTGCTCAGATTTATTGTGTGACAAATCATGCAAGTTCTAAAACCAGCCTATATACAGTTAAAATGAAGGAGAGATAAATCAAACATTTAGATCCGAATGGGCTCACAATTACACAGCGTGTGTCTGTCCTCTGTTTTCATTCCTCAGTATCATGTTCACATCATGTTCATCTCTTAGTCTCTCTATTTGACTTCATGTTTCACTCTGAGCCTGTTCTGCTGCATTCTCCTCATTTATTAAATGTTTGTAAATCTGCACAGTCATAAAGGGAGGGGCTGTGTGTGTGTGTAGGTGTGTGTGTGTTCACATGGTCACATGGGCTTTATTCAGCTGCTTATACAAACTCCTGTCAGCTCAGCTCATTATTCAGAAACAGAGGGATGTGTGTCAGGTTAATATACGGGTGTTAAATCCATGCTGAAGAAACTATAACCTGATATCTGACCTCTGACTTCACATAAGCCTGTTACCTTTGACATAACAAGTTCTTATCACTCAACAAAGAATCAGGCCACATAGTGTTCCCTACATTCATTTTTTGCTGTCATCTTGTTGGAGCTCTTTTTCTACCATATTATCTTTGAGCTTTTTGCAGACGATGAAGATGGAGATTATGATTAAGGCTATAGAAGGTTGTAGTGAAGCCTCTGGATGGTTAACACAGACCAAGCACTGCACTTCTGAAAAAATTAAAGAGAACTCTAAAATCACACATCTCAGGATCTGATAAATAAAAATTTGAGTTGAAAATCTTCAGTGACATAGTGTGACTCCTCTAGGACAAATTAATGAAAGAATGAGAAATATAAATCAAAACTAATAACTTATGGAGGGCTGGATTCACAGTTGAGATCACAGACTGATCCAACTTCAGTACATTTTCTGTACACAATTCATAATGTGGCTTTGTAGTATGTATGAATAATTTACATTTACTGTACCTGCAATACATGAATGTAACTACAGTGAATCTGAAGAACTATGTAACTGTGCCTGTTCGCAATAGAACTAAGATACGCTGGTCACAGAAAGAATTCAGAGCCCCGTAAACTGTTCACTCTTTGCTAATTTTTCATTTTGCTAAAATCATTGAAGTCTTCAACTCATCAGTGGACACACAGCAGCCCATTTTGACAGAAAAACACTGAATTGTAGACATTATGTTCAAAAATGATAAAGAAGAAAAACTGAAATATCAAATGCTCACAAGTTTTCAGACCCTTTACTCAGTATTGACCCTTCTGAGCCAATACAGAAATGAGTCTTCTTGGGAATGATTAAACAAGTTTTTGACATCTGGATTGGGGCATCCTCTGCCATTCTTCTTCACTTTCCTCAGGTTGAATGGTGAACGTTGATTGACAGCAGACCTCCAGGAGGTCTCTCCAGAGATGCGCCAGTTTAAAAGTAGGGTTGGAAATTATGGCAAACTAGCATGAATTTGAATGTAGCATTTCCTTAGTACTTGGTCTCCCCCCCTCCCCTTGGAGCTCCTCCAAAAACAACGCCCATGCTCACATGCACGAGTGCTGCTGTCTGCTGATTCAGAACCACAGACTCAAAACTTTGGGACTTTAGATTGGGAAGTCTTTGCACAGCAGGGACAAAGAAGGTAACGTTAGCATCAAGAAGACAACATAACTAGCAACATGGCTAAATACTTGATCAAGATTAAAAATCGCCCTGAAACAAACCCTCAATATACCTTTCCAACAGAAAATGAGTGACCATGGCATCACTTTTAAAGCCCTTGACCTCTTTGAGTTCTCTCCATCACTAAAAGGCTGTCCCAGTGTTGACTTTAATTTTTGCCCTTGCTTTCTCCAAACTCTGTCTTGCTTCGGCCTTCTCTGCCTCCGTCTTTGTTTCTTGCTCTTTTTTGCAGGAGGAGCGGTCCCCATTAATCTGGGTATAGGTATTTTCTCTGCCATTCTCTAACGTAGCTGTATCCCTCAGCTCAGCTATGTGCATTGAATTAGGGCCAGTGCAAGCTGGCGACATTTGCGTGCAATATGCGAGCACAGGATTTGATTGGTTTAGAAATGTGGGACCCACACGATGTGATTGGTTGGTGTTTTCCAGGTTTTACTCCTGCTGTAGATAGCGGCTATGTTTCACTGTTTTTTAAGAACACATCATGTATTGATTGCCATTGGAGTATAAAGATCATTTTAACCAGAATAACAAAAACTGTATCTAAATCAGATTATCAACCCTACCTTTAAGTCAAGGCTCTGGCTGGGACATTCAAGAACAGTCACAGAGATGATCCTTAGCCACCTTTGTAATTTTAGCTGTGTGCTTAGGGTCACTGTCTTGTTGGAAGGTGAGGCTACAGCCCACTCTGAGATCCTGAGCACTCTGAAAAGGTTTTCTTCCAGGATATCTCTGTAGTTGGCCGTATTCATCTTTCCTTCAATTGTAACCAGTCGTTCTTTTCCTACAGCTGAAAAACACTCCCCCAGTCCACTACTGCCACAACTATACCTCACTGTTGGGCTTGTATTGGACAGGTGATGAGAGGTGCCTGGTTTTCTCTCCACACACTGCTTTAAATTAAGGCCGAAAAGTTTAATCTGGTCTCACCAGGCCAGCGAATCGTATTTCTCATAGTCTAGGAGTCTTTCAAGTGTTTTTTTGTCAAACTCTATGCAGGCTTTCGCGTGTCTTACACAGAGGAGAGGCCAGCCTCCAATAGAGGTGTAGAACCATCTAAAGAATGATCAGAAGCAATGGACAGCACCTGAGTTAAATATATGAGTGTCCATATGAGACCGGGTTGGAGTGTCACAGCAAAGGGTCTGCAAACTTGTGACCATTTGATATTTCAGTCTTTGTTCTTTAAGAACTGTGTGTACACTGATAAGGAAAAAAAATCAACTTAAATGATTTGCGCAATTGTCTGCAAATTAACAAAGAGTGAAAAATGAAAGGAGCTGTGAATACTGTCTGTACCCAATGTAGAGGAGGGTTTTAGAAATGTCTCGTTTCATAGTAAGAATCAATAATCTGGATCTGGGGTCAATCAGCTGTATTTGTAAATTTTATCACAGGTCTTTGCAAAGAGAGGAGAAACAACAACAGAGAGTGTGTTTACAGTCTGAGTTACTGAATCTCACTGAGGCAGGTCTCAATGACTAATACTAAACATTTGTGATACACGATTACCTTATTATATTTCTTATGTCCTTATACCACAGATAGTGAGGGGTAATTTCTATATAATTTATAATATATTCTAAATCGTAGATATTGGTTATCTTTTATCAAGGATTATAAGTGGCCTAAGGTTGTGTAACCCAGGCTGCTTTGCAGAGACCAAAACTATCTGTCAAAACACTTAAGGCTAATTTCCAGGAAATCTAAGAATAATCCGAACAACGGAGGAATTTCAGAGCGCAGAGACATGTCCTTGGACGACCTCCCGGTGATTAGATATATGTCATGCACGCACACACACACACACACACACACACACACACACACACACACACACACACACACACACACACACACACACACACACACACACGCAATACATGTATGAGGGGTGCACTTGTGTTGTGCACAAGTAACATAATCATTGTATTTGGATACACACCCAGCAGCATAACAGTGTGTGAGAGAGAGAAGCCTGGGGCTCCTCTCCTTTGGTTTGGTCAAGACTCTGTTTGTTCTCTGTACTGATTTCTACAATCAAGAGGCCCAGGCTGCTCTTCAGATCTTATCCTGTCTCCTATGCATTGTTTTGCTGTATACCATCAGTGTTTTCCACAACAATAGACAGACGCGTTGTTTTGGCAGAAATGATAGTTCCCAGTGCAGTTATAGACTAAAGCTGGTTTTATGAGCTGACACAACTGTCAGGTAGTTACAAGGTAATGCTTGACTTCTTAACGCTGTAATTATTTCTCAGCAGCTCCTAATCATGATCTCATAAACATGTAAAATATTCCAATAAAAAGCACTACCACAGAGACGTACGGTGCCTAATGGAACAAAGGGAGAATATTTCATTCTTGAACAGTAATTACCCGTGATAACCTGTTTGATGATTTTCAGAACATGCACACAGGTGTGAGTCTGATGTTGGCCTTCTCTTTCAACTTGTTTCCAGGTGTGATCAGAGCATTGTATGAGTACTATCAGACAGACTGCAGAGACTGCATCCATGTGTGGCTGAGCGCTGAAACAGATCACTTCTGCTCCTCGACGGGGGATAAAGGCTGGGGCTGCGGCTACAGAAACTTCCAGATGATCCTGTCCTCTCTGCACAGAATTGACACGTACGCCCCTGTCCTGCAGGGTGAGCACACACCTGATATGACTGCTGCACCTTTTACCAACACTCTCTGTGTTTGATTAACCTGAAGGCTCTTTTAGAAATCATGTAGTGTATTGAAGAGGTGAATGTAGCATCCACATCATCACTGGTCAGTTTGTAGGCCTCTGTCGTTTAAGCATTGAGCTCCTCCATATCTGCTTGTTTCAAAATACGGGGGTCAGTTAGGGGGTGAAACTCAACTTGATTTGTTCCTTATTGTTGACCCCCTCCTCCATCAAAACACCCGCCAGTCTCTTGCTAACACAAAGTCAAACTTTAATAGAGTGAACTCAGGGTTAGAGATGGGCGATATGGGGTAAAAAATCACAATAAGATTTGCCATTCTGGTAGTAACGATAAAAGTCCCAATAAAAAAAATTATAATTCCAATCTATATTTTTGACTCATTTTGTCTTGAGAACACCAGTTGTAGTAGTCAAATAAGATACTTAACCACAAGTTTAAGTGGTAGGGTATGGAGAAAACTAATGACATCATACAAGTCTAAAAAATGAAAACATTTTCAACATTTGTTGTGAACTCTTATTGCACAGAGTGAACAGCAGCAGATCGACTGTCCAATATCAGGCATACCTGATTGCACTCATTGAAACCTCAATCTTAAAGGAAATCCCTCATGTGGAGCCTTGTTCAGTAACAAGCTGCTCAGAAACGTCTTCTTCATTACCTTCGGCCATGTTTGTTTGTTATTTTGCTCTGTGTGCGCTATGGAGTCCGTCGCTCACTCTTGCGTCATCAACTTGCATTTGTTGTATTTATCATGAGATGGCAAATATTTATTATGTAAGATTTTTCTGACGATATATCATGTATGATAATTTAATTTCATTCCATCGCTACTCAGGGGAAACTGGGTAATTTCAAATGCTGGTCACTTTAACCATAAACTCTACCACAGTGACAGTCAATCTGTTTTTGTATTTTTTTCACAAATGTGAGTGGGCCTGTGTGTTTGCAAACACTTCTCCCCTTTGAACCCATAATTAATAGATATTAAATTACAAACAGATATTAAAACACACAGAAATCTGCCTCTGGATCAGCAGCTTCGATGAACCTTGAAACGATGATGAGGTTGTCATCAATGTCTCTCCTGTGCTCTGGCATGTCACTTGGCTGTTTACCAATGAATGTTTAAGGTCTGTGTCTTGTTTATTCGTGGGTGTGATAAAGGGAAGGGTGGGGATTACCAGTGGACTGACAGTATTTGTGACTCCACAGAAACACCAGTCCAAAGGTGCTTATTATGAGCAGGCTTGGCACTGAGAATTCAGTGGGTTTGCCTGTGTGGTCAGCTCTGGAGAGAAAGTTGTCCCAAAGGAGACTCTAGCAGGCAGTTCTGACCACCACCACAAAGGTGTGGAGGTATTCTTTGAAAGATGACTCACTTTCAATGTGGGTGGTGAACACGTTGTGCCGGAGGCATTGTTCTTCTCTTTCCATTAAAGCAAACAGACATGCCCTGTAAACCTGAATTTGGACAGGTGTCTGGAGCATTGGCAGTCTGACATGATGTCCTGTCCCCTCTTAGAGATATAGGTAATTATATTTTAATGTCTCAGTACAGAAAGTGCTAAATTAGCTTAACAGTTGAAAAATTGTATAAATCGCAATATATTGTAATCAAGTTGACCAATCAGAATTTTGGTCGACTCAGCAGATATTGACCAATAAGTCGACCAGTAGACAAGGACTTTACAGCCCCACAATACTCACTGTATTGCAAAATGTTAAAAATAGCAATAATATTGAATCGTGGCCCAATTATTATGATAATATCATAACATGGAGCTACTGGTGATTCCCACCCCTACTACATGAGGCACTAACTGTCAACAAACTCTGACACTATACTGTTAGGTAAAAAAAAAAAGTATAAAAGTTTCGATTATTTTTTCAACACTAATCCATTTCAATATGTTGTCAGGCTCTCAATTTAACAAACTAAGCTTGCCAGGGACAAAAACTTCTAGAGGACAAACTTGGATGTATCAGGGATTATGTTGCATGTATTACAAACCGTTTACCTTCTGCAGGAGGAAGAAATCTGCCTCACACACTGGGGGGGTGTTTGTAGTTCTTTTGACCTCGAACAGAAACCCAGCCCAAATCAAAACAAATACAAGTCCCTTCTCTGTACTTTCCTTCAGGTGATTGGTTTATGATTGAAGCCTGATGAACACACAGATCTGTCCTAACATTCCTGCTCCACCTTCATACTTTGAAGTGTATGTGTCAGTCAACTCTCTCTCACTCCAGCTACACTGGAGATCTCTGACTGTGGTTGTATTTGTGCACACAGAAAGCCCAGCGTCTGTGTGTGGTAGGTGTGTACTCAGCGTAAATAAAGACACTTGGACTTGACTGTGGGGTGTGTCTGATGACAGTGCTGCTCACACTGAGCACATCATGTCTTGTGCTTGTTCTCAGTTCTGGTCTGGTGACACTGTTGTTGTTCCAGCGATCACTATCACTCTGTGTTCCTCAGCTCTGTACACAGGAACAACATGCAGCAAGATTTACCATCCTGATGACTGCAAAGCTTACCGCTGCCCGCACTCACTGCAGCTACATGAGACATAATGTTCTTATCTGTACCAACATGCATACAGAGTCAAGAGATGATAGAGAGCAACAAAAGGCAGGACATATGTGCCATGATTTCATGCTGTAAAAGGGTGTCAGAAAGTGAGGGGCTGACAGTGAATGAAACTGTGTGAGTGGTTCAGTGTGTCTTTCAGTGGTCTGTTCTTGTTATTCCCCCCTGCAGAGAGGACAGTCCCCAGCATCCCACAAGTACAGAGGATGATTGAGGAGGCGTGGAGGGAGGGGATGGACGCTCAAGGTGCTTTACACTTCGACCACCGTCTGCAAGGGACCCGAGCGTGGATCGGAGCCACAGAGATCTACAGCCTGCTCACATCTCTGAGCATCAGGTGAGAATAAAAGCTGCTCTGACTGCACAGCGCATCCTCAGGCTGCAGCGTGCAACACAAACAGACCCGCTACTGTAGTGACTGACAGCAGTGAGCAAACCAAAGGGCAGAACCTTTTCAAGCTGCTGTCTTTGAAGGCGAACAAAGGAGTGGAATGTGTTTCCTTCCTCTGAAGATGTTCACAAAGCTTGTTCTATTAACAGCTGGAATTACAAATTACAGAAATTACAAACCTGTCCAGCTGACAGTCTGATTCTGCTTCTCTGCCTTCTTCCAGCACATTCCTCCATCTCCGACTGCTTTATTGATAATGACTGTTCTTGTAAACCCAGAATCTTTTTCTTACAAATACACTTAAGGAGTGCTAAAGTTTTTGTTTTTTTTATCAGCTCTAGACTTCTGAATGCTTCTAATAATTTACAGCAGTAAAAAGTTCCCATTATCTGGAAGTGTTCTTCACAGCTGAGGCCAAAGAGACTCATTCCTACAGCACAGTGAAAGTGAAAGGTGGAGAGACATGGGAACAGAACTGCTCAAAGTGCTGCTGACCGTAAGGTCTCAGTGCGCTACATAGACACAGGAGTCGATTTCCACCTTGAGCTGCTCCCTGTTTACTGTCTGTACTCTTCAATAAAGGCCTAAAGCCCCAAAATAAGTCTTTGTGACAACCCAGAGCTGGTTTAAAGTGCTCACATAAACATGTCAGGCAAGTAGGTGGTAATATTGCACTTCATAAAAAAACACTATTGCCAAAATTGAAATCAACACAGTTCACAAAGTTTCTGACAGACAAAGAGTAGCCACACGTAGCTAACATACACAGTGGAACAGAGGTAATTACAGTGCTAATGTCAGTAACAAATGTCCATGATACATTAAAAGGTAGAAGCCCAAAGCTCCTTGTTCCAGTCTACCAAAGTCCTGTTCATCAAGCAGAACACCTACAGCCAGATGTATCTTCCTTCAAGTTTTTCAACATCCCAGTGCAGCCGGTTCATTTAGCTTCAACTCTTACTGTGGTTAATTGGAAGAAAATGAAAATGAACTACATCACTGCACTGGGGTCATTATTTCAGCCTCCCCCAAAACTGTCACTGTCCACATGAACACAGAGAATAAAGGTTTTGAAACCAGCAGTAACACTTAGAATTGAGTGCCGAGTGAAAGCCGAACCAGAGGGACAGACACACCAAGGGATGCATGTTTTTTAATCTATGCTTTCAGACATCCGTGAAATCAAACTCCAAATACTGAACAGTTGGAGGCACAGTTTTATTTTAGATGTATGTTGCACAAGAGAAAACTCTGAAGATTTCTACATCATGCTGTTATAGAAACAAAGCTCAACAGATGACATATAGCAGGGAAAGTTCAGAGGACAGAGCAAACACAGCGCAGCTACCATCTGACATGGTGGCCTAACTAACAAATCGAGTTTTTCCTCTTTAAATTCCATTAATGTAGGGATCTGTTTGTTTTCTGCATTGCATACATCTAAAATACGAAGATGTTGTTTCAGTCAGGTCAACTTGTCCTCTTATGTGGAGTTTCATAATCAAGCTTCAGTCATAAGTGGTTAAGAAGGGTCATGCAGCGTCACAGAGAGGAACCCCCTCAGAGAGAGAGAGAGAGAGAGCTTTCATAGGAGGAGGATTTCTTAACCACAATCTCTCTCCACACACACACACACACACACACACACACACACACACACACACACACACACACACACACACACACAGGGATTTAACCCCATGGGAAACAGGAGTCTCTGCTCTGCGAGTTACTTCTTCGTTTTTGGAAAAGCAAAAGTCAGACTCGGATAAAACAAACAGTTCCTAAAACTTTTTAAACCTTTTGTAATCTCTCCTTTTTAAAAGGACTTTTTTTCCAGTGATTTAAACTTTCAGATCTGAAAGGTCCAGATTCAAAGATTTTTTTTTTTTTTTTAATTTAAACCATAGACTGTATATACCATGGACAACTTGGTTCCGACTACCGCCTGTACACGGATTTGAAGCCAAAAAGCTCTCTGTATTTCCGGGATTTTTCTTCATTTCCTGAAACCAGCGCTGTGCAGTAGTGATGCGCGCATTCGGCCGTGCAGTCGCCGAGAGTCCCTGTGATGACGCTCGGCTCAAACAGCGTATCCCCTGGGAGAGCTACGCAATCCCTGAATGCCAATAGGCTGTATCACGTGTCAATCATAGAAAACATGAACCCCTAATAACTTTTAAAAACGGAGCTTCACAGAAAAAAAAGGAGTTGAGCACAAACCAGTCTTACTGTAACTACATGTCAACATCACAAGCAGGGGGGAGAAAAAATAATATTCTGTGTAATAAATTTCTAAAGTTTGTCCACAGCCCCATAAGCTTTGCTGGCGGAGGCGGGATTTATGACCTATACTGCAGACTCTGTCCATTCTATATACAGTCTATGATTTAAACACAAAGTTATGGTTTCACTTCTGTTACACTGTATAAATCTGCTGTGTTTGTGTTTACAGTGCTCATATTGTGGACTTCCACAAGCCCACTGGCCCCGGTGACACTCACCCTCGCCTGTTTGAGTGGGTGAAGCAGTACTTCAGTCAGTCAAGCAGCAACAAACTGCCCCCTCGCCTGGTCCAGACCTCCCTGCCTCCCCTTTACCTGCAGCACCAAGGTGAGGAACAACACCTGAAATTGACCTTTTTCAGTCTGCGCATATTTCCAGCACTGGTGAATCAAATCTGCTGCCTGGAAATGTCTGTAAAGTTTTTGATTCACAGAGATATGCTGTAAGGAGGACAGGCAAAGAGAATGAATAGAGAATGGATAGATGATAGCCTTGTGATCCAGAATTTTTATGGTCCTGGTTCAGGTCATAGCCGCTCCATCATTGGTTTGGAGCAGAAGAAGAATGGGTCTCTTTGCCTGTTGCTGCTGGACCCAGCCTCTACCGTGTCAGAAGCCAGGAAGTTGCTGAGCAGAGACTCGGTAGGCTCTGCCCTCAGATGCGTCAGGAAGTTCAGCAGTGGTCTGAAGCACACTCAGTATCAGGTGGTGGCGCTGCAGGGCGTTCTTTCAGCAGAGGAAAAACAGGTGAGTGAGGCTAAACTATGACCTTCTCCAAGACAAAGCGAGTTTATTTCTACGAAACATTTCAGGAACAAAGCAAAAGGAAAGAAGCACTGAAAAATTCGAAGGTCACTGAAAGGCTTTGCAGCAAAGTAGATGAATTAAACCTTCAGGAATTTTTTCTCTCAGCTTTATCAAAAATAGGTAGTCCTATTTGAGCAAGCAATGCCTTTTTGAAATGATCCATTCAGGCTTTGAAAAGGTTACTGAATATTTCTCTTTTGTTGGATGGAATGACTTTAATCTGTCTCTGGACCACAATTTATTTTATTTTATTTATTTTACTCGCAGTCCTCTGCCTTTGTATTTGGTACCCACCCCACCCCCCACATTGACCATCTCTCGCTCTTTGTCTCAGACCCTCTCTGCCTTTTGCTCTGTCTCAGCTCAGTCAATTTGGTCAGATTTCTAGATATAATTGAAACTTAAACAAAAGTGAGTTGTTTCCCGTCAATAATGAAGTACAAAAATTAATCCCTTTAAAAATAAAAAACAATATTTTCTCCTACCTGAGCATCTCAGTAAGTTGAAAGTACAAAGAGCCATTATTTAGAGTGAGGATTATAACCCTCTTGAGCCAGACTGCACAGACATCAATTCAGTGGTCACCTCTGTCCATGCCCCTGTTGGGAAGTGTCAGCTTAGTCAATATGATCCTCCATCCAAAACATTTGTACTGGTGGTTTACCTTCTCACTCAAGTTTGTGTGTGTGTTTGTTTGCACAGACTGAAAGAATGTGAAACAGGTTTAACTGTGTGTATCTGAACGCGCTCTATATGTGTTTTCAGATCAGCATCTTAAATTCCAGGACACTGTGTGCAGAAAGGATCCCATGAAGAAGAAGGAACCTCTTCCTCCTCATCTCTTCTCTTTGTGTGACTGTGAACAAGCATTTTAATATTTAATGTGTTTAATGTAATTTTGTAAGTTGTTTTCTTAAATAAACATGGTTTTCTTCATGCTGTCAAGTTCTTTATGGAGATTAAGGACCACACAGTTCACTGATGTCCTCTGTGAGGTCAGAGGTCATCAACATATGTGATTTGGATGCAGATAAATCTGGATATACAACAGCTGCTCAGGTTCTTCTACAGATGGCTTCACCAACATATCTCCGAACGGTTTGATAAACTAGAGCTGGAACCCTTGAGCTGAGGAACAGCTGTGCTCTCATGTTTAATTATCAATGTGAAATTTAGTCTGTCAAAGTGTGTTTAAGTACTGAAGGACTCTGTTTTGTTATAAACCATGTCACCATGCAATAGAAACCCACATTTATTTATATATTTTTAACATTTCAGTGAGTTTGTGAAATATGAGAGTAAAGTTCTTCAAAATATGAATTAAATAAAATACATCTATACTTACTATCATTATCTGACTAAAACTAATCCTGAGTTTGTTCATCTTTTGTGTATTAAAGATAATTTAAGTTTAAAAAAGTAGAGATACTGCAGAATGTTGATAAAAACGGAATTGCAGCATGGGGCATGCAGCATGTGGTCAGAACCCTTTGATCAAAAGTTTATGTATGAGTTCAGGTTAAATATAATTTGACTTTTAGTGTAATTTTTAGTACAAGCCAAGTATACTTACCATTAACACAGTATACTTGAAGTACACTTCAGCATACTTCTTTTTGGTAAAGGTTGTCTGTGCTTTATTTTCAATGAAATTATCCACAAACCATTGAATTCTGTTGCGTAAATTTTGCACAGCATCTTTTATGGAGTTAGGTTTGTAGAATCAGAATCAGGTTCATTCCCAAGTCAGTTCGCACATGTGAGGAGTTTGTCTTCATCATCAAATGCCAAAACACTGAAGACAAAACTTACAGTGCAAGGCTGTTAAATAGGCCTGTTAAGAAGTTTCAAAACGTTTTCCCCTCATCACTGTGGATCATTCATTCACTTAATCCTTCATTTGCTGATGGTCACATTTTTGTGGCTGCACTAAGAAGAACAGTCTGTGGTGTACTCCGAAAAGTTCACTAAAACTTTTAAGATCCTGACTGTCACAAGGACACATCTGTGGGCCTAATCCCTGCAGTCAGCAGTGAGCATGATTGTGAGCTGAGTGAGCATTTGTTTGTGTGTGAGCTCAGGCAGCCTGAACTGAGTGTGTGTGTGTGTGGTTTGTGGTCTTTGCTCCCTCCTGGTGCCCTAACCTCTCAGAACGATTCAGCACTTTAATGTGGATTGTTTAAAGCGACTGTTTTCAAAATTGTAAATTCAAGGACATGGACTTGTCAATGCAGCAGAAAAACTGAAGATTTACGAGATTAAACAGCGCATTTATGTAAGTGAACTTTTTTGCTTTTAAGGATCGAGTCTTAGTTCAACAGAAAAGTCACAAATTTTAACATGATTGATTTTTGATCAATTTATAAAAAATAAAAATAAAAAAGTCATGTATTTATTAGTATTAGAATATGAAATTCATGAGAACTAACTTTTAAATTTATGAGAATAGTTAAAAATGTGCTAAATTGAGTCACAATCTTGTAAGGTATACTTTATTTTACAGAAAAATTAGAATAAACTTGTGTATTTTTGCGTATACTGTTGTAACTTTACAAAAATTGTAGTACTTTCGAATGTCTGAGAATGAATTTCTAAATTTATGAGAATAAACTTCTCATAAATAAAATAAGTTATAAATCCAAAAACATTGAATCTTTGAGAACAATTCTGAATAATTTCCAGAAAAGTCATACATTTGCATGGTTGCAGCTGTGAAGTAATGTTAATATATGCCAAAACAATTTCACAAGTGTTTTTAAGTTGTACATTAAAGAGTATAACCTTGTTTGTCCATGATTTCTACACACTCATGAAGGTGATGTGGGGTGAACCATGTTATCCACCACATCTTATGAGTTATGAAACAACTCATATAACTGTACATTAACTTTGTTTATCCCATAAATATGTGACTCTTAGGTACAAAGTATGTAGAAGGTGGTAATCCTATTGCTGGATAAAGATGAGTTTAGTTGCATTTTAACAAACACCACCTGAACTCTGCCATTACAAAGCTGTATGTTTACACATGGGAAGACTCGGTCATAACAGACATATGGGTGACTGGAGCCCTTTCATTAAAGCTCATCGAAGCAGCCTCTCGGATCGGACCTTGTCCTCTAGTTCAGTAGTTTGTCTTTGCTTTGTTACCTGCAGAGAGAGTAAGGTTCATGTGAGGTCAAACTCCGGCTCGCTCCCTGTCTGTTTGGCCCCGCCCCTCTCTGTTTATTTAGAGAGAGTATGTTTTTCCTCTTATGAAACCCCAGGATGTAGGCTAGTTTGTGTGTTGCATAAACACTTCATTAACTCCTTTCCTCCTCTGTCCTCGGTCAGCAGGGAGGTGTGGAGGGAACAGGAAGTCCTATGGGTGTTCTTTCTCACGCTTGTGCGGCTCTCAGTCAGTCAGTGAGCAGGTGAGCAGAGGAGGAGGAGGGCTCAGGTGTGAGCCGCTGTCATATAAAGAGTTTTAGATGGTAACAGAGAGATGTCAGGAGGAAGTCAGTCTGCCGGGAGCTCAGCAGGTAAGATACGGTTCATTCATTGTGTAGGTCATCAGACTGATTCATTTGAATTGTAGTCTTCATCCTGAATCCGTGCGCAGTTTCATGGCCTCCTCCTCCTCCTCTGTCACACTTCATAGATGAGTTCACATCAGTGTAAAGCTGTCAAATAAGGTCAATATGGAGCTGTTGATGAGCTCTGTCTCAGTAGATAGGCGTACCCGTGTCAGTCCAGGTGAACCTCACTCAGAAACTCACCTGTCTCTCAGCTGTCATGGATGTAAACGGGGTCCATACCCAGGACAATGAACTGTTCCTGCACAGAGGGTTCAAGCTCATCAGGGGGATCCACGATCCGGATGATGTCGATCAGATCTACGACCTGGAGATCCGGGACTCGGACGTGTTCGTCGTTACGTATCCGAAGTCAGGTAAGCAGAGCGGACAGATTCTCCCGAATGGTGATAGTATCCAGATAATGATTGTTCTTATATTTGTTCTATATGTGACTGTAACATTGAGTTCAGAGTACAACCCTGAGAGGGTCGGGGAAATTCGGATCTGTTTGTGGAGAGACATAACTCATATTGGAGCCTCTGTTAAAAAATGGCATTTTCTTTAGGTTATTTTTGAGAAAAACATGAAGTGCAAAGTTTAAAGTTGATGATTGTTAGTGTCCTTACTGCCCTTGTCAATGTGCGCTTGTGTTGCTTAAATATGGTATTTTGTGACACGTCTGTTTTATTTTAGTGTAGCCCACGTTCAAGGGATATTTCTGGTAGTTTTATTTTGACATATTAGTACTACTATTCCACAGTTATAAAATGCTTATCAGTCAGGTCTGGTAACAAGTAAAACATCATAGTAATCGCACGTTTTCACTCACTGTAAGAGACAATGCATACTGAGGCTGAACGAATGAATTAATGAATCATTTATGGGGAAATTTAGAAAAAAGGGAGAAGTGACAAAGACATCAAACGCCACACAAGACAACACACTATGAGGATCAAATAAAATGAGATCACGGAGGAAAGTGATGCCTCCTTGGGTAACTACACACCGAGTTTAACGGTGGACCTCTGTAAAAATCCTTCTTCCCGTATCCCGCAGTCTTATCTTCACTCTGAGAGTATCTAAAAGGTCTTAAGGGGTGAGGGTTTTATGCCCCCCTGTCTCTCACCTCATGAGCTGCGGTAGATCTCGGCTCTGGATGAGGGGTTCATTCAGAGTTCAGAGAAGTACTAATTTATGCAGAGTTAAAGTGAAACAGTGTGGGAAGGGCAATGGCAGACGATGCCCATAGGCTCATTGATAGCAGGTTGTGTGTCAGAGAGATTTACATAATACATTTTTATCAATGAGGTGGTGTTGATGATGGTTATGTTAAAAATACTGATCACTACATCTGTTAAGATGATGATGATGATGATGATGATGATGATGATGACAATTTTGATGATGATGGTGATAATGGTGATGGTGATTATAATGATAGTGGTAAAGATGATAATGATAATGACCACCACAAGCATGAAAGCTATGATGATGGTGATGATGATAATGATCAGTATCTAATTGTGATGGTGATGATGACAATGATAATGATGATAAGGAGTGAAGATAATGATGATAATGATGATGCACATGATGATGATGATGATGACAATGCAAATGATGATATGGTGATCATAATGGTCGTGATGAGGATGATGATAATGATGACAACGATAATAATGATGATGATGATAATAATGACAACAATTGTGGATAAGATATTGTTTATCAAGAGCGTGATAATGTTGGTCTCAGTGGTTATTAGGGTTATCATGTGGTCTATGATAATGATGATATTGATAAGGGTTATGAGGTGTTCAATAACCATGATTCAAATGATAGTGATGTTGTCTGTGTGGTTATAAAAATTTTAAAGGATGGTGGTGATAATGTTACAAGTGATGAGAATGGGGACTTTTATGACTATAATGACAATGGTGGTGATGATCATGATGACACTGTCTAAAATATTGGTATTCAATTGATGGTGATAAAGAGTCCTGTTGTGTGCTCCTAAGATTATTCTATTGCAGCAGATCTTGAGTCTAAGATAATGATGACATTGATTATGATGCTGATATCGGTCATGCTGCTGCTGCTGCTGCTGCTGCTGCTGCTGATGATGATAATGACGACAACGACAAAGATGATTCCTGTGCTTTGTTTCAGGGACTATCTGGATGCAGCAGATATTGCTTCTGATTGAGGCTAAAGGAGACGTGTCATTCATTTCTCAGGCGGGAAATAACTCTGATCTGGTCCCCTGGATGGAAGTGAAAGGCACCAGAGAGGCCTTCATCACCGCCCCATCCCCTCGATTCAGGGTGTCACACTTGCAGTACAAGTTCATGCCAGCAGCTCTGAGCAAGAGGAAGGGGAAGGTCAGAACTCTGAAACCACTATGAAACCACACTAAGTATGGGTATATCCGAGCTTTGTGTTTGAATTTCAGCATTTGCATTCTTTTTGTATAACCTTTTTCAAAAGTGTTGGAAGGCTGTGTAAAATGTTGACAAAAAACAGACTTTGACAGTTTCCAAATCATTTAAACCCTATATTATATATAGCAGATAGTACAAAGACAACCTATCAAGTACTGAAACTGAAAAAAAAAAAAACTTACAGTATGAAAGAAATTGGTACATATACTCATTGTAAGCCAACGGCTTCTACAAAGTAGTTCCATGCTCATGTTTCTTATTGTGTGTCCTCAGCTCTTACTTCATTAACACTCTTTAAACCTTAGTTAACCAAGTAGGCCAGTTTCTGTCGTAGTTTGAAATTAAAAAGTTGTCCCAGTCTTGCTTGAGAGTTTCAGCTGCTCAACAGTTTTATTTATGCACTGTAGATGATGAAATCCACTCTTTGTGTCTCATTTTCAACACTCAGGAATGTTTTTCTACAACTATTTTTAAAAACTTTTTATTTAAGCCTATTAGCCAATAAACATAAAATATCACAACATTTCTGGACACAGGACCTCATATACCAAATGATAATTACAGTAATACTAAACAATAAAAGAAAACATTAAGAAAAATAAATTAATAAAATACACTAACAACAAAAAAAATCACAAGAATAAAACCTGGTAGAGGAACAGACATCCGCAAGATGGGTGGGTAGTTATGGCTAAGCAGTCTCATCCACAGAAGAATTTCCATAGTAGTCTTGTCTCACCAGTACCCTGACACATCAGCCCACTCCATGTTGTCTGACTTTCAGGTATTGTGAACCACATGTCCGTCTTTGCTTGAAGGTGTCCATAGTTAGCTGCAGGCTTGTAGCCATTCACTCCATCCCTACACATTTTTCAATCTCTGCACCCATTGAGCTATGTTTGGTGGGTTTGTATCCTTCCACTTCACTGTAATATATTTTTTTCACTGTCAACACAAGAATTATAAGTACACACTGTTGAACCCTATCATATAAGTCTTTGAGTATGACAGAAACAAAAGTGGTTCTAACAGAACATCCACCACTAAAATTTATTTCCTTTATGAAATTCTCCCAGATCCCTTGAATTAGTGGACAATCCCAGAAAATGTGTGTGGTGTCTCCTTTTTTTTCCACAATTTCACCAGCATTGTGCCACATTAGGATCCTTTGTATAAGTAGAAATGATTAAGGGAGTATTGAAATTGAAACATCATATCTTTGTTTTCATATCAAATTCTTTCCATAATTGGCTTTTATTCTTTTATGACAGCCTGCCCATATGTCCTTCCATGGAGTAATACTGAAACTGTGGAACTATTACCTCACACAGTCGCTCACAGAGTGGTGATGCTCTCTTACAACTATTAGAAACACACTGCAGGCATAAAATTTACAGAGTTATGGTAACAGAATGGTAAATTTATTCATTTTTTTAACCTCTGGTGTAGTGTATTTGCACATTTTAAATCACAGGGTTGAATGATTTTCAAACATTTCAGTGGCCTGAGTTTTAAGAATTAGGGTTTTACATAGCAAATACTTAACAGAAACCCGCCAGCAGGACTTTTTTTCCTTTTCTTGTACAGGTTTATGGTTGCAGTATTTTGCGCTATAAGTCATGTTGGACTGCATCAGGAAAACATTAATGCTGATGACTTTGTCAGCCCTGAGGAAAGAGATTTGTACGGGCACATGTTCTAAATGTTTGCAGCTTTATGAGCATTTTTGCATTAGTACATTGCGTCCTTTCCATGATTAACAAACCCAGAGTTGCAGTTTTTCAGCATGTGTACATGTCTGAGTACACTTAGCTGTCTTTTTTCTCCTAGTGTAAATACGTTGAGTACAACTTATTTAGCATATTTAGGGATTAGGACACACCTGCATGAGTTTTCCGCTAGTGCAAAGATCATGGAATTTGACACTCTTTGCTGCCTCAGATATAAAAATGTCAAACTTTGACAGATTTGCTGAACCTTACAGGACGACGATGTAACCCTCAATAGGTATTTTAGTTAATTAAGTCCCTCTTCTGCTTGTTGCTCGTCCTGTTTACAGTTGCTGAAAATGACAACAAAACTCTAAACCTTATGTCTCAGTTGTTGCTTCCAACATCCTCTCTTAGTCCTCTGCTGTTTACTGTACTTTTTCTTAGACTTCCTGAACTTTAGCTGCAGGAAACAGTACACACTGAATTATCCTGTTCCCCCTCAGAAGCCAGTTTTAGGCCCCAGAGCAGTTCAAAGATGTACACACAGTCACAGCCAGAGTTGTACCTCATTGTTAATGCCACTTCTTTTTCTCTTCCAGGTAATCTATGTGGCCAGAAATCCTAAAGACGTCCTTGTGTCATACTTCTACTTCCATAAATTTGCCAACATGTTGGAAACACCCAAAGATTTTAATGATTTCTTTGAGAAATTCATGATGGACAGAGGTGAGAGCAGCTCTTCTATGTTACATTAGTATGGATCTGTACAATGTGTGAGTAAGAGGGTGTTTTCTGTGCAGTGTTTGGAGGTAGCTGGTTCGAGCACATTAAAACGTGGTACTCTCACTTGGACGACATTAACGTGCTCTTCATCACCTATGAAGAAATGATTCGGGTAATAACTCAAACTCCTTCATTCCTCGTTGTTGTTTAGGCTGCTGAGTGTTTCAGTGTCACTTTTATAGAGCTTTAAAGCAGATATCCGCTTGTCTTTACATGCAGGATCTGTCATCAGCTGTGCGAAGGATCACCTCCTTCCTGGGTAAAGATCTGACTGAGGAGCAGCTGGCCAATGTGGTGAAACACAGCACCTTCAAAAACATGAAGAAGATCCCACAGGCATCCTACGAGAAGGTGTCAGGTGACCTGCTCAACCACAGCCAGGGGGGCTTCATGAGGAAAGGTGAGCGTCTTTACAGTTTTAAACAAACCCTTTCACTCTGCAGCACTACTTACATCAAAAGACACACAAAGACTCCTGCAGACTGATGTGCATACATTCACATTTTCATTTGGACAGGTTTAAAATTATACCTGCAAAAAAGGGAATTATACATACATACACAGCTTTGAATTAAAAATAGCCTGCCTTTGGAGAGACCATGAATGAACCCGTAGAGCCAGCCTACTGGATTTAAAGACTGTTAACACCAGACTGTTTCTACAAGTCAGTGATGATGACTAACATTGACTTCCTCTTCTCACGCACTGCAGGCACCATCGGCGACTGGAAGAATCATTTCACTGTGGCGCAGAGCGAGCAGTTTGATGAAGTCTTCCACAGAGAGATGCAGGACTTTCCTCTGTCATTCATCTGGGACATGAGGGACATCAAGTGACCAGACTTTGACCTCAGAAAAGAGGGGGAGTCACTATTGCAGCTACATGAACTCTGTACTGTACAGGAGCAAATACTATTGATATAACTAGCTTCTGTCTGTATCATTTAAGGCTAAACTGCTGCTTCACAAACATATCCTCCAACCTGCTATTTCATTCTTATTCATATCGAATCATTTTTGATATTGTCTGAGGAACAGCAGCTCCATGCTGTTCCTTTTTATATTAACAGAGGGCCAACATAAATCCACCATGAGTGAGGAAATAGAATATAAGTCATAGAATATAAAACTACTTGTGGCTCCCTGAATGAATTTTTATGAACTTTTATAACTGGATAAAGTTGTGGGAGTTTTATCATGTCATAAAATCCAGAATTTAAAAGATGGTGTTAGGTTTAATGTTTGTTATAATACAAATTTATAAACCACACCTTCATAAGGCATCATCTTTATTTATAACACTTCACATTTGGAACATAATCCTCAGGGACTCCACACTCTGGTCCATGCCTAAGTTTTTGCATGTTTGATTTTATATTACAGAAAAAAATGAAGGCTCTGTATATAAATATATAAAATTTAGAAACTATTTAAAAACCTGCAGAAACGCTTTTTTTTCTGAGTGAACTTCAGCAGCTGCTTTATTTACAGCCCAAGCACTGCTGGAAACATGGAATACTGTCAAAATATTGTCTTAGTCTGCAGGAGGAGACACTCTGTACATTAGATCATACGTCAGTCTTGCGCCAGAGTCAAGGACCATGGTCATGTGACTCCTGCTTCAGAGGCCCCACAAAAGCGACTCTAGCTTTGTCAGATTCACGCTTCAATTCTGTGGATGCACACAAATTCAGAGTGATGCTGTGACTCCTGAACATGAATACACCTTATATGATCAAAATAACCCATCATTGAGCAGCACAAGTGTGTGTGTGTGTGTGTGTGTGTGTGTGTGTGTGTGTGTGTGTTTGCAGAGCAGAAACATGAAAACTCATGGTTTGGTGTCCTTCAGGTGTACAGACTGCTGCTACATTGTTGTTACATGTGTAAAAACCTCCATCTTCACCATACCATCGTATTTGTCAGTAACTTTGATTATTTACAGACGCTGTGATTTAAAGCCTTTGAATGTAAATGAAGTCGTCAGGTTTTTTTTTTATCCACCAGGTGAGACGCGGGAACTTGAGGTTTGGATGCATCAGGAGCAAAGTGGGAGTAGCTCCTGAATGATTCTCATCATGTTTTATCAGATTATATTTTTGTAAATGAAACTACAATTACTACGTTTTTGTGACTGTTAGAAATGTGAAATTAAAAGCCTATACACTGAGAGGACTGTTCAAGGGTGAACTTTATTTTTCTTTTTACGTTCTTATACTCAAAGAGCATCCAGAGTTTTTATTTATTTTTTACTGGAAGGGCATCGAGTGCAGAGTGCGTGTCATCACTCATCTTTCAGGGGAGCAGCTACCAAAACGACCTTTTATAATGTTTGATTAACCTCAGGAGCCTCCACCTCTGAAGCAGACATGAGGGCAGCAGGGGGCTCCCATCCCCCTTGCAGTTTTGAGATTGCATCAAATCTTCAAATAAAAAATAAGTCATTGCTAGTTGGGTTGAATCAGGGTATTCCAGTTTTTTCAATCTTGATCAAACCTTCAGTTGTTTGTGTTGTTTGAACTTTGGATAACTTTGACCCATAAAGAACAGATTCTCATCTCAGCAGAGGGCTGGACTGAATTTTGATAGTGGTGTATGCGAATGCCTGACATATTTTTTAGGTAGCTGCTCTTCAAAAAGATGAAACATGTCCATGTGCTCACTGCAGCCCTTCACTATGTAAAAAATGGGAAATTACCTTTTTAGACACCCCTCCACTTGAGAGAATGTGGAATCAAATATTCTTTGATTTGACCTACATTTACTCAGCTTTAAATTATGATGTGAAAGGATATTTGATGAACTCACAAGAGGCCAGCTTCGCTCAGGAAGCAGCATGCATCTTTTGGTGATCAGATATCAATAACTTTAGTTGTTTTTCCTCCAGCAGAATTGAAATATTCACCAAAATGAAGTAAATAAAAGTGTTCTGGGGTAGAAGCCACAGACCATCTTATTATTTGTACTCTGGTATGCCTGCTATCTGTTTCCTGCAGCTCATCCACAAGAGCTGAAGGTCAGTCACATCATTAGAAAACATGTTCACAACCCCACCAAGATTACGTATACCTGTCCTTGTATAAATATTCATCTATTAAATGATCAAATGAGCTCTTTCAAAAAAATCAAAACTTGTATCTAAAAAGGTTTATTAAATTTAGTTTTTACATTTGGCTGGAATACCCCTTTAGTTTCATACACAAAGTGTGAACACAGAAAACTGACATCTGTAGAAGAGTATTTATTGGGATGATGTGTTTCTGAGTACTTCCTGAACCTTCTGGGTGACCCCATACTGCCTCCTGCTGGTCACACTCTAGCCCGTCACACAGCAGCAGAGCCAGCATAGACAGTATCTGGTTGATGTATTACTCAACACTCATGGCTGTTTATATGTGTTTTTTTTCTTCTGATCCTCTCTTCAGCTGCTGTCAGAGTCTTTCTTTTCAAAATAAAAGCAGCTGTTTAATTATTGTGATTATTCTACAAACTCGGTTCAGTCCTGTCAGTCTTACAGTTCTGATCCAGGTTTAGTCCTCATCGCTGCCCATCTCTAAAGGGTCAAAATCTGGGTCATCCTCATCCAGGTCCAAGTCCTCGATCTCTTGGAACAGAGACTCGTCCACTTCCACGTTGTTTCCACCTGCAGATGAAAAAAAAAGTGTGTCACTATCACTGGCAGCTGCACACACACACACACACACACACACACACACACACACACACACACACACACACACACACACACACACAGCTGTTTGAGCTGCTGTCCTCAGGCCGCAGATACCAGTGCCCAGCCCTCACCAAGAACAGGTCCAGGCGGTCGTTTGTACCACAGGTGATTTTACAGTTGAACAAACTAAAATAGATTGTGGGCAGCTTTATTCTTTACTTTCAGATACTGGTTCAGCTGGTCTGAGCACAGATACATTAATTATTGAAATACTTTTTGAATTGACAAAGTACAGTACAGTAGTATTTTTATATTGTCTTTTCTGAGTTGTTTTGTTTTATATGGGACAGCGTATGGAACTGTGTATGTGTGCTGTCTTTGTGCATGTTTTCAGTTTTCAACTTAATGCAAATGAATTTCCTCATGGGGACAATAAATTCAACCTTCCTATATACACACGCACGCACGCACGCACGCACACACACACACACACACACAGGATAGATGAGATCCTGAGTTCTATCCTACACTACCTCATGTTATCTGTGACTAAAACTAAAACTACATGAATCCTGACTCTTCCGTCCCTGCGGTGCTTTTGGGTGTTTTTAACAGTTTCAGGGTTGGTCTTATCCGGAAACTATCTTGTTTACATTGGAAGCCCAGCTGAGGCACCAAAGGCCGTTAATATAACCTGATCATATTCAATAATTCATTAAACTTATCTGCTACCAGAAACTCAAACAAAGAGCTGTGCCAGTAACTTCATTTACAAATGACTGTCCTGGATGTAACTGGACTTTAGGCCCCGGTGGGCCACAGGAACCGTTTTGCTCTTCCAAAGCAGTCCCTGAGCTAATATTTCTGGGTACTTGTGGCCAAAAAGCACAGCATTTTATGAGGCAACGGGGCTTAGTGTGAGTGCACCCTTAGAGTAACTACCTGAGCCTGTCAGGGTCAAAAACAAGAACTGTTCTCTAAAACTCTCAGAATTACACCCAAAAAGACTTCATACCTTCCTCCAGGAACTGGATGTCAGATGTGTCCAGATTGTGATCTGTCTCAAACAACTGTTTACCTGGTGACAGACACATATTCCAAATTCAGATCTTTATGTATTTTTGTATCCTCAGCAACTTTCATGGATAGAACCAGAGCTTACCAGTCAGTTTGTGTTTTCCCGCCTGCTCCTCTTCTTTCTGTCGTTTCCTTTTCAGCTCGTCCACCTCCAGCTCAAACTTTGCTTTCCATGCCAAGAAGTTCTCAATGGTGACCACAGTACCCTGAAATGCTACCTGTCAAGCACACACATATTGTATGTTAATGTCATGTTAATATCATTATCAGCCTATTATATGCTCTCACTCCCTAACTCTTTAATACATTAACAAACACAGGACAGAATGAGGAGTGAAGCTGGTTCAAGGAACAGCTGCCTGTCCTGAACATCCACATATCCTGGCCCTCACATTCAGCGCAAAATTATGACTGAGCTGTCAAATGTGACACTGGTTTACAAAAAGATAGAAATCTACCTTCTCTGCCTCCTCCGCCTCTCTCTCTTTTCGTCGTTTCTCCTCCTCACGTCTGTTTTTCATGGCGTCAACAATTTCATTGAGTTTCTCCTGGACAGCTGTGACCAGTGTGAAAATCATCACCATACCCAGGTTCTCCTCCGCCTGCAGAGGCAATACACAATGTTACTATGGCAACAGACTTGTGCTGATGTTGTTAAAGAAAACTGACGATAAATATTTGTCCACAACCTTTTTCCCATGACAAGCGTGCACTGAGGGGAGACAGCGGTTGGTTGTCACACTTTTTACTTGAGTGACTTACTCTTAATCATCATCATACAGAGGTCATCCCTACATCAGATGAAAGTTTGCATTCATACATTCACTTTTCTACAACAAGTGCACTGTGGGTACGAATCCTCTCTGTCTCCATGCATGGCGGCATGGCCATATGCACAGTGGCAACAGATAGACAACTAACTGCCAGGGAGACGTCAGTTTAATATGCGAGTTTCCCATTTTGTTGACGCTTTTACCGTGCAACATCACAGTCAACTCAGTCTCATTTACAGGTTCATAAGGACCTGGGCTGATATGAATTATGAAGATATGTAAGTTGAGATGGACAGACCTGCTGCTGCAGTAGAGTGAGGATGTCCTCCACATCACTGTCCTCCAGGTTCTCCTGAGAATGAATCTCCCACAGCGGAGCCTCGTCTGGATACTTCTCTACAAATGTGAACTTTAATGTTGTTTCCACGACTGCAAGAGGAAAGCACAATCCACCATACCATTAGAGTCTGTCCAAGGCTTACAACAAGGTTTAATCATACAATCCTGTTGTGTGATTTCATGATTGTCAGATGTGTGCTAAATCATACAACTCCAATTACCAAAAAGTTGGGAAATAAATAAAGTGGTAAAAAATCAAATATATGATACTCAGATCTAGGCCTGTCGCGATAATCAATAAATCGCCTTATCGCTCGATAAATAAAAACGAGGTCGATAACTTTGCCAGCCTCGATAATTGACGTGCGTTTGTTTTCCTCCGCTCTCGCTACCAAACACGCTGGATGAGAGAAGAGGTCTCACTCTGCGCATTTTTCTCGGCACCTGGGGGCGTTGGCTCTATAGCAGAATGAACGGAGTTAGTGAACCCTCCTGTCAGTCATTCAGTATCTTTGTCACGGGGGGGCGCGCGCACAGGTACACGTAGGCGCGCACAGGCACACAGACACAGACTTTTTGGATACAGTGCTGCAAGTGAGCGTCGTGAGTGAAAAGCAAGCTAACAGAATGAACACGACAGCTTTGGTGTCTAAACCGAACGCAACAGCCCAAGTGTGGGAATATTTCGGCTTTAAACCAGTTTCGTTTTAGTCAACCACAAAACTCCACGTGTGTGTGTGTGCGCGCGCGCGCGTGCGTGTGTGTGTGTTGGAGGAGCACAGCAGGCTGATGAGAGCTGTCGGAGCGGACTGAAGCTGCTCCTATAAGTTTAGCGTTTAACTGACTGAGTTTTGCAACTCTGTTCGTCATTTTCGTCTCGTCCCATCAACGTAAACGCACTTTCGTCTCGTCACATTTTAGTCATCTCCGACTTATGTTTAGCTTGTCAACGTTACGTCTTCGTCGTGGGAGAAAAGGGAAATATTTTAGTCAACGAAAACAACCAGTGTTGTTCTCGTGTGGAAATTAAAGTTTATCACTTTTGACATGGTGTACTCGCATTATTATGCCATATAATATCATTATCTATAATTTTAAAAATGGTGTCAATAATATCGTTTATCGGCGATAATTTGTAGCACAATTATCGTCCAGCAAAATTTGTTATCGTGACAGGCCTACTCAGATCACTAAAAGCTGATATCTAATTTAAAATAGTACAAAGACAACATTTAAATTGTTAAAACTGATTTTTTTTTTTTCATAAAAAAAACCTCGCTTCATTTTAAATCTGATTTTAGGAAACACTTCAAAAAGTAGTTTCGGGCTCATGTTTCTCATCTTGTGTCCTCAGTTCTTCTTTCACCAACCCTCTGTAAACCTTAGTGACCCAACAGACCAGTTTCTGGGGTCTAAAAGTGAAAGGTTGTCCCATTCTTGCCTGATAGAGGATTTCAGCTACTAAACAGTTCAGGGTCTTCCTTGTCCTATATTTGGTGTCATGATGCTCCAAATGTTTTTTAATAGGGGACAAGTCAGGACTGCAGGCAGACCAGTTCATCAGCAGGACTCTTCTACTACAGAGCCATGTTGTTGTAATCTCTGCAGAATGTGGTTTGTCATTGTCTTGCTGAAATATAAAGGGAGTTATATAGCAGCAGATGTTGCTCCTAAACCTGCACACATATTGCCCTGAGTCTGAGAAGGATTGGGATGAGGTAATTTAGGGATCCTGGAGTTGAGTCCATCAAAGCTGGTGTTTGCTCACTCCATGAACGGTCCTTTAAGAGTTTGGGGGGGATAAGTAGCTCTCAGAAGGGATGAAAAAAAAATCTTTTGGATTATAAATCACAGGTACACACTCCGTCATGCCTGACAGATAGCTAAGGAGACTCTAGAGCGTTACTGTTGCTGCCACTTCCTGGTAGTAGTTTGCTTATATAGTCCAAGACAAGGTTGGTGAAAAACGTTTGTGCCTCACAGAATTAAGTCTCATTTTGATAAGAGGGTAGGTGCAAAAGGAGGTGGAGGTCCAGCCCGGAGAGGTGAGGTAGCTGTAATTTCTGTGGAGCTGTCCAGTGCTGAAGTCGTAGCACCATATGTGAGTCTGGTGGCAGGTAAGGGGTCTGGTACTGAGGTGGATAAAGCAAGTTTGTCTGTAACATTGACACAGGCAAAGTTGTCAAACTTTGAGATCTTGAGAACTCTCCTTTCTGACCTGAAGTGTCTGACCTGTCTTAATCTCAGTGCTCAGATTTGGTACATTTGATTGGCAACAACAATGTTTCCTGATGACTCTCGACAGACTCTTGTGTTGATGTATGACATTGATGTTGTTGATTCACAGCCCATTAAACAGCATCCATATCAGGTGATTTCTGACTTAAACAGCAGGTTGAGTACATGGCTCAGCGTGACATTACTCAGCCCACCTGTAGTGCTTGGAGCTCTTCATGTTTGCATGCTGTTAACTCACACAGTGAAGATCATTTTAGCATGGGCCTCAGGAAGGTGAGGGAGGACATAAACTTGATCGTTAACTGGGTCATTCCATGAAATTGATGCCTTTTGCGTCCCCAAGAAGTAATCATTCATAAAATATGATAACAACGAATTAATATGTAATTTAAATATATAACATTACCATGTCTTCTCTCCTTAATATAACATCAAATTAAAGTCAATTAAATATCATTTTAAATAATATAAATTACTTTTATGCTGATGAGGGTGAGGTTTTAGGCCTGTCCCTCACTACTATTGCTGTACGTATACAGGACTTTAAATTTGTAAAATGTTGGCAAAATGTTACAATATTCACATTTACATATTGTTTAAGTATGATCTTATTGTTAAACTGTGTTTTTGGTAATAATATATATTAGTCATTATAAATATTTACCAATTTATCGGCGTGCCCTGATTTCATGTCAACCCTGTTACCCTAACTAAAAAACCCTAAAAGAATAATAGTAAATTCAAGATTTGACATGTATTGACAGGAAGTTGCATCGTCTCTGAGCCAGGATTCTAACAGCTCAGTAACAATTAAGTTTCTCTTATCTCTGATGTGCTATTTTTTATGTTTTTTTCAAGGTTTAACCAGGGGGGACAAGCATACAACGTCAACCCTGTGACCACTTTTTAACATATAAACCTAAACAATTCTCTATTTCTCAAAATAGAAACAATATCTACAAGTAATTACCTTTCAAAGTACATAGCTTGCACTTTAGCTAGCACTTATTTAAGATAGCCACAGGCAGATTAGCTTAAAATTGTCAACCCTGTTACCTTTCCACAGTAACAGGATTTAAAATGTGAGTAACAGGGATGACATAGTATAATGTTTATCCTCATTGTACTCTCTTGAAAGGTTAACCTTTTAAAATCAAAACATTTTAGGTCATCAAGTGAACATCATTGAGCTAATAATTATTTTTGATTGATTGATTGATTGATTGGTACACCGGTGGAGAGCCAGTTACTTTGTGTCCAGTTACTTTCCCTCTTGTCAGCCCTGTAACCATGACGTCAATCCTGTTGTTGTCATTAATTTGATAAAAATGTGAAAAATGACAACTCAAATGGGCTTTCAACACTTACTATTATAATTTAAATTACATTATATTTTAGATTGGGCCATTTTTCTACATTTCTCTTCTAAAAAATATCTGATGTATGTTGAGACGTGATCGCCATGCAACATTTGGGGTTTATTTGATCATCTGAATGACAAATATCTAATTGGAGAAAAAAATCCACAAAATAAAATAATCTCAATGGAAGTACTTCTAATATATGTACCATATATTGCATATTTCTAATGAGAAATTATGTATTTTGTTAAGTTTATGTCGGTAACAGGGTTGATTATGAATACAGCCCGGAGAAAACGGTTATAAAATATGAAATAACACAGCCTGAGATGGCACTATATCATTTCCTGCCATTTTAAACATTCTTTGATTCCTGGGTACTAAAAAATTAACAATTAAATATAGTTTAAATTTTAAATTTTCTAAGCTGAAAAGGCACCGATTTCATGGAATGACCCAACTATCTCTGCGAGTGGAGGACTGTGTAGGTCATGTTAGGGGATCCAGATTTGTTACTTAATTGGACTTATTGAAGGGTAACTGGCAGATTCTGGGACAAATGGGTGTTGGAAGTTTCTGCCTTTATCAAACCTGATGATTTCCTCCAGTGTTGTGTCATAGCCTTTGGCATGCGTAACACACCAGCTACTCCTCAGCAACTGATGAACATGGTTTGTTCTGGTCTCTCTTTTTGTGAAGCCTACCTTTCTCTCTTTGTCTTTAAACTATTCCTGACTTTATAGTTTATCTTTGACTTTTTTCAAGTTTCAGGAGGTCCTCACAATGTTGCAGGCACCAAATTTCAAAAGAGTATATTTCTATGAAAATGTTAAAAAATGCATTCTCAACATCTACGATCTTTCTTAGCACTATTTTCAATAACCTAAAACCTAAGATGACCGATCAAAATCTGCATTATTTAACATTTCACACAGTATCCTAACTTAAGGGTATAACGTATTATGTATTGAAAGCACAGTGTACATCTGTATACTCACTCTCTCCATTTTCTCCTGCATCTGATGTCACAGTGATGGTGAAGCTGGTCGGACTGTCTGAGATAACTAAAGACACACAGAGACATATTGATCAGTATATATTATTGTATTACTATTATTGCACCCCGTGCAAGCAAGCGTCTGCAGGCCAGAAGAAAGCCGTCATTGTTACATCCCCATCGTAAAGAAACCAAGTTTAAAGCTATTAAAGTTGTCATCAACACTGAGACACATTACAGTTATATTATATTACAACTACAGTTTATCTAATGTCAACTTTACAGTGCAGGCATCCAATAGTATATCTCTATCATAAATGTACCCAATCAAGAGGTAAACCCCAATCAAATTCAAATGTCTTATTATAAACACATTTTCTGAGACAGCTACAAAGTCTCTTAAATGTGGGATGAACGGCACTATTTCTGGATGTAGTATGGTGAAGACTGTCCATTAGAAATTTTAAAAGGCACACTGTGACAGCTGCTTGTCCGATATTCAGCTCCAGCAAAGTTAAAACATAAGTAGCACTAGTGTCAACAAGAACGGTGATTATAATAACAATCAGTCTTTTCGTTATTTCTGAATAACCACACACCAAACCAGTTAACTAACGTCCCCTCCTGTTAGCCAGTTAGCTCGCTAACTGTAACTTCCCGTGTATTTCACTGAAATTCTGACCTGTGAATGAATCTGGGTAGATGGATTCTATCGCTTCTAGTTCATTCCTCTGTTCCTCCGCGTAGTCCGTCATTTTGCGCAGTTTAAAGTTATCTACAAATGAAAAAAATCATCACCGCTACATTCAGGCTAACACACCGGGTTCACTACGTGGTCCACCTGGCCCTGTGGAGATCGATGATATCGTCACTCGGATTATTTGGTCTAATGCCAGAATATCGGTCTAGCTCGTATGGAAACGAATAAAAACAGTTAAAACGCAGTTAAATAAAACATTTGAACAATATCACTGAATATGTTCCTGTTTCAGCGACATGTGTGTCTACGGCTTTGACTTCACACCGCCGACATCACACCTCTGACATCTATTGCTCTGGCCTGCTTTGTGAATCAGAGTCACCAAGCGTCAGAAAGAAGAATCGACATGAATAGAAGGGGAGACCAGTGGCTTATATTACATTTTACACACTTTATCTCATAGCTAACATGTGACTTTAAATTCTTGTCATTTTTTCGTATCAGAAACATTTACGTATGTACTAATTGTCAAAGCTGTTATAATAATTGATTAAGACAAAACCGTTTTGTTCAGTGAAGAGGGATAAAGCCAATAGAATGGACCATATACAGTTTACTTCTATATACAGTCTATGCAGTCTATACAGTCACTGGTCTCTCCTTTCTTCTTTTTATTGATCAAGTGATATCAGTGATGATACGTTCACATTGTTGGATTTGTATATTAAAGATTTTCCTTTAAAAAAAAAAAAATAAAGGTCAAACAAGTCATTTCCATCTTACCAAATAGCTTTGCTCTGTACAAGGTGAAAAATAACTTATTATTTTGTGGATGTTACTGTACTTAAGAGGCTTTTTCAAATATAATTTTTTTAAATCAGCGTTTTAGATCAAGCTTTTCATCAGCTACATGACAGCCAACTGATTGGATAATGTCTACCCTGAAAAACTCAAATATGACCCTGTTCATTTACCTCAGATCTGCTCAAAATATCTCCTCACACTTTTTCAAGCTGCACTTACTTGTTCAAACATTAATCTGATTTCACTTAATTTTAAGAATTAAAGGTCCTTGAAATAATTTTGTTGATTACAATTAATTTTAATTATAGCAAACAACAACAACAACATCATCATCATAATAATAATAATACTATGAGAAAACAAACTCTGTTGTCTTGAAGTTAGTCTAAATTGTGTCTGACAGGGAGCTGAGAAAATTATTGTTGATACGTTTGTTTAGGACCCCCAAAATAATAGAACTGAATGGTTGAATAAATGTGTAAGATATGGATAAACAGGTATAAAAAAAATAAGATGAGATTTATAAAAAAAAATTGAAATAAATAAATTTTTAATGTTTAAAATTGATTTATATTATTAGTATTATTATTTTTGACAAATAAATTTCATTTTAATGTAATTATTTTCAATTCAAAACTCCTCTCCGCTTTTTACGTTGACGCTCCTCACAGAGACCCGCCGACAGCTGGCGGAAGTGACGCCATCTGTTGTTGACGCGAGGGGTTTTCTGGGAAAGAATCAACCGGACGCCATTTTGCTCTGAGAAACAGAAGGAAAGTAGCAAAGGTTGCAGCTCCTGAACCCCAAAACCCATCATCAGGTAAGTCCGATCTGTTAGGGACAGGATTCAGTGAAATAGAAGGGGTCTTTGAGGTGTTTTGTTATTGATTCTAAAAAGAATACACCTGTCAAAGGTGGAGAAAGGCCGCGGTAGCTCCGGAGCTAAAGCTAGCCGCGGGGTTGTCTCAAAACCAGGACCGAGTCAGCCCCGAAAGATTAAGTCCTGGTCCTTCAAAGATATTAGGCTTTTAGCCAACTCTCTGACAGTCACTTGTGTGTTCTTAGCCTTCATTGAATCGGGTCCAGGTAGGTTCTGATTCTGGGGTCAGTTGTTACAGGTCAGTCTGGTCTGGACTCACAGTGAGGCAATACTGTGACCCCCCCTTCCCACTCACACTCACACACGCTAACAAACACTTGAGATGTATTTTCTACCTGCCGTGTTTAGACCAAACCTGCAGGGGTGTGTCCAGAGGGGCTCCAGAGGTCGCCTGGGCCCCCTGAAAAATCTGATTGGCAAGCTTGAATTCCTCAGTTATGATTGGCTGGATGCCCTGTGAGGGGCGGGACTGACTAAACTCAACCATTCAACCACTTTATTATTAAGCTGAGTTTCCACCTTGGACTCTGTAAACTCTGAACCAGCTGGTTTCTGAGGGGGTTTTGAAGCCTGGCTTCATCCAGAGAAAAGCACACTCTTTTATAGTTTATAAGATACTACCTTATTCATTTCAATATGACTCTGCACACACTGCTTCCAGTATGTGCCGTCCAAACTGATGTATACAGAAAAACTCGACTTCTGTGACGTCTAATCACACAGCCTGTAATTATTTAGATACATTTCTTCTAATTGCTCGACAACACTTGTTTTTGAGTACCAGGATCCTTAAATCTGGCCTGTGCTCATACTCACTACAGTTCTTTACACTTTTGTATCCCAATCAGTGATCCTGTATTGTGGCGCATAACGTATGGTCAACACAGTGTGGTCATATGTCTCGTATCGTGAGACAGTAGGGATTACTCAGCCCCACCTATGTCTACAAAAAGCTCCCACTCCAAACCTGTAATATCTCCTGATTTGAATGATGAAGGAGGAGACTTATAATCCATGCTCTTCTTTTTCTAGAATTATAGGTGTCAGGATTTGTTGCTCTCTGTGGCTGACAGGGTCATTATTTCCATAAATTTCCATAAATGCAGAGTTCAGTGACATGAACATTGTATGTGTCAGCCCAGTCTGCAGATGATCAAAGCTGTAGGTACAAAATACAGGAAATACATACATCGATTCTTTTATTTTAATCAACTGTTCTCACGGTTCCAACATTTACCCACCACCTGCTGCATAGCTGTATGACAATTACCCACCAAATGGAAAATCCACTGGCATTAGGTGAGTAGCAGGTGTTTTTACATCTCATGTGCCAGCATTTAAAAAGTCCCCATCCCATTATTTTGGTGATGAAAATTATATTTTAAAAATAACATTTTGTAATGATCCGACAGAGGACTTATACATTTGCAGAGGGGATACAAGGCTTCAGTACTGTAAAGAATCTGTATTAGACCTGAGAATAGCTATTCTTATCCAAATACAAGAACCTCACAAGTTTCCTGTCATTTTAGCAGGATTTGTGTCTGAGGTGGTGGAGCAGGACCCCAGTTTACTGTAGATATTAGGATCTGAACATCTCCTTTTGTTTCAGATATGTGCTCCCTGCACATAATAATCATCACATCAGCTTACCTGACAATACTTATTCAGTACAAAGATGCTAGTGTTTCACTTTTTAAATGACTGTCAAAAACGGTGCATCCACTGTGGTAATACTAAAAGAATTCAAAGAGTTGCAGTTTCTGTTCACTAGGGGGTGCTGATTCTCGGGTGAAGGCAGCTGATTGTACAGGTCCCAGTCAGTGTGAGGGGTTTTAAAGAGAGACTTATGAGTTTGTGAAATGATCTGTTGTTAACTCTCTTTGAAATAGTTAATTGAAGTTCAGCTCAGTCTGTTTACTCTTCAGCCCCTCTGGATTCAAATGAGATAAACTTTCTGAATTCTTTATCAGATCAAATTAAAATAGTTTCAAGTTCTTTTCTTCATGGAAAGAATTTGCTGCCAAAAAGAAAACTGCTAAATGATTTTATAATTTTAATGCATGACATCATGTTTTCAGACCTTATATGGGAGTAATACCTTGTGTCTGAAAAAAAACCACAGTTATTTCTAAAATGCGAAATTCTCCTCTGTCTGTATTTTATTCAAAAAGAGGTTCTATTTCATCCCTTCTGACCGCCAGAGGCGGTGCTTTAAGCACTGAATGACTCCCTTCGCGCATGCGCAGTTCGAGTGTTTATACCAACAACGTCACTTGTGACCCCGTGGTGACCTGGAAGAGGTTATTTCTTCCATCGGTCAACGAGGGTTCAGTCCCTTATTCTTTCTCGCTCGCGCAGGATGCAAAAGAGCGAGCTACAATATTTCAAAACCTACCTCACTTTTAAATGAGTAAGTTACCAGTAGTTCCGCGGCCGTTTCGGTCGGAGTAGCGAATGCTCGCCCTCCAGGAGCTGTAACTTGTCTAATCCATATTAATTGGGATCTCCTACTGAGCGGAGTTCTCATCTCATCGGACGCCGCGGCGTCCGTCATTCACCGGTGAGGATGGGACTCGTTCCCCTCTCCTTCGGAACAGGTAGGTTATTGATTTAGTGTAGATATATATAGATATTTACCTTAACCTGTTGTGAAAGGCTGCGCTCTCGCCGCCTCCCTCCGACATAACGACTGTATACAACGAACGGTAACGCTCGCGTTCCGCGTCGGCATTTTCAGTTAATAAACGACTACGGTAGCCCGTTTTTTGTTAACGCCGCAGTGGCCACGGCCCCCCGACGGCGGCTAAAGCATTCAGCGGCGGCCAAGCGGGCAGAAAAGTTTTAAGGATAGCTCTTTCGTTTTTTGGCTAGTTTCCTAGCGACGTTTGGTTGGGCTTGGCTAACCCGTTTTTGTTGCATAGCCTTGTCTTTAGTTTAGTTAACACTAACAGTAGCATTTACGCTCTGGTTGCCTTAGGGGCTTTATCTCTTTTTATTATATAGTTGGCGATAGCCTACGCTGGTGCAGGCGGTGCTCACGCCCCCTCCCCCCAGCTCGCGCTGCCAGTGACCTGAGTTGCTTCAAGCCTATCATTGTGATTATTATTTAATTTATTCTTTCTATTTCTGATTGCTGGCAAAGGAGCGTTTCCGCTTCCTTCCTCCAGCATAAGCGGCAGTCACTCTTGCTGTCTTAATTTTCGGATAAAGGAGCGTTTCTGCTTCCTCCCTCCAGCAAGAGCGATCAATTCTCCATCTAGTGGCGGGGTCACAATGGATGTCTCTCACTGCTGTACTTCCTGTCAGGCCCCCCTCCAACCTGATGATGGACACGATTTGTGTCCATCATGTCTGGGCCTTGAGCACCTCAAGGAGGCCCTGGTGAACAGCCACTGTATGGACTGCAGCTACATGCCAATGGCAGCTAAGCTGGCCAGGCTAGCGGAGGTGAATCCGCTGCAGGACAACCTTCCCCCATCAGGCCAGGCGCCCACAGTGAAACCTGGTCGCTCGAAGCGGGGCACTGACGCACCTGCCAGTGCAGGCGCCCCACCTGCTAAAAAGAAGCCTAGGGCTAGGCCCAAGACCAACCGCTCTCGACTGTCGTCTAGGGTGGATCAGTTGTCTGCGGAGCTTGGTTGTATGAGGGCTATGCTCCTCGTCCATCAACCTCTGGAGTGTCCTTCAGAGGAAGCTCGGGTGCCTACTCCTGAAATGCCACACTTGACCCAGGAGTCCCAAGAGCCAGAGGAGGATGCGCTGTCTTTAGCTGCATCAGCCTCCCATTTTCATGAGTACGAGGAAGGGGAGGTCTATGAGGGGGCCTCTCAGGCCTCAGATCAAGGCTCCCACTCCTCAGCCCAGACTGAGCTGTCCGAGAGCGGGGATAACTCGATGCAGGCCATCCTGAGAATGGCCCTGGAGAAGTTAAGGGTGGCCTTACCAGACCAAGCAGGGCAGGCCCCAACAAGCAGATTCTTCCGGCGGAAGCCAGCCTCCAATGCATTCTCTGTCCCTCATGCAGAGGACTATTTGAGGGAGCTACAGGTCTGCTGGGCAGACTCGAAGGCCTGCTCCCGTCTAACCAGCGACGGTCGTGCGCTGGCAGCGATGCATGGTTCGGCAGACGTTGGCTTGGACTGCATGCCATCAATTGAGCCAGTCGTCGCATCTCTGGTGGTTCCCCCGGATGAGGCCTTGAGCCGGGACACCAGGTGCCCTCGCCCCCAGTGCAGGCTGACCGACGACCTGCTGATTAGGGGCTATAACACAGGAGCAAAAGCTGGGAGAATTGGCAACTCCCTGTCGCACCTCCTGCTGGCGCTTTCATCATCCCTGCAGGAGGACAATGCAATCGCAGATGCTACCACCCTCTGTGACGCGTCACTGGAGGCGTTTGGCCTCATGGCTCGGGAGTTAGGGAGGATGATGTCCATCATAATCCAGGCCCGCCGCCAGGTTTGGCTGTCCCAGTCACGGCTGACGGACAAGGCGAGGAAGACCCTCCAGGGCCTCCCGGTGGTGCCAGGAACGGTCTTTGGTCCAGCTGCCCAGGAGGCACTTGACCAAACCATCCAGGCTGGACAGACTAGACAGCAGCTGATGAGCCTGCACCGCGCTCCTCCCCATAGCAGGGGCAGGGCCAGGGGCAGAGCCCACTCAGCTGCCCCTGGAAGCAACCCCCCACCAGCCCACTTTAGAGACCCACGCTTTGCGCAGGGGCAAGCCCGTGGACGGGGCTTTGGTCGTGCGCAGTCTAGGCCATTTCGGCCCCCGGACCCCGTTGGACCCCCCAACAGGGCCCCTAGGGGCAGAGGGGCCAAACACTGAGACAATGGGGCCGGCCGTCGGAACTTTCACACACCAGCAGCTCAGCTACTGGGCTGCTCGAGCTGTGGACCCGTGGGTGCTTACCACCTTGACCCACGGGTACAAACTCCAGTTCCGACGCCGGCCCCCTGCAACCAGCCGGGTCAAAACTACCATCATTGGCGACCCGGCAAAGGCCTTCGCCCTGGACCAGGAGCTGTCTACCCTCCTGGCCAAGGGTGCCATCGAACCAGTAGACCCTCTGCAGCACCCCAGGGGGTTCTACTCAACCTACTTTCTGGTAGAGAAAAAGACCGGCGGATTCCGCCCCATCTTGGACCTGAGAGGCTTAAACAGGTACTTAAAGATCCTACCCTTCCGTATGTTGACCACGGCAGCTGTACTCCAGTCTGTGGCCCCAAACGAGTGGTTCACGACAGTGGATTTGAGAGATGCCTATTTCCATGTCCCCATTCGCCAGGCAACACCGGCAGTTCCTCCGGTTTGCCTACAAGGACCGCCACTGGCAGTTCCGGGTGCTCCCATTTGGGCTCTCCCTGTCCCCGAGGGTCTTCACGAGGTTTGCCGCTGCAGCGCTCCAACCTCTCCAGGCCCAGGGCATGAAGGTGCTTCCCTACCTGGACGATTGGCTGATCTGCGCACCATCCCGGGCACAGTCAGCGGACGACACATCACAGCTTCTAGCCCACGTGGCCCGCCTGGGTATCAAAGTAAATACAGACAAAAGCTGCCTGACGCCATCTCAGAGCATAACATTCATTGGTCTAGCCCTAGACACGGTTTCAATGACGGCCCGTCCTTCCACCCGTCGGGTGGATGGTATTATGAAGCTTCTGTTCGATTTCAGGAGAGGAAGCCTCCTGCCATACATGAGGTTCCTCCGCCTCATGGGCACGCTAACGTCTGTTGCGGCTGTTGTGCCGCTGGGCTTGCTGTCCCTACGCCCCCTGCAGAGGTGGCTAAACGGCCTCCATCTAGATGCCGAGCGACACAGGCACAGGCAGATTGCCGTGTCAAGACAGTGCCTCCTCACCCTAGTCCCGTGGAGGGACAGGACTTACATCCTGAGGGGTGTCCCGATGGGGTGTATTCCATTCCGCAGAGAAACTGTTACCACCGACGCCTCCCTCTCGGGCTGGGGTGCGGTGTGGCAGGGCAGGACAGCTCGCGGGCAGTGGTCTCCAGCAGACCGCGCAAATCATATCAATGTGCTCGAAATAAAAGCGGTGCACATGGCTCTTATCCATTTCATGCCTCACCTGAGAGGCAAGCATGTGTTGGTCAGGTCAGACAATACCTCAACAATCTACCATATAAACCACCAGGGAGGGACCAAGTCAGCACAGCTGCTGCAGGTCTCCGCAAACCTGCTGACATGGGCCGCCCCCCGCCTGATGAGCCTGCGGGCAGTATATATACCAGGGGAGAAGAATTATAGCGGACTTTCTCTCCCGGCGGAAGCCTCCGTCAGGAGAGTGGCGCCTCCACCCAGACGTGGTCACCATGATCTGGAACCGCTTTGGCAGGGCAGAAGTGGATCTGTTCGCTTCGGCAGTGTCGACCCACTGCCCGAAGTGGTTCTCCCTAGCGGAGCCAACCAGCCCCCTAGGCCAGGACGCGCTGTCCCACCCCTGGCCAGGGGTTCTCCTATACGCCTTTCCCCCACTTCCTCTGATTCCCCTGGTGCTCCAGAGAGTGGCTCAGGAGGGTCACACCATTCTCCTCGTGGCCCCTTTCTGGCCAGGCAGGGTGTGGTTCCCACTGCTCCACCAACTATGTCAAGGGACGCCGTGGCGCCTCCCCGACAGGAGGGACCTGCTCTCACAGCTGAGGGGACGAATCTGGCATCCCAACCCACAACGCCTTCAGCTGTGTGTTTGGCTGCTGAAGGGCCCGAACCACTGCTAGGCAGCTGCTCGGACGCAGTACAACATACGATCTTGAATGCAAGGGCGCCGTCCACCAGGCTCCAGTACGCCAACAGGTGGAAGCTGTTTTCCAGCTGGTGCAAAAGCAGAGCTGAGGACCCAGTACACTGCCCAGTGACTGTAGTCCTTGAATTCCTCCAAAGCCTGGTAACTAAAGGCCTGTCCCCTTCTACACTTAAAGTGTATGTGGCAGCTATATCTTGTAACCACGTGAGGGTTGAGAACAGCACGATAGGGAGCCACCGCTTGATCTCCAGCTTTCTGAAGGGGGCCCAGAGGCTGCACCCCCCGAGAGCCCCGAGAGCTCCAGTATGGGACCTAAATCTAGTCTTAGACACCCTATGCAAGGCTCCCTTTGAGCCCCTGGAGCGGGCAGAGCTCAAATGGCTGTCCTATAAGACAGCCCTCCTCCTGGCCATTACATCGGCCAAGCGGGTAGGGGAGCTACACGCCCTCTCAATCAACGAATCTTGCCTACGGTGGAACTGGCCCGGTTCGATCCTCCGCCAGGAGACAGGGCTGACCAACTGAGGCTGTTGTGCCCGGTGCGGGCCTTGAGAGCCTACATTCGAGCCACCACACGTGTAAGACGAGCTGAACAGCTCTTTGTGTGTCACAGCGGCCCTAGTATAGGCCTTGCCCTGTCAAAGCAGAGGTTGTCCCACTGGGTGGTGGACACAATCAACCACGCCTATAAGGCAAATAACCGCCCCATGCCACCCGGGGTCCGGTGTCACTCGACCAGGAGTGTCTCCACCTCATGGGCAGCCCTAAGAGGAGTACCCCTGGAGGACATCTGCTCGGCTGCCTCGTGGGCGTCATCAAGCACGTTCTCCAAGTTCTACAGGGTCAACGTTGCCACTCCCCATCCGTTGGGTGTGGTCCTCTTCCCGGAGTCCCCTTGATTCAAGGTTTGCAATCAGGATTCCTCGTGACTTTGCTGGTATAAGTCATTCAGTGCTTAAAGCACCGCCTCTGGCGGTCAGAAGGGATGAAATAGAACGAAAGTTACGCATGTAACTACGGTTCTATGAATCCCGAATGACCGCCAGAGCACTCTGTCACTCAGAATCCTCGCGTCTTCGCGAGAAAGTTCTGCAGGGACTGAACCCTCGTTGACCGATGGAAGAAATAACCTCTTCCAGGTCACCACGGGGTCACAAGTGACGTTGTTGGTATAAACACTCGAACTGCGCATGCGCGAAGGGAGTCATTCAGTGCTTAAAGCACCGCCTCTGGCGGTCATTCGGGATTCATAGAACCGTAGTTACATGCGTAACTTTCGTTTTATGCTGTATAAAAATAGGCACTTTATTGCCTCTTATATACAGCATTGAAAAGCAGTATGTAAGAGGCAATATAACCTACTGACATTTTAAGGTGGGGTATTTGTGGCACCTCATCTGCAGTGTGTAATAACCAAAGTGTGATGGTGGGTTGAAGTCTCCCCACCTCTTATCCTCTCTCAGAGGTAACAGAAGCAGAATGGAGGGAAGCCTGCAGGCGGGACAGCACTGTGTGTATGTGCATGCTTAAACCCCACTGTGTGTTATTAAGCTGTGCCTCACTAGTCCCACAGTGACTTACTATGATGTGTAATGACACACTGGGGCACCAATTTTCGGCCTTTTCAAGGTGCAGTGTGCCAGTTTAAAGCTTAATGAAGGAGAAACTCTGCTCCAGCGCTGAGACAGACTCTGTTTGAATACACGCCAACACACAGCTGACAAACAGGTGGATGAATGACATTAAAATTCATAATGAATTTTTCACCACCTTTTCAGAGCAGATCACCTATTCAGAAACATGCTGGCCTTTTGTTGGATTTAAAAAAAATTTAAGGTTAAAAAAGATTTTGAAAGTTTTTTTTCTTTTGAAAGACATCAAATTTCAGATCAAATTCAGTGTCCATGACTTTCTGTTCTCTCTGTGTATTTGCTCATTCTCTTGACAGTCTACAGCATTTACAGCTGTGTATTATAAATACATTCACTAAAACAGTGGAGGACTCTTAGGGTTGTTAGGGATGACTACAGAATGCAGACTTCATATACTGTTTTTAATAATATCAGGAGACCTTTTAAATGTCATATTTAGAAAGTCTGCAGCAACCCTACATCAGGCCCTCTCCTCTGATAAGCAAAGTCACTGGCCTGAGCAGTTTGGTCTTGATTTTGTCGTTTTATTTCCAGACACGATGGCGAGTCCCGGGAAAGAAAACTACAGGATGAAGAGCTACAAGAACAAAGCGCTGAATCCTCAGGAGATGCGTCGACGAAGAGAAGAAGAAGGGATCCAGCTGCGTAAACAGAAGAGAGAGGAGCAGGTAGATGGTTTGAACTCTTCGTGAGCTTCTGTTTCAAATAGCTCTGCTTTTGCTGATTGCATCATTGAAGCTCCACATTCCACTTGTTTTCACCCCGCACAGGTTTCATGTTTTTCTTCTGACTCATGTTTTAAAGTAGTACCTTTTTGACTCTCTTCCCTGCAGCAGTTGCTGTTGGTTTCCTTTGTTTAAACATGTTTTTTGAAGAAAACTAAATCATCACGTAGATTCCAAGCTTGCATTTCACCTCGTCATATAACAAACCAAAATTTGTCAAAGGCCAGACAAACACAGCATCTTTCACCTTATTCCGTATCAGCAGGTGAAAATGTCTTTATCAGTGCAGCCCCATCCCACCCTCCCATCCCGTAGCCTGGCTGGGCCATCCAGTTGCGTGAATCACTTGCCGTTCCTTCACACAACAGTCTGGACTTCGGCCCATTGGGAGCGTGTATTCCCGGTCAGAAAATAACCGGGCCAGTCAGAGACCGTGTTTCCATTGTTACCCGGACAACAGGGAAAGGCAGCCCCTGACTGGTCCATGTGTAGATGGCGACGTCTAACACATGCTGCGGGACTTTTCAAAGCGCTGTTCATTTAGAACGCCTTTAATTCTGCAGTTGACTTTGCAAAGTCGGCAGAAACCGTTTATATCCGATGTCTTCTGCGGATATAAACGATTTCTGCCGACTTTGCAAAGTCAACTGCAGAAGGTGTGGGAAGGAACGGCAAGTGATTCACGCAACTGGATGGCCCAGCCAGGCTACCCATCCCGTGCCACATGACATTATGCAAAGTTGAATTATTTCAGCTCTGCTAAAAAGAGATCCCGTCTATTTCCAGAATAAACCCAATTCTCTCTGAATGATGTTTCCTTTAACTCTGTGACTGTTTTCTGCTGATACTGTCTCTTCATCCTAAACATGTTTTTTCAAGTTAATAGAGCAGCACACCATTTTTGTTTGTTTTCAAATGAACCCAAAGATGTCTTCAGCCTATTCTACTGAAGGTTGTCCAGCTGGCATTTTAGTAAAACTCACAAACAGAATCATAAATGTGAAATGTGAAAACATTTTCAACATTTGTTGAAAACTCTTATTGCTCAGAGTAAACAGCAGCAGATCTACTGTCTGATGTCAGGCATACCTGATTGCACTCGTCTAAACCCCAATCTTAAAGGAAATCCCTCATGTGGAGCCTCGTTCAGTAACAAGCTGCTCAGAAACGTCTTCTTCATTACCTTCGGCCATGTTTGTTTGTTATTCTGCTCTGTGTGGGCTATGGCTGTGAGTCCGTCGCTCGCACTTATGTTATCAACTTGCACTTATTGTATTTATCATGAGATGGCAAATATTTATCATGGAAGATTTTTCTGACAATTTATCATGAGCAATAATTGATCATCCATCCCTAGTAGATAGAGGCAGCTCCAGTGTTACAGTGTCATTTTCATGATAAAAAAGTACAACACAAGCAACGATCTGGACAGAAGGAAACAACACCAGTAAAAAACCCAAAATGCTACAAGTTCATTTGCTGCTGTCATGCAGAGATAAAGGTAATAATGGACTTTCTTTGAGCTTTAAAACAGAAGCCCAGGGATTTGACTCAAGCTTGAAATTGACACTTCAAAAACTTTAAATTTAAAGACTAGATCTAAAACTTTTTTATATGACAGAGATCACAGCAAAACAAAACTTCCACAAGCTGCCCACGAAGAAAACATCATCTTCTTTAAAAAGAAAAACTAAATTTAGGAACTGACTAGGAGCTGGGGTGAAAGAGAACTCACATGATTTTGTATTTCCTGGATGAAGACAAACACTGATCTGAACAGGACATTGTGTGGTGACGGTGTTTATGCAGTTTTATTTATCAAGGTAGAGAAAGCGGCAGATCATTTGACTGCATCAAAAAACATTTGGATAGAGATCACTGAAGGAATCCTCTTAGAAATAAGTCGGGCTGATATTTCATCCCTCACATTGTTGCCAAATCCTGGAGTGAAAAAAGTCTGGATCCAATGTTTGGGATTATGTCTATGAGCATTAAAAACTTCTGACCTGCAGTAACCTCATGTGTCCTCAGCTGTTCAAGAGGAGAAACGTTTGTGTCCCTGCAAGTGACGAGTCCATGCTGGAGTGTCCCATCCAAGATCCAGATGTCAGCTCCACTGTACCTGTCTCAGGTGTAAGTCTTTGATCACATGCTGTCTTTTTTCTTCTCCCATTGCTCTCATGTTCATCTGTCAAAGACGACTGTGTTTCCTGTGGCTGTGTTCAGTCTGATGGGAGTTTGAAATGTTTGTCACTCCTGCAGGATGGAGTCATAACTCCTGATATGATTCAGATGATCTTCTCCGATGACCCCGACCAGCAGCTGATTGCCACTCAGAAGTTTAGGAAACTCCTCTCCAAAGGTCTGTGCTAGGTCTCAAGGTTCAAATCAGAAATGTGTCGGGAGGATATGTTTGAGGATTTCAGGGGATTAACTCTGTTGGAGCATGCAGAACCACAGCTGTCTGTTTCACCTCTGTAAAGCAGGGGATGTTTAATGACTGCTGAGTTTTCTCCGGTCTTTTGTGCAGAGCCTAACCCACCCATCGACGAGGTCATCTCCACGCCTGGTGTTGTCAATCGCTTTGTTGAGTTTCTGAAGAGGAGTGAAAACTGTACACTGCAGGTGAGAGTTCCACAGACGAGCACTGAATGCATGAACTGTGAAGTCTTACACATCACAAAGTACTCGGATTTACAGGTTGGTAAAGAACAGATGATTTTTAGATTTTTTTCTCGCTGTTCAACCAAATGTACATGTAAGATTTGTGTCAGAGAGCAGACAGAGAGACAGAGGTTTTCTTTCAGACCTGACCTGTAGACCACAGACACACACCACACTTCTTCTGGGATATAACTGTGGATTTATTTTTGGTGTTTGGATTCAAAACTGTATCCATTGCAAGTTTATTTCCTTTGAGCAGCAGGTCTGTATCTTTTGATCTCGAATATTGAACTGTTCAGTACAGCATCCTTATTTCAATACACACTGAAGTGCATTCTTGTTGCTGCAAAGGATTCTGGTCTCTTAAATTTCCCACTGCCCCACACTGCAGCTAAAGCAAATCTACACTGCTTTCCCTGGAGATCTGGAGTGTTAAAGTGTCACAGGTTCAACATGATCTCTTGACCCTTTTGTCTGTACAATATTATAAAAGTGACATTACTGTTACATCCTCATAATCAGCATTGCAGCAGAGTCTTACTTCTACTCTGTTATCTGGTCTTTTTAGGATTCAGTTAAACCCTTAAGGTAAAAGTACTCAGCATTATCAGAGCACCTACTAGATCAGGGGTTGGCAACCCGCAGCTCCAGAGCCGCATGTGGCTCTTTCATCCCCCGGCTGCGGCTCCCTGTGGATTTGAAAAATAAATAATAAATATTTAATTTAAATGTATTTTATTTTATTTTATTTAGTTGCGAAAACCAAAAAACCTCTGTGAAGATGAAGGTGACATCATACAGCGCTGATCTGGAGACGTTGTGCGCTGAGGTTCAGGAGCGAAAGTCACATTAAACAAGAAAATTTAATATTTTAATCGGTTTTGCAGATATATATCTGACATTGTTCAGTGAAATAGTGTTTTTTATTCAGCGCACACGCTTACTCTGTAATTGTCCTCTCTACTCCCCTGAGTCTGGCTTGAATAGTGGGGCTCCGAGGGCAGAGCTTGCAGTTGTGACCTAGGGAATCTCACTGTGTCCGATGCTGCTGTTTGGGTCTGCCAGAGGTTCACAATAATTTGAATGCAGAAATACTCAGAAATGCAGTTTTGCACCTGTTTTTCTCATGACATGTCCTCTAGCATCAGAAAAATGGCATATAAACTTGCAGACAACCAGAAAAACATGATTTTCATCAGAGTGGGTCTTTACGGTTAGTTCAAACTGTTTAGAATATTTTTGTTTTCCTGCAGAAATAACATTTCTTTTTCTCTGCAGCAGCTCGTTTATTTCATAAACACAACACACTACATTTTTTTTCCATATACTTTGCATAGAGGTAAAAAAAAAAAGATAAGTGTTATCTTAATTTTAGTTGTCAAAGGGGTTTTGTGTCTCTCTTTTCTGTGGGAAACTGGTCCACATGGCTCTTTGAGTATTTAAGGTTGCCAGCCCCTGTACTAGATGAACCAAATAAGACCAACAGAAGAAGAAGTAATGCTTTCAAAACTTTTTTCATTTCCTGTGTTTCATGTCTTAAATATGTGCATCTTCGACAGTTTGAGGCGGCCTGGGCTCTGACCAACATCGCCTCAGGTACCTTCCTTCACACGAAGGTGGTGATAGAAACCGGAGCTGTTCCCATCTTCATCGAGCTGCTCAACTCTGAGTACGAGGACGTCCAGGAGCAGGTCAGATAAGAATTGATCTTTGCTGATACATTTCCAGTAACTCCTACAGGACAGGGGTTTCATAACTGCTGCAGCTCTCAGACTTTGTCAGTGCGTGGTGAACACTCACACTCACAGTCTCTGTGTATTGCGTTTTAGGCTGTGTGGGCTCTGGGGAACATCGCTGGAGATAACGCAGAGTGCAGAGACTATGTGCTGAACTGTGGCATCCTGCCATCTCTGCAGCAGTAAGTGTCCTCCACCTGTCTGTCAGTCTTTTTCAGTGTGTTTTTGTCATGTGTTATTAAACACTTCCTTATTTTTTTCACATTCAGGCTGCTTGCAAAGTCCAACCGACTTACAACAACTCGTAACGCAGTGTGGGCACTGTCCAACCTCTGCAGAGGGAAGAATCCACCGCCAGACTTTGCAAAGGTGGCGTTAAGATACTTATTTGTATGTTGCACCCTCAGTATAGACTCTACTCTGTGTTAACCTTTCCCTGTGCCTCTGTGTCTGGCTGTCAGGTGTCTCCATGTCTCAGCGTTCTGTCCAGGCTGTTGTTCAGCAGTGATCCTGATGTGCTGGCCGACGCCTGCTGGGCTCTGTCCTACTTGTCTGATGGCCCCAATGAGAAGATCCAGACGGTGATCGACTCGGGGGTCTGCCGCCGGCTAGTGGAGTTACTCATGTAAGAGCTGTCAAGGTTATATGAAGAGAAGAGACAGACTGATTAAATACCTGGCTGACATGTACATGATAAATAAGGATGCTCTCAGACTGCAGGACAGGACAGTGCTCCACTCTTCTCACCAGAGATCAGCTCTGTCTGTTCTCACATCTGGGCCTGATAACTGTCCTTATTTCTGTTCTCCGAGACTCTAGAAAATAATGTTTTTACCACAGTGTCAACAGGCAGAAGGGAAATCTTAGAGACCAGCCTGAGACAGGACATTTTCTGGAGCGTTTTACCAGATAGAACTGCCTGTACAGGACTGTTAAACATGCTAAGCATCAACATCCAGAGCCTGTCATCCAGAGTCTGTCACCTTGTATCCAAACATGGGTATATGACTTGTAAAAAGTTTTCAATCACTGTGTCGATAGTGGCGACTGTTGTGTACTGCTCCCTAAAAAAAGAGCCTGTGGAGACCTGGTGCACAGCTGCAGCTCCTAACTGAGCCTCTCTGCTGTGTGCCACACCTTCAGCCAGTTGGTCTACATTAAAACATGCTTTAAACTCTAAACAGCATCCTGATCGCTGAACATAACAGAAGACCACATAGTACTTTTCTCTACCAACATGTCAAGTTTTCAGCATCAGTAAGTGTCAGGGGTAACCTCGACCTGTGTGTGCGTGTGCGTGTGTATTTGCAGGCACAGTGACTATAAGGTGGTCTCTCCAGCTTTACGAGCAGTGGGAAACATCGTGACAGGAGATGACATCCAGACTCAGGTAGACTCTGACCCTCTCACCTGTCCTGGGTTATGAAGAAAGGACCTGGAGGTGTGTTAATCATGTGTCTATGCTTTCAGGTGATCTTGAACTGTTCAGCTCTGCCGTGTTTGCTGCACCTCCTCAGCAGCCCGAAGGAGTCTATCAAGAAGGAGGCATGCTGGACAGTGTCCAATATTACAGCAGGAAACAGAGCTCAGATCCAGGTAAGACCACTTCACCTGCTGCTCTGTAACCTTCACTTAAAGGGATATTCTGGTGTAAATTTTAGTTATGGTCAAATACACAGTAACACTGAGTTAGACACCCCCCCGAGAGATGAATGTTGCCGACTGCTTGCTTCTCTAATTATACCAACCTCAGCAACGACCGCACAATAGCAATACAATACAATACTGTATTTTTCGCACTATAAGGCGCACTTAAAATCCTTTTGGCTTGTCGGAGCACTGCAGCTACCGTAGCCTTGTGGAGTTATTGAATGAGTTAAATTAAATTTGACTTATCTGACTGTTTTGTTTGGCTTAATGCGCTTTATAATCCGGTGCGCCTTATGTATGAAAATGGACACGAATAGATGCACCTTATAATCAGGTGCACCTTATAGTGTGAAAAATACGATAGGTCTACATCTCCTTGCCCACACCTCAACCAAAACGCCACTCTATAGCCACAAATAATGCTCAGAACAGCACCTAACTTCATCAACAGTACATATAGGGTCCCAGTCAAAGTACTAGCCATCAAACATCCTTATAGCTTTGCCTGATTTCTTCAGAATAGAGACTAAACACAACTCACCTACTCTCCAGCAGCAGCCGCTTGTTTGTGGGGGAGACCTGACGAGTCGATCGTAATTATCTCTGACACTGTCTCCTATGCAGAATGTGATCGATGCAAACATATTCCCCGTCCTGATCGAGATCCTTCAGAAGGCCGAGTTTCGCACGAGGAAGGAGGCAGCCTGGGCAATCACAAACGCTACCTCTGGAGGAACTCCTGCACAGATCAGGTAAAAAACTCGGCAATAACAGGGGACTCATTCTGTGAATGCGTTGTCAGTGTAATCTGATTTTGTTGTCTGTGATGTTGAGGAAAGAAATCAGGCATTTATTTAGCTTCTGAGTGTATTCAGTCACTCTGAGCGTTTGAAATAAATGGGCCCCTTTTAATCCTTGTGCTAACAGGTACCTAGTGTCTCTGAACGCCATCAAACCTATGTGTGACCTGCTGACGGTGATGGACTCAAAGATAGTTCTGGTGTCTCTGAATGGGCTGGAGAACATCCTCAGACTGGGAGAGCAGGAAGCCAAGCAGAACGGGACTGGCATCAACCCGTATTGCGCTCTCATTGAGGAGGCATACGGTAAGGCCAAAAACTCTGCTCCCTCTTTGTGTTCCAAAACTTTTCCTTTTGTTTTTGATGTTTCAAGCATTTTTTTTGTAACAACAAGACAGAGCTTAACATTAAACCCCAGTTTTTCACAGTGCAGTGAAAATGTAATGCTGTCACAGTGTAAGAATAACAATATGAGCCTGTCAAGGAAACAACACAAGAACTTTTAGTGGACAGGATTCCAAACTCTTCAAAACTAACTAAGTATGTTAAACCAAAGAAGCATTGCATTGAAGAAATACTGCTGTACGTTTGAAGCAGGGTTTTAATGGATGCCGGTAATCTCTGCCCCTTTAATGAGAAACTGCAGAGAGAGACAGCATGCAAGCTAGGCTTCAGTTTTCTGCGTGTGGACATGTGGACTCTGACACAGACTTTAGCTAATTTAGAGACTCTAACCCAAACAGTCACCTCAGTTTAAGTCTACGCTCTACAGAGAAGTTTTCAGTCAATTCTCTTCTCTGATATTCAGCATTTTTACAATAAGCAGCATCAAACGTTTTTTCCACTGAGAGCCAATAAAATCACTTTATTTTAAAAAACGCTCAATGTCAATGTCAGCTTTATTTATAATGCACATTTAAAACAGCCAGTGGCCAACCAAAGTGCTTTACAGTAAAATAGCCAGAAACAATCAAAAATCAACAATGAAAGCTACAAAAACAATGAAAGCATAATACATATGAAAACAACAATATAGATAAAAATAGCAAATAAATAAAAGACCCAATAAAAGTAACTATTCTACCCCAAAGGCTAAAGTGAACAGGTGCATCTGTCAGGGGTAAAGCAGTCCACAAAGTGGGAGCCACAACAGAAATGCTCGATCTCCCCCAGTTGTGTAGAGCTCATCCGGCTGTTCCACAGCTGCCTGTCTCTGCCTCAAGGCACCACATAGGCTGTGTAACAGTGTCCCGCCTACAGTCCCCACTGATTGGTTACACAGACAGCCAATCAGTACTCAAGCTTCTAAGCGCAGCTCCACAGCGACGGAGAGAGAGAGGAGAGTTGCTCCGTGAAGCAGCAGTGTGATTGGATGTGAGAGTCCGGTTCCTCTCACTGATGTTTATTTAACACCGTAGAACTAAAAGCTCAAAAGAACAAAATAAAAGCCAACATCAGTTATTGTAACATGACATAAATAACACTGTTAATCACTGTAGCCAATACAGATAAAGAATACACAAGGCCATACAGATCACTTTAGCCTGCTTCTCAACAAACGGCCGAGTCATTTCCCAGAGTTAATGTTCACTGGCAAAATAATATATTTCAACTTACACGTCTCATAAAACCACATGCCAACAGTTATAACAAACACCATGAAGCATGGAGAAATAAAACAAGAGACACTAGCAGGTAGCAACACAGGTAGAGGTGCTCCTCTCAGTCTATGTGAAGTTTATGGAGCTAGCACGCGCTACTTCCGGATCTTTTCTCAGTTCAAAATAAAAACGTGTTTCAAAATAAGGCCAAAATATACATTTTTAATGCCAATGACTATTGTCTCTGAATATTGGTTATCGGTTTCCTTGAATACTAATAATCAGTATCAGTATTGGCCCTAAAAAACCACATCAGTCAATCCTAAATGTTACATATTGTGATGGGAGGAGGGGGTCTGAAAGTGAGCTGTTCTGTTTGTTAACCCCTTCAGGTCTGGATAAGATTGAGTTCCTGCAAAGTCATGAGAACCAGGAGATCTACCAGAAGGCCTTTGACCTTATCGAGCACTACTTCGGCGTGGACGAGGAGGATGCCAGCCTGGCCCCACAGGTGGACCAGAACCAGGGTCAGTTTGTCTTCCAGCAGCAGGAAGGACCCATGGAGGGCTTCCAGCTCTAACCCTGCCTCTCCTCAACAAGCCCCGCCTTCTCCTTATTAGTTTATAATCCTGGGCTGATGGGCCCATGGACTCTGCTGGGACCTGGACCCTCTTCTGCTGGTCCAGCCCCGTCACTTCTGCATCGGCTCCTCCTCTGTGAGACACACAGACAGACAGACAGACAGCCAGGTGGACAGAGGGAGGTGTGTGCGTGTGTGCGTGTGTGTGTGTGGAGGTGAACAGAGTGTGTGAGGCTCAGCTTGATCCTGAAGAGAGTATCAGATGTGATGATGACGTCTCCTGTTTTCCTCTCGGCTGCAGACGGACTCTGTGACTGTCGAGCTTGTTCGACTCCTGACGATGATTTTTGTGTTTCAGTTAGAAAGAGGACTCTAAATCAGCATCCATATCCCGTCTTCAATGTGAAACTACCTCTGACACCTTCAGACAGAAAGCCCTACAGGAACAGACTGATTTCTTTGGCGTAGCGCGGCAGGGGTTTGGATTTTGATGAGCTGTAGTGGATGTAAATACAGTCTGCTGTTGGTCCAGCTGCTCCCTCTCCTCTCTACTCCTGTCCTGTTGAAGACTCTTCAAGCGTCTGGAGACTCTGAATCCTTAATTTATTCGTCCTCTGGTTTGTGTGGAGCTGCTGTGTCCTCAGCACTGACTGAATGCTCCCTGAATGATGCGCCAGTGTCAACTCTTTGTCGTATTTTGCTGCTTTTCTCCAGTTCAGAGAGCAGAATCGGGCGACGCTCTCTCTCTCTCTCTGTTACATGATGCAGTGTGTTTCTGCGTAAAGGAGATTTTTTTTTTTCTGTTCTAGTTTGAAGTAGCGCCGTAACACATCTTAACTTATTTTCTGGCTGCAGTCATCTCCGTGCTGTGCTGAGATCAGCCGTGGAGAGTTTGTATATTATATATACACGTGAGAAGGTGCAGAGAGAGTGTGTAACAGGCTGTGGAAGCTGTGATATGCAATTCTGTTTCAGACTGATGCAGTGTTAGTGCTCCTGTCCCTGCTCTCTGACATTTTTAAGAGGTTTCCTCCTCTGCGCTCCTTTCGATTTGATATTTTCATGTGCACATTTTGTTGTTAAAGTCCTCAAATGACCTTTGAACCCTGACTACAGGAGTCCAGCAGCATTCAGAGCCGAACATATAATCATGAGATAAAACTACATGTAAAGCAGAAATGACATGAAGCACATTGAATGGTGTATAGTTTTCTAATACTTCAGGTTTGTATGATTGTATATCATTTTTTAGGTTTTGGTAGTGTTTCTGATTTCTCCTGTTTTTGGGGTTTATTTGCAGTGTTTTCGTGGCTCTCAGTAGAAAAGCCGTGTTCAGAGTGAGTCTGTTTGCAGACACTCACTTCTACTGTGTAACAACAACTAATAAACTGATCTGATGGAGACGAAATAAACACACTATGCCTCTGTCTGCTCTGTTATGATAGAAAAACAATCTGAGTATAAGAGAGTCAATGTTCAAGTTTAAAAAAGGATCTTTGAAGAGGTCTGTAGTGCATTGGAGACCCCAACCCCTGAGATCATCGCATGTAGACTGGAGCAAATGAAAAGGAAATGCTTAGTTGTTTGTTGTTTGAAATGCTTAGGCCTGTTTTTTGTAACAAGCTGTAGCTCGAAGTAGGAATGGGAATGCTCAATACATGTATATCAGCCCACTGCTTATCAGACATATATTGGGAATGGTTCACTACTTTTTGAGTATTTTGGTACGACAGTTGGATAAAAACAGCTGATAGAAGTAACCTCAAGTGTAAGATGACCTCCTATTTTCAAGTCTGAATTTGAGAAAAAGACGTAATGAGAACAAACTTGTTAACTGAAAGTAACTTGAACTGGGGGCTACACAGCCCGTGACATCTGACCTTTACAGATCAGCTGATCACAGATAAAGCCTCCTAACAGGTTTGACGAAAACAAAGATGTCAGCCACTGTGCAGCACAGTCACTTATTAACAGGAATTACTCTTTAACTAAATTACTCCATGGATCCTCTCAGATTTCTTTGTTTCTGAGGGATTGGACCTTGGCAGTCTCTAAAATGCTCTGATCTTCTGTGTGGGATAGAAAAGCTCCTGATCAGAGTTTATCATTACATGCTGCTGGTCTCACAAATAGAGTAGATTTTACTGTAAGTCAGTGCATCACACTGCTCTGTTTTTACCACTGATGTTAACTCAAGATTAAGTTGTATAAGACACCTCCTGCCCTGCTGTCAGACAGAAGGGGAATAGTTTGTTAATCCAGTATTCTGGTTGTACAGTTTTCTCTGATTGGAGGAGCTGACATTAAAAAGTCCACACAGTCTAATGCAGCAGTCTGCGTTCTGTTGTTACATATGGAGGCTGAGTCTCTCAGAAGGAAATATGGGAAGAGGTTCATCACTCTGTGAGAGACTGTGTGAGCTAATAGTTCGACAGTTTCAGAGAAAAACGTTTTCTGTGACTCCAAATGGAGTACAATTTCCTAAATATATGCCATGCTGTACTAAAGCAGACTGTAAACTGGAGACTGAGACCATAAACTCATTAGGAAAATAAAGGAATAAATGAGCTCAGGAGGACAACCATTTTCTCCCAGACTTCTATACCAAAGGACAGATTTCACTACCAGCAGAGTCACCCCCTGGTGGACATTAAGATAACTCAGACCCTGTTGCAGTGAATGTGAAAAGATAAGTATCAAGAGCATTTATCCTGCTAACTCATTTTCTCACATTTATATTTTCAGTTTATTTAAAATTTCACCATTAAAACAATAATCTCCTTTAAAGTAACACAGCTGTATCAAAGTTGTAAAGCAGTTTAAGCACAAAGATTAAAGGTCTGATGTGATATATCCAGAATGTTTATTCAGTTTATTGTCTCAGTTTATAAAGCTGAATAAATCTTCTCTCGGTGCATGAAATCACCTTGGCTCTACTGGTTAATCTCTGTTTATGAAAGCACGCTCTCGTTATTGTAAAGTTATGATGACACAGCATTTCTGAACACTGTCTCATTGGATGGGTATTATAATCAGTGGTTAAACTGCCAACACACACAGGTTATTCATGTCTCATACTGTAGAAAACAGTTTTACAGCTGACAACCTTATCTATGAATTTCATTGTCTTACATTTATGACTGTGAAAGAAACTTTGCTAACTTATCATTTCTACAGTGGCTAAACAACAACATTGATACAGGGATTCTTTGTCAGTGACTTCAATTCACTGCAGAATGTTGTCCGAACGGTTGTCTGCAAACTTTCAAAACTCCTTTGTAAGCATTTTGCAAAAGTAAACATGTTACCTTTAAAACTTGCACACTGCAATGCAGTGCCATCATGAGTCAGCAAGTTTGTCTTCACAATGACAGAGCAAGTTTTATTAGGTGATAGATCAATTGTCAGTCTTAACCGCTGAATTACGAAAGTTTTGTTGATGTTTTCTTATTATAAAGTCATGCTGAAATAATCTTAAAGAACTTCTGTGCAATAAGGAAATACATTTTGTTAAGTAATAGGACAATAAAAGATTCAATTTTAACACAATGTCTTGCCATAAAATACACATATCATCCTATCTGCACTATATTCCCTGTGTTTATGAGTAGTCCCGTGAACTATGCAAAGGCTATTGCTATGGCAACAAACAGGAAGTCCTTATTGAAGCCCTTGGAATACTCGTAGAATTACCAAATGCAGTATGCAGGAAACTCGGCAGGCCCAAATTCTGCAATTAGCCAAGCCTGTATTTTCCAAATTTCAGCCCCTGACAACATTTCACCATAAAAGACGAGCTTCACCGGCCTATACAGCTTGGCATCACCTACTAAAGTGTAGAGGTGTGAGGGCCTGTTAATTCTGCTCTCAGCTTTAATGTTATATTGGTATTGTAATATCAAGGAGCATTTACATCGACACTGAAAAGCTACAGATAAAATCACAACTGTGCTTCAATACTGCTCAAACAAATAATAGAAATCTGCATGACTTAAGTGTGACTCGAGACCGGGTCTCAAACTCGAGTCCCTATCTTTGGTAGGTACACTGAAATAAAAGCTTTAGTTCTTTGACCCACAGCAAAATATACATACTGAGTCATGTACTTTACATCAAAAAGCCAGTAGAAGAAGGTTTTTATTAGTTCACAACATTTTCTGTCAAAATCAGCACCATTATAAGTTACTACTCTGTCCATAGGGGGCGCCAAAGTCAACACCAGGAGAGAGTTCCTCATAGGAGCTTCACTTGTAAATTATTCTTCATTGTTAAAGTTATATTTTAAATGTTGTAACTTGCTGCCAAATTCCAAAATTATAAATGTTATTTTTTTATTGTAAAATCTAAATGACATTCGAATTGTTAATTTAAATGTTTAATTAAAAGACAGAATGTAAAATCTAACTTAAATAGAATTGAAATGTTTTTAATGTTAGAAAATCATTTTACATCTGATTGTTAAATGTTTAATCGTAATTTAAATTTAAACTTTTTGATTAAATGTTACAACAAAATTAAATCTGAATGTTAAATTGAATTCTTAATGCTAAAAACTGTCAAATATAAGCCTTCATGTGCAATGTTAAATTTTGATGTTAGTGGTTAAATTGCAGTTAAAAATAATAATTTAGATATTTAATGGTCAAATTCTCAGTAATCCAAACTAACATTCATATTAAAACTTTCTTCCAAATCTGAATTTGAAACGTGTTGTTTGGTGAATCTCAACATTCAGCTGAACTGCTGCCCAGAGGAAGTTTGACATCTAACATTTAGATTTATATCCCACATTCAGATTTAACATTTGATTTAGGGGATTTAATATTTATAAACAAGTTTTTTATCAAGAGATATGTTGAGATATGTTATTTTCTTTTATTATCAAACTGATACTATAATGGAGGGTAGTATCATTTACTGTGCACTAAACAATGTGGAAACAAACCACAGGTTTGAGACTGATATAGATGATTTCTTCATTATATACTCTGAATAATGGTCTGAAATCTACAGGGGAGATTTACAGGTGTATTTCTGGAGGTTACACTGTGAGTGGTGGTTCTTTGTTAAGTGTGATTACATTCTTCAGTATCAGTGACAATGTATAACAACAGAGAGAACCTCTGCTCTGCTTGGTCTGATTACAGCCTGAGGTTCCCTCTCCTCACAGGAGGGTCAGAGCTCCAGTTTCTGCCGAGCTTTCCCCTCAGACTGTTTTTAAATATTTGTTTTTATCTGAAATAGAGTCTGAGTGTTTCCTCATCAGTCACCCCTCCCTTTCCTCACAAACACACACCCATTCACAGAAACAGGATGTGAACACACTGAGGAGGATTTCAGAGAAGCTGTCTGATATTGAAAATCGTCATACTTACGTCTTTTAATTGTCACTGAACTGGACGGACAGGTTCAGAGTGGGGGATTTTCTTGGAGGATGAAACTCAATGACAGGCAGAAAACACCTGAAGCTGTTCACCCTCTCACCCTGACAGCCTGACCATGATTTCATTTTTATCTGTGTGCTGGATGATTTACTCTAGACAAATAAAGGCTTCGCTCTATCTCTCACAAAAGCACACAGATTAATCATCTGCACAAACTCATTAAACAAACTGGGAGAGTCTGCAGGGGATTCACGCCATCGATCCTCTCTTTCTGTTTTTAAAAAATGATTATGTCAAACAAAAGAAAACCACGTGTCCTTTAAAGCACTGATATTTTTTTGAAATATCCTCAGTTTTGGGCTTTTTTAGGATGCTTAAACCAAACTATGAACATACATCCTAACATACTTTCCTCTGTCATCGTTCTGGAAATGAGGGTCATGGATATCTTTATTATCCCCAAGGGGTCATTTGTTTTACAGCTAGCAGCACCACACTGATAATAAAGAAAAACAGGTCACTAAATCAATTAAGAGAAGGCAGTGAGGATGGAAAGATATCATGAATAAATATCACCATGACATGTGTAAAACGCTGATGTTTTTCAGCCTGTTTGTCATGTACTTATCAGCAGCTAGACAGAAGCAACATGAACCTTTTACAGTTACAGCAGGACCATTTCAGACCGACTGAGCCTCTGTGAGAGTCTGAACATCATAAATCTGAAGGTTAATCTAAAGTCACTCTTCTCTCTTCTTCTGTGTTCATTTTAGAACCTGCCCTCAAACCAAGTGGTGGCTGCAAAGTCTGGTCTCTCTGAATTTTCTGCAATCTTCACTGCAGGACAGAAAGATTTAGAAGATCTTTTGTACCCACAGCCGTCAGACTGTTTGATTCTTCTATAAACAACAGATGACTTGAGACATGAGCCATGAGACTCTCAACAAATGGATTTCCCTTTTGATCGTAATGTGGTATCTAGTGACGGATAAATGATGTGGAAACAGGAATTCACTGCTCACACCTATGATGTTATGTTACATCATGGATGTTAAAGTGCAGTTTAGTTTAGATGTAAAATGCATCCAAACTAAAATGCAGACATAAAGGGGTCAGAAATGTAAAAAAAAGGGATGTGGACCTCTGAAATAAAATCTGAATAACAGGTAAATTGTGACAACAAGTCAGGATTCTGAGAAAAAGTCAGAATTTAATGAGAAACTGTGAATTCTGAGACAAGATCTGAATTCAAGTAAAAAGAAAATTATGTCTCTAAGACAAAATCAGAATTTTGATAAAAAGATTAGTAAAAAAAAAAGATTAGTCGGATAAAAGTGTACTATTCTGAACCATTCACCATTACCTGGCTGATCTCCCAGCTTCATGGTGTCCATGTTTCTGTCACTCAGCTTGTGTTGAGGTCTGATGGACCCACTGCATCTGAAGCTTTTGAATCAAAACAACCAGGACAGTTCCTATAAAAAACACTTGCACATGGAGATGGTTGTACTTCTCCATGTTCCCTGATCCCTCCAGTTTCCTGGAGCTGAAGTATTTCAACCTGACTAAGACGATGACGGTGCAATCGTACATGTCCAGCACTGAGCAGCTGATTGTTCAAGCCCTTTGCGTGTGAGTGTGTGTCCATTAATCCCTTAAAAACAATGAGGATAATGAAATGTCAAGAGCGGTGCTGATTGAAGTCTCTGAGTCATTCAGCATCATCACTTAAATCCCTTTCGCCTATTTCATAACAAGCATTTCTAACAAAGAGGGTTAGGTCTAGAGCATCAAAGAGCAGCTTTCCCGTTCAGGACTCCACTCCATATCTTTGACTTTACACAATCATATCAACAGTCCCAGATTATTGCACATCTTTCAAACCGTGAGCTGCACCCTGATACGCTTTCTCTGACCTTTTACTCTGTCCTGAACTCTAAAGCACAGGCTGACTGGCTCATGGGGGGCTGTGAGATTTGGATTCAAAACAGATCAGTCTGTCTTCATCTGCAGCATCCCTCTCTTCAAAGCAAAAGCTGCAGAAATAATGTTTTAGGAGTGACCAGTGACAAACAGCTTTGACAATCGCCCTCTGCAGCAGGTATTCATGGAATCTATTTTGATCATATACGTCTAGACCTGCGTAGGTTTGTATATTTCTTCCTCATTCTTACATGTCAGAGTTCAGCATCATCTTAACGAGCTGTGAAAACAAAGTTTCACAACCGTCTTGACTCACTGTCATCACTCATCATGGCTGCTGAATGGAAAATGCTTTTCAAATCCCTTCAGTGCTACGGAGAATGCTTTCTAAATACGACAAGTATGTTGATGTTTTAAATGTTTATCTACACCCGCACAGGTACCATGGCTGTGGTGGGACGGAGGGCACTCGGGTGGAGTAAGCAAACACTCAGAGACAACAGTATCAGTCTGCAGGTACTGATCCCTGTGTTAACACTGCAGCCTGAACACAGTCAGTAAGTGACACACATACTGAAGAGCTCAGGACTGCAAACATGAAGCTTTTCTACCCTGATACCCCACAATGATAGAGACAGGTTTGGAGTGAGCCATACACAAACCTCAACCAAACGCCACTCTATAGCCACAAATAATGCTCAGAACAGCACCTAGCTTCATCAACAGTACATATAGGGTCCCAGCCACAGTACTAGCCACCAAACATCTTTTTAGCTTTGCCTAATTTCTTTAGCAAAGAGACTAAACACAACTCACCTACTCTCTTTCAGCAGCCGCTTGTTTGTAGCAAGACGTCAGATGAGTCTATCACCAAGTGCAGTGGGGTGACGCAGCTCAAGGAAGAACATTTATGATCATTTCTTCATGGAAATGCAATCAGACTGAGACGCTAAGCCAGAAGAACTACCGCATCTGCAGTGTAAAATGATTAATATGGTGATTATTACTTCAAGGAAATGATAAAGTTATGATCATAAATGTTCTTCCTGGAGCTGCCCCTCCCCCCAGTTGATGATGGACTGGTCAGGGTCTCGCAAGAAACAAGCGGCTGCTGGAGAGTGGGTGAGTTGTGTTTAGTCTCTTTGCTAAAGAAATCAGGCAAAACTAAAAAGATGTTTGGTGGCTACTACTATGACTGGGACCCTGTATGTACGGTTGATGAAGTTAGGTGCTGTTCTGAGCATTATTTGTGGCTATAGAGTGGCTTTTTGGTTGAGGTTTGTGTGTGGCTCCTCAGACCGCTGTGTACTGCTATCCTGCGGTCGTTATGATATAGTTGGTATGACTAGAGAAGCAAGCGGTCAGCAATATTCATCTTTTGAGGGGGTGTCTAACTCGGTGTAACGGTGTGTTTAATAATATAATTTTTCCTTTTTATTTCACAGTTGCCATGACAACACTGAAACAAGACTCCAGCCCATGTACTGCATAAGAGATGCAAATGTTTATTTTACTTTCCATGAGCTGTTTACTCAATGACATCTTAGATCTGCACAAATGCTCTGTGATCATGTGATTAACACTGACCTGACTACTGACAGACCAAACATCGGAAAGAATTTCACTATTTCATAAGGAGGCCGCTCACACTGACAGTAAACCTGTCAGGTCTCAAACTCCTGTGATGAGCAGCTGATATTTCAGGTCCTTTGCGTGTGAGTGTGTGTTTATTAATCCTTTAAAACAATGAGAATGATGAAAAAGCAGCTGTCTGTCCGAAGTCTCTGAGTCATCTGACGTGTCATCAGTCGAATATCTGCTCTCCAGTTTTCTAATTTTAGCTGTGTTACCATAAGAGCAAAAGCGTGAGAAGCTGTAAACTTACAAAACTAGTATCTGAATGACCTGTTAGTCTTCATTGTTCCCTAGAATCTCATCTTGGTACCCAAACAAACCAGACAATTGAAATACAACAACCATTGTATCAAACATCTTTTCAGTGTGCAGCAAAGTTTATAGAGCAACTTTAGAGGCAAGTATGTGTTCAGATCTAAAGTGAAAATCACTCCTCCAGAAAATAAACACTGTTATTTCTATGGTCATAACATCTCCCAGAGGAGTGTGTTTATTTGTATCTGATGGGTCTCAGTTTCACTGTAAGAAGAAAGTTCCACAGTCTATATACATACACTGTTAAGTTGGCCCAGTTAAGCTGTTACATGACAAATCAAAACAATCGACAAACGACTGAATAAAAGGTCAGCTCGTTGCATGTCTGAAAATGAACACATAAAACAGTTCTTCAGCTCTGTGCTTTTATATCTATGATAAAAAAAATCCATTTGTTTGTTTTTTTAACCTTCTTTTTCTTTTCTAAAGCTTTTGTTTCCTGCCTGGCTCCATCCTACTTATTCATGCATTTCAGTTGGTCAAAGCCTGGCATTCAAACTGTGAAGCATGTGATGAAATCCTTGGCAAATTTGGGTCAGATCATGTTACATGCGAGGGAAACTAAATCCAAAACAACTTTATCTAGACCCCGAGTAGTACCGCAGTGTGAATTCAGCAAAACTGTTATATTTTATGTGGATTAAAGTCCAGTTTAAGCCAAACAACCCCAGAAAATATATTTATAAACATCATGGAAAAGAGGCTTCACTCTGGTTGATTGTTGATCTGTTTGTGGTAAGTCTCAGTTTTTCTGTAAATAGTCTCTCAGAGGCCTCACCCTTGCTTCCTTCAGTACACAAACTGATGTTCTTGTTATGTTCTCCTCATTAACAGATCTTCAGTTTGCTGAAATAACATCATGATTCGGGTTAGTTAAAAGTCCAGCTTTGTCAGGTCTGCCCTCAAGAGGAGAAGAAAACTACTTCAAAAATGTTTGTTTGTTGAATGGAGGTCAGCTCCATCATTTCTGATGCATTCAGGGAAGTCAGGAAATCTAAACTGATTGTTTTCTGATTGTGACTCAGCATCAGTCAGATTAGAGTCTTGGTGTAAACGTTTTAACTGGATCAGATTGTTAGCTGACCTTCATGCAGATATTTGTATATACAGAGAAATAAATCCTCATCAGATTTAACACTGCAGGGAGCTGGGATGTCATTACTCCTACTTTTGCTCTCCATAGAGATTTCTTTTCCTGCAGACACCAAAGCCTGCTGACTCCTGATATAGTCAACAAGACTCAGACTACAAACAGAAACCAGGACTTTCATCTGGTTCTCTGGCGTCTCAACAAAGGAGACAAGCTGACCGGGACAATGAGCAGTAATACAAGAATAAGCAGCTTATATCTCTGAATTTTTACCCCTGAAACATCTCAAGTATGGAGACTGAAGTGTCATGAACTATAAATTTAATCATATTAACAAAGTGTACAACTCCATAGGAATGTTTTTGAGAGAAATAACATTTTAGTTTATATGCTGGTGCAACGTCTGAGGGATTTCCTGGTGGATAAACCTCTGTGTAATCTGGTGCAGCTGGTCTCGTTTTTGCAGTCTGTCACCTCAGCAGGTTTAAGAGGATCAGCTGTCGGCGAGGAGAGAGAAGAAACACTGATGACGGAGTGGAAACCACTGGACTGTTTCTCTGACACTGAACACCCTGAAACGGACTCTGAATCTTTGGATCTGCTGGAGAACTCGTACAGATTCTTCCTGAAAGCGCTCTTGGTGTTTTGCTCTTTTTTGAAAAGTATCACGTAGCACTTGGGAAAGAAGTGACAGCTGAGGATGCCGTAGTTGGAGATGAGAATGACCACCATCTCCACAGCTGGAAGGTATGGTCCTGTGGTGGTGACGTAGATGGGGACGAAGAGCAGCCAAGAGATGAGGTAGAGGAGCATGCTGAAGGTGATGAACTTTGCTTCGTTGTAGTGCTGTGGCAGCTTTCGTCCTTTAAAGGCACAGATGAAACAGACAAAAGCCAAAACAGCAATGTAGCCCAGCATCACCCCGAAGGCCACGTAGGAGCCTTCGTCGCAGTCCTCCAGCAGAGAGGTAGGAAGTTTTCTGGTGGTATTGAACGGACTTTTCAGGACCAGCCAGCAGGTGCAGGTGGCTACCTGCAGGGCCACACAGATGCTGACCACAACGTAAGGCTGGTAGAGCCTTTTCAGGACCTGCTGCAGCTCTGGGTTGAACTGAAAGGCCAGAAGGATCTGCAGGGTCTTCACCAGGATGCAGGACACACAAAGAGTGAAGCTGATGCCAAACAGCACCTGCCGGGCTTTACACTGGAACCCAGTGGGCTGGCCCACAAACAGCATGGCGCTGACGTAGCTGATGACCAGCGAGAACAGGATGGCCTGGCTCAGCGGGCCGCCTGCAGCCTTAACCACAGGAGTTTCCCGTTGATGCAGGAACAATGCTGAGACCAGCAGAGTGAAGAGGATACCCAGGACGGAGAAGGTCAGGAGAATGATGGCAAAGCCGTCCAGCCAGGAGAAAAACTGGAGCTCTTTGGGGTAACAGCTAGAGCTACCCTGAGGAGACCACTCTGTGTCCACATCACAGCTCAGACACTGGTCCATATCTGCAGGGAGAGAGCACAGAGAAAGGTAAAGAGTCAGATAACCATCTTTAAAGGATATGACCTAAAGGTTCAGAGACATCAGGAATAAGAGAGAGGAAACTTTGTAGCATTTTGGGTCAGTGCACTTCTCATTCTGAAAAAGGTTGAGCTGAAGAGAAGCAAGGAGTCAGTAAATACCAAGTCATCAACTTCAATGTGAAGTTCGCCTGTTGGGTCAGTAAGGTACACCTGTGCACCATGCTCTGCTCACTCCAACTTTACACTTCCTTCGGATGTACTTACTTCTAAATCATTAGCAGCCCGCTCCGGGTGTCTTTTGGCAGTCCCTCAGGTCCCTGTCATGGTTTTATGACAATGCACGCTAACTCCTGGGTAAAGACACTCTATTTCCTGGTCTGCATGACTTGACATGGAAACACAGTTTCTAAAATAAACATTGTCATACTGATCTGATCAAGACTGTAAACTGGAGTTGGAGCCCATAAACTCATTAGGAACATGTTTACTGAGGGAGTACATCAGCTGAGAAGCAGGTGATCCTGCAGTCTACACGTGTCCATGATGACTGACTGTTGGATAAGAATCCCATGCACAATTCAGTGGAGCCACAATTATAGCTTGACTAGATTGCTGGTTTGGACTGTTGTCCTTGTCTCCTGTCTGTCTGTGCTACAGAGGGTGGAGATATGCCCCCTCTCAGCTCATTCCTATTGGGCCTTCTCCAGGTTGATCTATTATGTCAGATAACAAAACAATCAGCATGAACATTAGCAAGATGCTAACAGGTCTTGTAACAAATGATGAAAATGCTGACAGCTTTACAGCTCTGCACCTTCTTGTACCCGAACCCTAACCCAATACAATATGGTGACCATACGTCCTCTTTTACCCAGACATGTCCTTTTTTGGGGGGTGCTATCCGGTCTGCCTGAGGGAGAAGTTTATAAAATCCTTCAAATGTCAGACGTTTTGTGTGGAAGTTTTGAGTTTGTGTAGTGTGGACTAACTGAGTTAAAAGCATGTAAAAAACACTCAACCCGTCCTGAAAAACCCTCGAAAGTTTATGTGTGTATGTCCTACCTGTGCTGTTAGAGTAGTAGTTTTCAGTACAGTTGATGCACTCGTAACAACAGGTGTGTTGACCTTCGGCTGTTTTCTTGAACTCTCCAGGGACACAGCTGTTGGAGCATCTGGAGGTAATGTTCTGGGGAGAGTGGGGAAGGACAAAATTATGAACATGTAAGGTTGTACAATCATGGAGTAAATCCAGCCTGAATGGACTGGATGAATCTGTACATCTATGACCCATTTGTCATATTGCTTCAGTCAGCTGGAGTTTGTCTGTTGTCAGTACACACACAGCCCAGTAGATGTGTGTATGCTGCAGGCCTACCTTGAGGTGGAACAGGTGTTGGGCTGTGTTGCTGCTAGTGTGGGTGAAGCTGTTGTTGAGTGGATGGTACTCGGCCACCACATCATGGACGTCTATGACTCCTCCCTCTAACCTCCACATGGTCACATCGTACCCCAGGTTGAGGTCACCTCTGCTGTCAAACTTGTAGCTTTTCCCTCGAAGTTTGAACTCCTGCATCCACAGAGCTTTCAGCACCTGCAGAGCATCACAGATGATAATTATTTCCAAACTAACATCCATTTAATAGTTTGAAGAGAAACAGCAAAAATGAGCCGTCAAAAGATAAACATATCCTCACAGTAATACCACGTACCACTGGACTGAGCCACCCTGCTCCACTGCTGTGAAAATTCCCCCACTGTGAAAGCCCAAACAACACTTAACCATTGGAATATAGTGGAGATATGCTTTGTGCATTGTGACCTTGAGACAAGGATAGTTGGTGTAAAATTTCCTGGTGATGTTAAAGGTGGGGTAGGCAGGAACTGAGGAAGTGTCAGTTTTTGGGAGAAATCTTGAATGTAAACACTACCCCTCTCAAACAATTTTCCCTTCAGCTCTTCCTCTCCTCTTCGTCTCTGCTCCAAAAAGTCCCGCCCACAAACAGACGCTTCTATCGTTCCAGTTAAATTCAGATATAATGCAGATAAATACTTCAGAAAATTACAAATGGGGCCCAGTCAATGTGAAAGTAAAAAGCATTGGTGCTACTGTAGATGCCAACAGACTACCAGCAAACACAATGTTTGCAGGACTTCTACAACTAGGATGAAGTGACAAAGTCCAAGACTCCAGGTAAACAGTTTAGTGGCGCTACAACACGCAGCAGGTCCCATTTGACAAGAAACACTTCTGTTACAGACACTTGGTTTACTTTGTTAAAGCAGTTTAGCTATCCAGCAGAAAGGTTACAGGGTCCAAAGCGTCCCCCGTCATTGTTGACCTGGCTTTTTTAGCTCTTGTCCGGGTGGTCTACCTCCTTTTTAAGCGCCCGTTATTCCACCAGAGTCTTCGGTATTGACTTCATTTTTTTGCTTGTGTTGGTGGTTGTGGCTAAAGGAGGATTCAGACAATTTTTCATACTTTCTGGTTGGTTTCTACTGTCCGATATTGTAGCACACTAACTTTGTTTGGGCTCCTGAACGACACAGGGGAGCGGCGACTGCCTCACAACCAATCAGGTTTGGGGAGGCAGAGAATGGCTTTGTTTACAGTCAGAAAGAGCGGAGCGCTCAAAAAAATTTAAAATGTTGGACTACACAGACATAACAAAACCTCGTGATATCGTTATATCACCAAATGTCATCAATGACTAATAGCTATTGACTGATATGAAAGGCTTTTTTGTAAATACACCACATAAACAGATGCTTCTTTAAGGGATTCCTGCCTACACCACCTTTAAGAAATGAGAATCTAAAAATTGAACAAACTCAACTGCAGCAAAAACAAAGTCTTTAAGTCTTTATTTAGTCCTTAAAGAATCAGAGTAGTCACATGTAGGGGGTGTCTTTATATTTGTAGATTTCCATTTAGGAAATATCTCTCTGGATGATTGTACCGCCAGGGTTATGGGAGATTGCACTTACCCAGAACTCATCTATGTTTATGTTATCACAGGTTATGAACAGGTTTTTCCGGAAATTTCCTCCATTACAACAAAACACTCCAGCAGCTGAGATGTCAAACAACTCACGCCTGTTTTTTTACTCTTTGTTTAAGGTTTCATGCTCAGTTAACCCAGTTTCCTCCTGAATCTAACCTTTCGCCTAATCCTAACCTCAGGTAACCCTAAACCCTCACTTACGCTATCAAAAGAACCCACAACTACCACACACACACACACACACACACACACACACACACACACACACACACACACACACACACACACACACACACACACACACACACACACACACACACACACACAAAGCCATGTTAAAGTGAATACCTCCCAGGGCTGCACTGATCCAGCTGTCTTGCACTCTCTTTCCCTGCAGATAGTGGCCACAGCCTGAGCGATGGCGCTCACAGCCATCTCCACGCTGAAGATGGTGTCGGCGTAAGCGTGCTCCTTGAGTTCGGTCACAGCTTTGGACACCAGCTCGGTGTCCTCAGAGTCTTTACTGGAGTTCAGTGTTGTGAAGAACTCTTGAATGAAGGAGTTGTTCCTTGCAGACTCTGGTCCAGTTGCCTCCAGCCTGCCCAGGTACTCGTGGAATGAAGTGAGGTCTCCACTTTTAAAGGTAAAGCCCATAATGTCTCCAATGTCATGCAGAGTAAGGTCACCTTTCAGAGTGCCTGAGGTGGACCAGCTGTCACTGGCCACCCACACTCTCTTCATCAACTCCAAACTCTGACCATCTCTCAGCATCTGATCCCGAAGCTCCAGGAAGAGATCCATCATGTGCGCTGGCTTGGCGAATGACACGATCACCTTCACCTTGGGGTTCTTGAAGATGGTCTCAGCAGTGTCCCTGATAGCAGACGGGATATCCTGACTGGTGACAGATTGAGGAAGGACTTTTTTAAAGGCTACACAGATGCCCCGCAGTGATGCCTGGGACACAAAGTGGTCAAGAGCCGACAGGCCATAGTTTCCGTCTGTTGTAATGACACCAACCCAGTTCCAGTCGAAGGTGCTGAGCAGAGTGGCCATGGCAGTGGTCTGATGCTCGTCATTGGGGATGGTCCTCATGAAGGCAGGGAAGCGGTTCTTATCGCTCAGGATGACAGCTGTGGATGAATAACTGATCTGAGGAGGAGAACATTGAATTAAACAAAGACAGGAAAGCCTAAAAAAACATAGAAGTTTGAAGGATCATCTCTTCATCTATGGGATCCTCGGAAGGTCAAATTTATTACTGAGGAGTCAGTCTTTTCAACTTTAGACCATCTGTGAGTTTTCAGTTATACTGTAAGAACAATAAGTGTTAACCTTCGTTACCCGGCTAAGCCCCAAATCAGAGTCTGATTGATGAATTACCCAGAGAAAAAGCACCAGAGTCTTGTCCATTGTCAGCTTGTCAGTGAATACAGTTCTTCACTGCATCTAGAAATGAGGTTAAAACCGAACCACGCACAGAGGAAACCTGGTGGGTCTGATTGTCTGTGTTTCCGTTTTAAAAAATTGAGGAACTTTGTACAGACACAGACATCTGTTTGTTTTAAATCCACATTAACCAGAAAATAATAAGGTTTCTCAACATCTGGAATAATGAGGGGATGTCTTCAATTAAGTAATACTGCTGTAATGACAATCAGTTCACATATAACCGATTTCTGTTGTGATGTGACAATATTAGCTCTGAATATAGAACAGTGTGATGTACCAACCTGCTGTCAAATTGTGAAACTGGCAGCTTTCAGGCTTAGTACAGTTTAGTTTATTGTTTTTTCAGTGTCTGTAGAAATAGAAGTGTAGAAAAGCAGCGAAAGTGCAAGCGTTGGCACACAGACAGGACATTCCATTGAGGCTAGAAGGTCCATGTGGACTACCTGTGTGCCAAATTGACTCAACACTTGTACTTTCTCCGCAGGCGCAGACTTTTTGATGTTAGCATGGAAGTTATGACAACCTTCTATGACGGGGTACCAGCATTATTGGATATGGCATGGCAGCTTGGTTTTGGACACTCTCTGTCCAACTCAAAACAAGAATAGCAAAAATTGTAAAAACAGCTATGAAGGTAATTGGTAGGAAAGACTCTTATCTTTACTTTGAGGAAACAGAGCTTAGTCTGGCAGCTAGAGTGCTTTCTGATCTTTCTCATATTCTATCTACAGACTATGTGCCGCTTCCTTCTGGTAGATGTTACAGTGCGTGCCGTTGTAATTGCTTTAAAAACTTTGTCCTCCCCTCTTTAATAGAACAATCGGCACATAGTTCATAGCCTTAAGTGTGTGAAGGGGGACCTCTTGACTGCTATCATTTGTTCATTTATTTATTTAGTAACAGTGAATCATCTTGTTCTCTTTGAACTTTTATATTTTTATTCTATACTTTAAATTCTCTACCACTAGATCACATTCTACTTGTACTTACAATGTACTTGTCATGTGGACGGCATAAATCAAAGGGCCTGGGTTGTCTGTCTACCGATTATGTTTGTACAAATGCTGCTATTGTGTGTTGTCTGTCTGTGTTGTGGAATAAGTGTACTTTTGCCCAAGACAAATTTCCCCTCATGGGACAATCAAGTATATCTCACCTCATTTCAAATACAAACGATCAAACTGTTTTGAATGGATTCATCCTGTTCAGTCCTTTCTAGTATCCGTAGAGTCGTGCTCTGTCTGCATACCAACACTTGGGTGATTCACATTCATTTCATTTTAAAATATATAAAAAACATTTGATTCAAAAATCATCAGCTGATAAGGGACAACCTCTAGACCCCTACCTGGCTATTTGTGTTTTAATCGTCAGATTTTAGATTCAGTGCATTGAGACTGGAATGAGTTTAAATGCCTCTATTATATTCAATAGTATTATGCAGTCTGGTCTTTGAGTAAAGCATTTCTACATTGCACTGGTTCTTCCTCCAGAGACACACAAAGAGAGATTGTTGTGGCTCGTATTTGACCTCAGAGTTTCCCTCTCTTTACAAATATTTGAAACTTGTTTGACAAAGTCAGTCATCTGCTTGGATGCGTTGTGAAAACTTAACACCTGTGCACATTTTTTGATGCCAAAACGATAACACATTTCCTAAACCATGCCAGCTTACAGGGAAGATACTGATGTTTATGTTTCCACTCAGGTGCTGCCACACCACATTGTTTACCTAATCCCAGTCATCAATCCAGTCCTATCTCAGTAGAAAACAGATCATACCCAATGGCTGTGCCGTCATTTATCATCTGCTAACTGCTACAAACCCGCCTGCTTCCTCCTCAGCCTGCCTTAGCTCAGACCCTGGGCTCCGGTCTGTTTCCTTTCTGACAGTAGAGAGTATTTCCCTCTGTCTTTATGCTCACCTGAGGGATCATCTTTAGGGTCAAGTGCCGGGCCATGGCAATAGAGGTTTCAGAGTGAGAGGCTCCAATGACAGCCATGACGGGCTGAGCGCAGGTGGAGGTGATGCAGTCCCCCTGCTGCATGAACTCTGCTGTGGCCCTCAGTGCCATGCCCACATCAGCGCAGGAGTCCAGGATGTGATAACCAAGAGTGATATTCAGGTCAGCCAGCAGAGGTGATCTATTCACAGTCTCTATGGCATTAATCATCCCCAGGATCTTCACCAGACGCCGTGCTTCAAACCTGTGAATGGGCCAGAGTCAGTACAGATGACCAACAAAGATCCCCCTGCAAACTGAGCAGCTCAGATCACTCTTCACCAGGCTAGGGGAGTGCCTTCAACCAACACATTCAAATGTAGTTCATGCACAACCCCGTTACTGCTAATTCTGGATGTTTCGATAACATCCGATATGCTGATATTTTCAAACTCATTTTGGCTGATTCTGATGCTTGTATAGTTTAAAATATGTACAACACACACATCCAAACCACCTGTGTGCAACAGAGATTAAGGCTATTGTGAACAGATAAAAGAAAATAGCTCACAGACTGCAAACCAGCACTTTAATTCACCAGTGTAGTGACATATACATACATGTGGCAGAGAGAGGAAACGAGGATCGGACTCTGACATTAATGCTTATCAGATTTAATTATAGACACACAACTATTCCCTGAATCTTCATCAGCATGTTTTTTTTTTATTTATCATGTGCCGCCTACACCAACAATAACATGCAACTGAATAAATAGCATTGTGTGTCATGGACCATGTTGAGTAATGCATTAGACGGATCTGGTAATTCCCCGTACAACTAAATCTGACCTTAAATCATGCTCTAGGCATCCAGAGAAACCTGATCCACCAGCTGCCTGTACTAATCTGTCAATGAAGTTGTAGTGTTCTCAAACAGATTTGTAACTTTTGACACAGAACCTGAAGACTGAGGATGAGGAATTTATAATCCATGTAATCAGTTTGAAGCTCATGGGCCAAGCAGAAGGTTGTGTTTGAGTTGGATTTGGTTTGGTGCAGGAAAAAGGTTCATGTGCAGAGCAGTGAGGTTGGAGCACACTGACTAAAGGGGATCAAGAAGGTTCACAAAAGGAGACTGAAGGTCTCTGCACAGTGAGTCTGAGTCCTGTTTTTTTGAGTCTGTAACACAGGAACCTTTATTTTTTTTCTACA